TTTTTTGGCAAGCGTCAGCGACTTGATTGGTTAAATTCAAATTCGTAAACCAATCATAAAGAAGCAGATATCAAGTTTATTAATATTGCTTTGTTTTGTTTACACATAGACATTTAAGCATCTCTATTTTACATTTTCTCTTTATATTTTTACATTTTCATGGTGGTAAACGCGAGAGTAACAGAGTGATTGCACTCAGCAAAATGTCTGACTAAAAACCGAACACCCCTGTGCGTGTTTGGTCCACTTTAGCAGCTGCTGTGTGAAACCAACCAAACCAAATGAAAAAGATACACTATCACAAAAACTCTCATAAATGGGTTTTTAGAGACATCTTATTAGCTTGACCTGAAAGGTAATTTTAGTTATTCAGTCAGAGGCCTAGCTGCAGTTTGTTTTCTGTTTTTTGGACTGTAACTACTTCTGGAGATCATATCTTTGCATTGGTGAAAATGCCACTGCTCGCTGTGTATCGTCACCGGCACATATCAACAGAACAAATTAGGCCATGCAAGCTGGAATTGATGCGAATCTGAGTGGAATGTTTCTGCGGCGCTTTTGTTTTTACAGAGGAGCTTATTGTTTACATGTTTCTAGTGGCACACTGCTCACAGCAAAAAAAAAAACCCAAAAAAACACTTGCATTCAAAAATTGCGTTTCTGCGCATGTGACCACTGCTTACCACAACTCTGGTGAATCTCCAGATGAACACAGGAGTAGATTATACACCGAAAGGTTACCCCTACCGCTTCTGTTGCAGTGCTGCAGTGATCACTGCAGTCCTTAAAACATATCATATGGCTTTATTCCAATTTTCCACCTTGTGCCAAACAAACCACAACAATGTGTTTGGGGTGTTCATTAGCCTGTCTTACGGGTGGCTTGCTGCCTTGAGTGCCAGAGTAGTTATACTGTATATAGTGGTACAAAACATACATTTCCCACAACACAGTCAACACTGTTTAAGAAAATGAGTTACAGAGATACACACTTTGGCTACAATTATGCGTCTGCACCCCCAACCATCCCTCCTCCCCCACTGTCTAGCTGCACAGAGGGGGTCAAAACCATGGAGTACAGGAAGACATACATATACACACACCCACACACACACATACACACACTCAATCTCACAGTGGGAAACACATAAACAATCTCTGCCGGATCAACTTCGTCCTGCCCTGTCCGATGGCCGTCAAAGATCTTTTCTCCAGCGAGAAAAAAAATCTCATAAAGGTCAGCGTAGTCACATGACCCTCCATCGTCAGCAGAGATGCCAGAATAACAATTCAATTTCAGGACTAGACTAACTAGGAGAGAGGACCTTATTTGCTGAGTGACATTTTGGGGAAGATTCCCACAGACGCAGCTGCGAATTGTTTCGTTTTCTTTCTCTTTTCTTTTCTTTTGTTTTTTTTGTGTTACGCACCTATTTAAAACAGAGACTTGCCTAGACTACAGGACGTAACCGAGCGTATGAAAATACAACTCAAACAGCATCCAACAAACCACAAACCACCAGGCTTCGCTCTAAACAAAGACCCACACTCCGGTTGAGAATACTGTTTGACGGTATTGATTACATGAGAGAAGCTGATCACAGCCGTATCTCCTCTTTTGGATGCGAACAACTCAGATGTTTTGATTCTGGTCGTCCTGTGTTCCTGGAAACAAAGTAATCATTGACTGGAATTGCCTGGAAATTGAGGCGAAGAACATAATTACTTTGATACCAAACACATTGCTACTTAGCATAACTCAGGGATCAAAGTGATCAAAAGAAATGAAAACGAATGTCAACAATAAGACCGGACAGAACCACAGAGCACCGCATTATTTCAATTTAGACTGTTTCATCCTCTAAAAAGTCACGAAGCTGAAGTCAGCTTCTCGTTCGAATTTCTCATTCACCTGCTTGAACGGGAGAACTGTAACAAGAAGCTGGCAAATGAGAAGCTGACTTCAGCTTTGTAAAAAAAAAACAATGTCGGGAGACATTTTACAAGAAACTATTCCAGTTTGGCAGAAAAGTTTCCTGCTGGAGATGTGAGAAAAGCGGCTATAGCTGAGCTAAAGCTTAAAGCAGAGCAAAGTAAGTCTGCGTTTTCTTTTATATTAAATTTATTTGCCTATGCTAGCACATTAGCACATACTGAGACATATTTACAGGCAAAATGGTAAAATGGACATAAAACATTGCCTCCCAAGGTGGTTTGATTTTTGCTGAAACGACAAAAAGGCACCTCTTAACATTTGGGTTGCCAACCCCTGTTTAGGTGGTGCTGAGCTACTGCTCTAAAATATCTGTATTTCATTGATTTCACTGCATTTGTAACCCTACACAAATAAATATATTTCTCTGTAATACTAGTTCAAGTAAAACGTAATACCAATTACTACATTTTATAAATGTATCAGCACTGTCCTTAACAGATATGTTCATAAAACAATATTGTACATTGGCATTGGCACACAATGTGGCATGTCTGTGGAATTGAAAGAACTAGCACGCATTTAAAGCAACTTTGCTCTTGTCCTAAAAAAGGTAAGGCACATGCTAGGCTCACATAATACGTTTACCTGATGATCAAAGCTAAAGGCTTAATCTATTATGTGAGGAACAGGCACTTCTAGTGTGAAGAAAACCATTCACTTTATAGATAAACTATTCATTCACCACCTGCTCATTTGGATTACAACACCACAGGCTGAACTGGTACATCAGAACAAAGAACACCATCATGCTTGAAATATTTATTTTTACAAATAAAACACTTAAGTCTGATTAATGTTGTACAATATTACAAGGGACCTGTTGCAAAACCCACCGATTTGCATCCATTATTAAATGGTTGAGATGTAAATAGTCATTCAGAGTAGTTTGGTGTGAAAGGCTCCATTTCAGAGGAACTTACCAAGTCAAAATTGTTTACAGTGGTGATAGGAACCGAGCTTCCAGCTCTAAAAGCTCCCTCATAGACAGTTACTACATTTAGAAGATTCTGGGCTACACTGTAATTTTTTGAATCTGTTAAAAACGGTGCAGAGATACATGCAGGATGTTATAAGGCAAAATCGTCCCCAAGGAAAACTTATTTTTTCAGATTAATGACTGTTTTAGCATTATTAACATTAACATACGAAAACTCAGAACACACATGTAGGTTCACTGGTGGTTTTGGACAGTACATAAAATGGCTATACTGTGTAGACATCATGACCCCTGGTTCCTATCACCACCTCTGTAAAGAAAACTGAGTCAGTTAGGTTCTCTACAACAAACCATTTCACATCAAACTACTCTGAATGACTTTATTTACACCTCAACAATTGAATTATGCAGCATTTTGGAAATTTCCCTTTAAATGGCCAATATTATTAGTTACACGTATTTGTCCTTAAAATATTGACTGGGCCCAAGAATGGTGAGAGCTGACATATCAAAAATCAAGCTAATGAGTGCTTGAAGGGCAGGAACGAGGCACTACATGACCACATCCACACATGAAATCATCGACCAGGCAGTCTGGCGAGTCCACATAAACCGATCCTAATCCCAAAGTAAATAAAGCGCAAATGAATGCCATCCAACTCCACGGACACTTGCAGTATCTTTTGGCTCTTGAGGGAAGATCAGGATATTGTACAAAACACAGAGCCCCAGCCAAAGTAAATGACTGGGAGCTGATAGTTCGGCTCTTAATTGGGAAATCTGATGCAGTGTTTGATTGCAAAACTCTTATACAAAGATTTTAAATATGAACACTGGGCAAACGGCCAAGAAACCTCCTTGCAGCTTATCTGAGGTAAGAGCAACTTCGACATGGATACCCAAATAAACATTCAGCTTGGATACCAGATTTTTAAAAAAAACTGGATTTATAATGACGTAACATTCCAGCAATCTGAACTTGGCAATGCTACGACTTTTCCAAATGTACAGCACGTAGTTACGTTTATTTTTTTATACTCCATGTTTCTGGCCTATTGTTAAATAGACTTACATACAACTCACCGTTTATAGCCATTTGGTGACAGGTATACACTAACAAACCACTTTAGCTGCAGGCCGAGATAAAACTTTATCTAAAATAATGTTAGTTTTGCTTAATTTACTGATGTTGACATCTCAGTTGGCACTTTCTACCCCAACTGAGATGATAAAAGAAGCCGCTTCTTGTGGCCCTTAGCATGGAGATTTACAATAATGCTGCCTTTCAGATGTAGAAAAACATTTAGCTTATATAATATTATTTCTGATCCTTTTACTGAAGTGGACGTTTCATTTCAGAAGATCAGAAAAGAAGGCAAAGTCACTCTTTTTCGTCTTTTGGTGAGATTTACAGCAATAATCTATTTCAGATGCACAGGACACTGTGAGCTTCCAACTTAAATAATATTATTTGTTCACTATACATATCTGTGTGTAGTAGAAACTGAGACTGAGGCAAACCTTTACCTTAAATAATGTTATTTCTGGTTCATTTGCTGATGTTGACGTCTCAGTTCACACTTTCTAGCCCAATGGAGAAGATAAAGCAGAGAGAAAGCCCTGTCTCTGACCGAGTAGCTGCACAAGCAACTTTATTAAAGACAACTGAGGTAAAGCTTTACTTTAAATACTATTTTTGACTCTGTTTTGCTAATGATGGCGTCTCATGATCGGATGTTTACACGATACTTTACTAAAGATGACACCGAGGCAATAATTAAGCTCAAATGTACTAAAGCTGGCATCTCGGTTGGGTCTTTCTCACCCAATGGAGGTCAGAAAGCAAAGGCTAAGCCACCGTTCACCGTCATTTGGTTACAGGTTTCCACCATAACCCAGTTTAAATGCTAAAGAAACTTTATGAAAGAGGACTGGGGTGAACTTCAGCCTAAATACTGACATTTCTTACTCGTTTGCTGAAACTAGCATCTCACCTGGGGCTTTCTGAACCAAAGTACACGAGGAAAGAGAGAGAAAGGCGAAAGTTGAAGTAAAATTGGCACTCACCTCCTCCTCGTGGTTGCTGTATTCACTGCTTTCGTTTTCTTTTTCAATTTTGTTGTTCATCTTGTTCAACCCTTCCCGCTGTCAGAGACCGAAGTGACCGTTTCAACCGTTACAACGAGTCATCAAATTTACCTTAAACCGTCGTCGATTAAGTCGATATTTTTCCACTCATTTGAAAATATTATGCACTCCGTTCGGATATTTCTCAGATGTTGAGCGGTTTCTGAGGAGAAATTACCTGCTTTTTTCAGGTTTTGAGATAATTTTTGGTGTTTTTGTCTTTGTTGCGCCGCAGTTTCGTGCCTCAAGAACGCTCGCGAGTGATGAATTCGCTCTATCGTAACGGTTTTTTTCTCCCATTTTACCCACCCGTATTCCGCCTCGGTCCCGCCCCCAATGCGCCGCGATTGGCTGGTGGCCTTGCTTCTCCTGCGCTGGGACTGGTTAGTGGTTCGTACCTAGGAGCCAATCCTAGCGTAGAAAGTGGGAGGAAACTAACCAATCGCAGCGCGGAGGAGGCGGGACTTTTCCGGAATAGGGGTGGAAAGAAAAACAACGATTCTTTCCGCAGCAGCTCTTGGGAGGAAAGTTTCATTCAAGTGAAAGAAAAGAACTACAAAAAAAAACCTCCCGGTCACAAAGGTTTATGTCTTTAGTTACTGTTCAACTCGTAGCTGTAGCTCTGTATAAATTTTGTTGCCACAGGATTAAGCATTAACCAACTTTCCTGCTCTTGTTGTGTCTTTCTTAGGGACTTGTTATCAAACCTACGTAAGGTGGATACCAGAATGTAAAAGGTGTTTGGCCTGTTTATTGGCACAAGATGCTTGAAAAGCTCGGGACTTTCTAACATTAAAGGGGAATTCCACCGTTTTTTTTTAATTCAGCATAATTCAGAGGTTATGATATCACCAAAGTCATTCAGAGTGGTTTGAAACAAAATGGCTAATTGTTGAGAAACTTACCGACTTGGATGTCTTTACAGTGGTGGTGATAGGAACCAGGGGTCAGAATGTCTGTGACACAAATCCATTTACACATCTTTCAACAAAAGTTCAACAAAAGCTTTCTGTGGGAACTGCATGTACCCCTCCGCCATCAATGTTTAAGATTGGTGATCTTTGTTCATACATTATATATATATCTATATATATATATATATATATATACACATGCGTACATACATGCATACACACACAATAAATCTTGACATTCTTTTCATCTGAGTCACAGACAGAAGAAAGGAAGGCATGGAGAAAGGACAAAGACAAAGTGAGTGCTGTGGTAGGTGCGGCAAGAGAGAGGTCCTCCTGCGTACATACACCCACCCACTTCATGTAGACGAGTGGACATGGAGACACTCCAGCTGCTCATGACACACAAACATGATCCAGTTCCTCTTCACTGCCTTCATTCACTGATCCAGAGTCAGAGACTCACTTTAAACACAAACAGAGATACAAGAACCGCGAGGTCAGTATTGTACATCATTAACTCTAGTGCACTTTTACAACTTCATAAAGTTTATATGTGGGAGAGAGAGAGAGAGGTAGAGAGAAAGTAAGACTGAGTGAGAGAGAGAAAGGAAAAAGAAGGGAGAGAGAGAAAAAAAAAGAAGGGAGAGAGAGTGAGAGAGAGAGACAGAATGACAGGAGAGACAGAGATAGAAATATTGGAGAGAGACAAAGACAGAAAGAAAGAAAGGAGGGAGGAAAAAAGGAGAGACAATGAACAAGAGAGGAAGAGAAATAGAGAGAAGAGCGAGAGAGAGAGTGCAAGAGGGGAAAGGAGACAGAGAGAGAGGGTGAGGCAGAAAGAGAGTAAGAGTGGGGAGATAAAGAAATAAAAAAAGAAAGAAAAAACACAAGAAAGGGTATCAGAGAGAAAGAAAGAGTGAGAAAGAGATATGAAGAACAAGAGAATGAAAGGAAATAAAGAAAGAAGGAAAGAGAAGAACAGAGAGCTAGAGAAAGAGCAAGGGGGGACAGAGGAAGAGAGAAAAGAGCGAAAGAGAGAGAAAGAGGACAGAGTGAAAAGAGTGAAAAAGAGAGATGAGAGAGAAAAGCAAAGACCAGGAGAAAGACAGAGACAACAGAAACAAGTGTTCATTGAAACCATGCAGCATCGTTCTGTTGTAGTGTTAGTGTTGTAGAGTTACAGTGTTGTAGTGTTACAGCGTTAGTATTGTAGTTACAGTGCTGTAGTATTAGTGTTGTACAGTCACAGTGCTGTAGTGTTACAGTGTTAGTGTTGTAGTTACAGTGCTGTAGTGTTTGTGCTAGTGTTGTACAGTTACAGTGCTGTAGTGTTATAGTGCTGTAGTGTTGTAGTTACAGTGCTGTAGTGTTAGTGTTAGTGTTGTACAGTTACAGTGCTGTAGTGTTATAGTGCTGTAGTGTTGTAGTTACAGTGCTGTAGTGTTACAGCGTTAGTGTTGTAGTTATAGCGCTGTAGTGTTACAGTGTTAGTGTTGTAGTTACAGTGCTGTAGTGTTAGTGTTGTACAGTTACAGTGCTGTAGTGTTACAGTGTTAGTGTTGTAGTTACAGTGCTGTAGTGTTAGTGTTGTACAGTCACAGTGCTGTAGTGTTACAGCGGTAGTGTTGTAGTTACAGTGCTGTAGTGTTTGTGCTAGTGTTGTACAGTTACAGTGCTGTAGTATTACAGTGTTGGTGTTGTAGTGTTAGTGTTGTACAGTCACAGTGCTGTAGTGTTACAGCATTAGTGTTGTAGTTACAGTGCTGTAGTGTTACAGTGTTAGTGTTGTAGTTACAGTGCTGTAGTGTTAGTGTTGTACAGTTACAGTGCTGTAGTGTTACAGTGTTAGTGTTGTAGTTACAGTGCTGTAGTGTTAGTGTTGTACAGTCACAGTGCTGTAGTGTTACAGCGGTAGTGTTGTAGTTACAGTGCTATAGTGTTACAGCATTAGTGTTGTAGTTATGGTGCTGTAGTGTTACAGTGTTAGTGTTGCAGTTACAGTGCTGTAGTGTTACAGCGTTAGTGTTTTAGAGTTACAGTGCTGTAGTGTTACAGTATTAGTGTTGTAGTTAGTGTTGTTGAGTTGCAGTTCTGGTTATGTAGTGTTAGTGCTGTAGTGTTACAGTGTTAGTGTTGTAGAGTTGCAGTGCTGTGGTGCTACAGTGTTAGTGTTGTAGCATTACAGTGCTGTAGTGTTAGTGTTGTTGAGTTGCAGTGCTGCAATATTAGTGCTACAACATTGTAGCTCTTTGTTTATATGACACTCACAGCACGACACAGCATTAATGAAACTCTATAGCTTACAGTGAAGAGAGAACATGCTGAACACAGACTCTCTTTAACAAACCAGTAAACTCTGTCATGCCTGACCCTGATTCACGTGACTCTGTTAGTGACCCTTATCTCTGACTAATTCTACCAAATGTCAACATCCTTATACCGAGGAACCAGGCCTTACTCTGTTTTATCATATTTGGATCTTTAAATATTTTAGTGAATAAATATCTAAATATATAATTTTCACTCTCTTTAATGAAACCTTGTACCTCTAAAATAATAACTTTAAATTAGAAGTAAAAACATGCTATATATATATATATATATATATATATATATATATATATATATATATATAGCTATATATGTTCTTTTTACCTCTATTTTTGTTTAGGTGTACAGATGACCAGTATAGGAACTATTTGGATCATATAATATCTGAGGACCTACAAAGGGAGAAAAATAATGTCATGTCTTTCTTGTGGAATCCACTCTTTCCTTTTGCTTCAAAACAGTATGGTAAAGCTTTAACGGGTGACAGAGTCACAGAGAGAGAGAGAGAGAGAGAGAGAGAGAGAGAGAGAGAGAGAGAGAGAGAGAGAGGAACAAGCTGGGCAGAAAGAGTAAAATATTTACAGGTGTATATACATTTAAAATTACATTTGGATTTAATTATGAAATATTTGTTCATCTTCTTTCGGGTCACTCAGATATAAATTATAAATGAACATGTCAGTCCGTATGAACTTCAAACTAACTGTAGTCTTTCGAGCGTAAGAGAATGCGAACGGATCAATAAAGCAGAAACCCAAAGACCAAATGCTTGAACTGTGTTTAAATGGTGGTCTCTACACTGAAGCGTTTGATTTGAGTGGAAAATGTAATTCAGGCTCCACTGACATTTCACTTTAATGAATATTGGCATGTGGCTGAACTTAAACTTTCCTACTGGGGGATTTGTCACTTTCTGTAAGTATCTCTTCATTTTTCCTAGTGCAGATTCACTTTGTAATCTGGAGCTCTCCCATCCAAAGATGTGATTTTCTAAAAGTATCAGTGAATTGAAGCGTTAAAGTTTACATTTGGTACACACCGGCAGGCAAAAAGATTTGCTCAAAGGCACATACACTATATGGTCAAAAGTATTAGGACACCTACACAAGCTTTTATGACATCTCATTCTAAATCCATAGACATTAATATGGAGTTGGTCCCCCTTTGCAGCTACAACAGCTTCCACTTTTCTGGGAAGCTTTCTACAAGATGTTGGAGAGTGTCTGTGGGAATTTTTGCCCATTCATCCAGAAGAGCATCTGTGAGGTCAGACACTGATGTTGGACGTGAGAGCCTGGCTCGCAGGCTCCGCTCTAATTCATCCCCAAGGTGTTCTATCGGGTTGAGGTCAGCACTCTGTGAGGCCCAGTCAAGTTCTTCCACACCAAACTCACCCAGCCATGTCTTTATGGACCTTGCTTTGTGCACTGGGGCTCAGTTATGCTGGAGTCCAGTGGCCACACTTTACACCACTCCATCCAACGTTTGGCAGTGTACTTTGTCATGAAAGGCTTGCATGCAGCTACTCAGCCATGGAAATCCATGCCGTGAAGCTACTGGCGCAGTTTTTGTGCTGATGTTAATGTCAGAGGAGGTTTGGAGCTCTGCAGTTATTGAATCAGCAGAGCATTAGTGACTTTTATGCACTATGCTCCTCAGCACTCAACAACCCGCTCTATAACTTTACATGGTCTGACACTTTATGGATAAGTTGCTGTGGTTCCTAAATGCTTCCACTTTTCAATAATACCATGCACAGCTGATTGTGGAAGATCTAGGCTTGTTGCAACGATGGTACCCAATTACAGTAGCACATTCGAATCCAGCGAACTCTTTAAAACGACCCATTCTTTCACAAATGTTTGTAAAGGCAGACTGCGTGGTTAGGTGCTTGATGTTGTACACCTTTGGCAATGAGACTGAACGAAACACCTAAATTGAATGATTAAGAGGTGTGTCCTAATACTTTTGTCCATATAGTGTATGTTATATACTATGTTCAACAACTGGTTTTTACATATCTGAAGGGACTTTTATGTTCTTCTTTAATTAAAGGAGGAAAGCTGTAAAAAATGGCTAGTGAATAAGTAATAAACCCCCAGCATTGGGCTGTGGAGCAGTGGAACTGTGTTCTCAGGTGTGATGGAGCTCCATACAGTACCTTTGGGATCAGTTGGAGTAGCGTTTGTGATCAAGAACTAATCATCCGTCATCAGTGCCTGACCTCACTAAAGCTCTTGTGGCGGAATGCAATCAAATCCCCACAGCGATGTTCCAACATCTAGTGTAAAGCCTTCCCAGAAGAGTAAAGACTGTAACTGCAGCAAAGAGGGGATAAACTCCCTATTAATACCCTTGATTTCAGAAGAAGTGTTGGAGGATCAGGTGTCCACAAACGTCTGGATATTGATGTATGTATGCTGCCACTGCTTACATGCTTACAGGTAAGTCTTAAGCTTCAGTCCATCAGCAATTGAGCCGTTCTAGTTTTCAATAGAGCCGAGCTGAGGTTCGTAATTGCCACTGAGAGTCGGTGGGGGCCGCAGTAGCCTGTAGGTCACACATCAGCTCTGCAGCAGGAGAGAGGCCACGATCCAAAGGTCATCTGTCACAATGCCTTTATAACATACGCCGAGGAATAACTGACCTTTCTTAAATACAACACACAGCACTGTAAGGATGGGCAACACAGCAAAAACATAACATCACAAGTCAGTTTCACGATACACGATATGTATCACAGAACCTTTTCATTTTTCTGAGATATGAAAACAAGTTGGAATAAACAAAATGTACCAGCAAAACAGTAGTTAAAAAGCTATAAAAACACTAAAATGATATTTATTATCATTTGCCATCATTTAAAATTAAAAATTAAAAATAAAAAATTCATAACACATTCTTCTTCAGTACTGTGACGTATTTGGGAGTTAAACTCAATATCAGACAGGGTCTCTTAGCAAGGCTTTCTCTCTGTGATAGGTTGTAATGTCTGTAGAGGTGGATACACTGTGCCTTCTGAGGGACGCCCACCCCAATTTGAGTGCATCCATCCACATACTGTGAACACACACAATTTACTATTATGCTCTACAGTCATGTGCAAAAGTTTGAATACCCTTGGTCAAATGACGTTTTCTCCTCTCCAGAGAAAATGCTTAAATACAGCTTTTTCTGTTAATTTAGTGCACAATATCTATTTATGGACTGTGTTTAACACACTAGGAAAGAAATAAAACAAAATATAAAATGTGCCTTAACTTTTGTACATAAATTTTCACGTTTCATGTTCTGGTCATGTTTATGTGTGTACGTAGTAAACCAGTGTCCTCAAAAGTGGGTATATACCGTAAACCTGCATTTACACCACTAACTACGCTAGCGTGTATAAGTGGTGAAACATTGTAATGGTTAATATCGTTTTTCCCTGTTTGCTGGTACATTGATGAATTAATTAGAAATCAGATGATGTTTAGAGGAGAAATAATCATATACTCAGAAAAGCATGACATTTATCACGGTAACAGGTATATCATTATACTGTTCCCCCCACCCCCTGCAATAGTGACCCCAAAAGCCCCAGGGCAAAAAGGGACAAAGCAATTGCTTATATCAGTGGCTTTCAATCTGGGGGGTGTGGCCCCGGGAGTACTGCTAGGTGGCAGTTTTAACTACAAAAATTCATCAAAGTCTAGATATTTCACCAACTGTAACTTTAAACATTGTCGATTTACAAAAACAAAATGTCATATTTATACCAAGCTCATTGAGTGTTCTGGCAAAATGCTAGCCAGTTATATTTACATCGTCAGAGAAAGTTCATGTAAAATGTTCTGCTTTTCAAACGTATGAAACTCATCCATCATAGATAAATGTAAAAGATTAAAGGCTCTTTCAAAAGGAAACAATACGATAGGAAATGTATCTAAAGTTGTTAAATTGTTTGCAGCTTTCTTCTCTTCAGCCTGACATCCAGCACTTAGTATCGCATTTACTGTGTCAGAAAAACAATCTGATTCGTTAATCCTATGGACCGTGGAAGCTTTTGTGATCGTTTGTGTGGGATGCGAGTTGCAAAAGGCTGAAAACCCCCTGGTTTATCTGATGCCAAATATTTTCAACATCAACATAATGAGCCATCTTTTAAAACAACAGACTGAGCAAATGTGGCCTCATTGCATAATGATAATGGACTGCTTTACTTCCATTGTTAGCAACTATCCTTTTAGTCTCTGAATCCTCCAAAGCTTCAAACTCACAGTTCTCCAGCACAACAGGCTGAACTTTGACCACCTTTCTCCATGATCACCCTGCAGAGTGTCACTATGGTGCCACCTGGTGGATCTAACACAGAACAGCAATTCCTACAAAACATAGATCAGGATAACTGGATGAGAAAGCCTTTAATATCAGGCAACAATAAATACAAAGAAAAATACATGGCAGAAGGTGACAAACAGATCTTGTAGTGACAATTAAGCAATGAAATAATACAAATAAAGGAAATGCTAGATCCAAGCATGGACCATTTATGTTACAGTGACTACTGAGCAATGAACTAAGGAATAAAGAAACTACGAGATTCAAGCATGGACCATTTGTTTGTATTATCACCAGTGCAGCTCTCTAGTGTAAACTGTACTGTTCAGCTTCTCGCAGGAGTGGAGTTCCCCTTCACCGTTTTCTTCAGATGGTGGTAGTTGGGTAAAATCTTCATCAGGAAGTCCAGCTGCAGCGTCTGAGGCTGTTTGAGGACGGAAAATAACAGTTTGTATGCCATACGTGAGATCTGAATTGTCACTTCGTGTCCTAATGGGCATGCTTTAAGGCACTGATCTGGCAAATAATCAAATTTACACAATTTTCCATTTATCCCACATGCAGTCAATCAGCCAAGACACAATCGGGGCCCCAAATTCACTTCCTTAGTTTAGCACTGGAGCTACGAGGCTAATGTTGCTCACACGCCCTAGAAGTCTCACTCAAACCTTTTCTTCTCTCAACCTGCTCCAAACTTGGTCATGGGGTTTAGGAGACAGTATGACTTGCTAAGAGGCATAAAAGTAAACAGAACTACACTGTGTGGCTGAACTCTGTGGGCAAATGATGCAGAATCCGACTCGCCTTCAAGCGCATGTAAGTCACACAAGCATAAGGACATTACATCACATTAGGTTTGGGATTTCTGTCGTTCCTATTTTTAAGACCTGGATGCTGTTTGAGTGCGTTAAGAAACGTTTTGTGGATGGATTTACAGGAAAGACTAGTGACTTCTAGTGTTAGCAACATTAGCCTTGTAGCTGCAGTGCTAAACTACAGCAGCAAAATTTGGACTCCAAACATGTCTTAGCTGATCGACTACATCTGCGTTAAGTGGAAAAGCTGCACATTTGATTTTTTGCTGAACCACCCCTTTAATATCCCACAAATCAAAGCTTGTTATGCTTGGTGGAGTGAATGTAACAATGTATATTATAAACTTTAAGCATCTAAGTTTCTTTATGTGTCCCTCTGTTATGCATGTACTTAACCGCATCTGTACAGGTAAAAAAAATAAATAAATAAAAAAGTACGCAATTTTCCCACCTTACTTAAAAAAAAAAGCCTAAATCTTCACACTCTCATGTCAAACTGAGTGGAGTTGTTAAGTAATCTCTCATAAACTTGATTATGTGGTTCCTGACACTTTATGAAACACTATTATCTATAAACATGGACTGAAGTATGGATTAAATTCAGTCTTCCAGATGGCTGCGGCTGTTTGTCAGCTATGTAATGTACTTTTGCTCATGAAGGATTAACTGTGTAAATACAATTTTTCACTACTACTTTAAGAAATGTGTTCAGGTTGTGTCTCCTTGGGTCACCTGTGGTCTCTCTGTCTGAACACGCCGCATGCAGCCGGAGCCGTAGATAACCGTGTTCTCTGGAATCACCTCACAGGTGTTCACCTGACAGCACGACCCGATAATACACCCACTCGTCAGAATCACATTCCTCCCCACGTCAGCTAGAAGAGGCAGAAGAATAGCATGTGACTGTTTACCTGCATGATGAACTGAAGCATATTCATGCTGTCGTCAGAAAACCTTGCATCACCAAAAAGGCAACATGTCAACAAAATAAAAAAACGTGCTTAACTTCAATAAACATTCATGTACACCAAAATATAATATTGAGTTCCAAATCATTGTGGAACATTTCCATTAATCCATTCTTCATTAAATGTTTCTAAGTTGCCAATGTAAGGCTGCAAATATTACAATCTAGCTACATTAGCGAAATATCTCAGATGCCAATACCTCCAAAAAGCTCGAGGAAGCTTCATTACCTTTAGATTCAATGACATTGTTGTCCCCGATTTTCAGTGCCTGAGAAACTGTCATCAGACAGAAGTCAGAAACAGATGCAAAACATTGACATCTATTTACGACAGAGTCTACATAGTGTAGTTTACAACTTAGTTAATAATGCTAAATTAATGCTGCTAGTTGGTGCCAGCATACCACAGCCAACTTCAAAAACATTGTTGACGCCTATCGTCATTGTCTTGGGTTCGACTCCCTCTGTGTCAGGCATGATGTTTTCAGGATAGCTGTAGAAAAAACATGAGAACAAGTAAGGTGATTTCCAGCTTCAACACCCTACTAAACTGGGATCAAACTAGGCTCAACACGGGGCATCCTCCTTCTCATACTATGTAGGAGACACTATATGCATGCACGATTAAAGACTACAGCCCATCTTTTAATGCACAGTTTATCAGCAGTCTCTACAGTCTACAGCCCACAGTCACTACCTGTACACCATCTCTAATAGAGTCAGAAACCCCTGCACAGGGGTCAAGTTCAATCTTAGGGTGACTAGGTGTTTAAAAGCAGGGAAATCTCCAAACTGCTGCTCTCTTGTGCAGTAAGGTGCTTTGGCTCTACCTGTTAATGATGAGAGCCTGCTCCTCTATCAGGTTGCCTTCTCCTATGATGATGGGACCGGCCTCTGCAATAATACGGGCTTTGGGGTGAACCACCGTCCTCGGCCCTGCAATTAAAAACAAGCAAATTGTTTGAAATACTGTTTTCCATTAGATGGTTTAAATAAAATGGGAGTTAATACTAAGGGTGTAACGATTTCAGTACAGCACTGAAAAACTAAGTATTCAGGTATCTACTTTTGTAGATAATGCAAGGACACACAACTTTGCATTTTGCTTTTAAATGAAGAATCTGTATGTGATAATCAAATCAAAGCTGCCCAAAGAGTGGCCCACTGGCCAAAGTTGCAAATGAAATTTGATTTGGCTATCCAATCCCTCACCAATCGGTCACTTTATTAAGAACACTACCTTGTATCTACACTCATTGCCCCTTGTCACGCATTCTTAAGAACCTATATCCTCCTTCATTTGTATACTATTTTGTCGTTTTGACCACAACAAGCCATTGCATGGAAAGCTCTGCAGAGGGTTGTGCGGACAGCCCAGCACATCACCGGGGTCCAGCTCCCAAACCTCATGGATTTATACACCAGCCGCTGCCTGAGGAAGACCAGGAGGATTCTACAGGACTCCGCCCACCCAATCCACTGTCTGTTCTCACAGCTGTCGAGCGGGAGGAGGTACAGAAGCATAAAGTCCAGAACCAGCCGGTTCTGAGATGGTTTCTTCCCCCAGGCCCATTTGGCTGCTGAACAGTCAGTGGTGCTGGTGTATCGGTCTATAGGCCCGTCACTACACCTCTGAGTCATCATCTCCATAGACAATCTACATCTCATCCGACTCACTCATCTGATCTTCTGCACCTTCAATCTAGCAAATCTGTACACATATAGACTGACATCTTGTACTTCTTCTATCCATTTCTTGTATAATCTGGAAGATTTCTATATTAATATTCTATCCTGTGTACCTGCAACTCATTTATCTACCTCAGACTAGCTGCACATATGGAATGTGTAGAACAGTACATTTCATAGTTTTATTTCATAACTTATTACTGCACAAATATACATTGGAATAGTGCAATACTAGTGTATAGTGTGTGTATATATTCAGAGTCAGTGTGTATATATATATATATATATATATATATATATATATATATAATATACACACATACATATATATACATACAGATGAATATTACATATATATACACACACACACACACACACACACACACACACACACATATATTATATATATATATACACACATATATTTTATATATGAGAGTGTATATACACATCTTTTTCTTAGATATTAATATATTGTTTTGTATTTAAATTCTACAGGTGATATCTAATGTGATTTGAACTTCGACTGCACTTTGGCCCACCCAAGACAAGACAGAATGTGTGTGCACCCTGAATCAGAGCTCTGTAGAATCACTTTTTAATACATAGATCAGCCAGATTAATCGAATCGAATGATCAAAATTCGTAACCGTAACCCGAGTAAATCAACATCGTTACACCCACAGAGAATGACTGATGGACTGTAATGCTGATGGGATGCTTACCAATCGTCACATCTCCTCTTATTTCACTCTCCACACAGACCACTGCACCTGCAGCTATTCTGACACTGCACAGAACAGAGCACAGTTAAAATAACTTCATTTATCAGCGGATCAGGAAAAAAGACTCGAGAGAAAAGCTCAATACAGGCACAGTTAGCATGCTAGGCTAGCCGGGTGTGGCGCATTTCTTCGTCCAATGTCAGGAAAATGAACCACACACCGAGTCGGAACAGGTTCATAGCGCAGGATCACAGTGTGAACAGACAGACTACGGGCAAACAAGGAGGAAAAACCGCGGATCGAACCTTTTCTGGTTGGTTTGTTTTGCGTTCGGGTCCGCCATGTCGGTGGAATGAACGCTGCAGTTCGCGATTACGAGGGCTGATAGCCAAGCGCGAACCGGCTCGATTGAGGATGTCTGAAATTCTGTAAAACGCTCATTAGTTTTTAGCGGCCTCTGCCGGACACGGAGGGCATTACAAACACAACCTACGGGCCAGTTCGCTTAATTTTAAGGTTATTGATTTAACGTACATATTTTAAATGATCGCCCCATTTATTTAAAATAAAGATCTATTCAAAACCTGCATCACCCGTGTGAAAAAGTAATCGCTCCCCTAAACCTACTAACCGGTTGTGCCACCCTTAGCAGTAACTACTGCCTTTAAAAGGTTTGCAAAACCTGCGATGAGTCTTTTTCATCGCTGTGGAGGGCTTTTGTCCCACTCTTCTTTGCATAACTGTTTTAGTTCGGCTACACAGCATGAACTGTCCGTTTAAGGTCTTGCCACAGCGTCTCAATGGGACTCAAGTCAGGACTTTGACTCCAAATCCTTAATTTTGTTTCTTTTGAGCCATTCAGAGGTGCTTGTGCGCTTCGGATCGTTGTCTGCCTAACCCGACTGTGCTTGAGCTTTAGGTCACAAACTGACAGGCAGACATTCTCCTTCAGGATTTTCAGATGGAGAGCAGAATTCATAGTTCCATCAGTTATAAGTCATCCAGGCCCTACAGAAGCAAAGCAGCCCCAGACCACCATACTACCACCACCATGTTTGACTGTTGGTATGATATTCTTACGGTGGAATCAGAATGAAATTTCAGTAGGCTGGCCACTCCTGGAAAGGTTCACCACTGTTCAAAGCTTTCTCCATTTGTGAATAACGGCTCTCACTGTCATTTGCTGAAGTCCCAGAGCCTTAGAAATAGTTTAAGAACCTTTTCCAGACTGGCGAACTTTAATGACTTTGTTTCACAACTGAGTCACTTTAAAATGTGGCCTCACGTGCTGCTTTTTGAGACCTTCTAACCTGCTTCACATTGGCAGACAGGTTCTATTTAAGTGATGTTTAGATTCAACAGGTCTGGCAGTAATCATGTCTGGGTGTGGCTAATAAAATTCAACCCAATGGTCAACTGAATTGGGTTAACTGGTTGATTTAGTAGTGCCTGCATGCGACTAGTGAAATCGAACCAATAGTCAATAAAAATTTTGGGTAACTGGTTGATTTAGTAGCTAAGGGGGCAATTACTTTTTCACAGAGGGTCAGGTAGGGCTGAACATCATTTTTCCTTCAATAAATGAAATCATCATTTAAAAACAGCATTTTGTGCTTACTTGGGCTATCGTTGTCTCATATCAAAAGTAGTTTGATCAGAAATATTCAAGTGTGGAAAAATATGCAAAAAATAGAAGCAATTTGGAAGGGGCAAATACTTTTTCACAGCACTGTAACTCACTCACCACGGTGGCGCTGATGGTAGCTTTAATGGCAACAAAATGTTCCTCATTTGAAAATGCTCTTTTCTTGTTTGGTAATGCAGTCTTACTCCTCTTTTGTCCTCGGTTAACAATTCACTCTTTCCACCAATCCCTTGGGAAATTGGACAACTTTTCAGATTTACAAATATGCTGGGACATATTGTAGAGCTTTTCAAAGGTATCCCAAGCATAGTTGCTAAGCTACAAACGACCAACTGAATTACAAACAAAGCGCCACAGAGGCAGATTTTAGTGCTGCATCTCTAGTTTGTTAAGAATGTTAAACACAGAGCTCCCCATTCATTGTTGAAGGAGGCACAATGACTCTTCTCTGAATTTGTATTTGTGTGTCTGTTTTTCACTAATGGACAATAACAATATAACACATTTATTTTCAAGGACCCCTGAGAATTTCGATTTGGAGACATTCAGGGGGTCCAAGATGTTAATTATGGGATCCCGGACACCCCAGGACCCTTTGTATTTCACACCTAAAGGGGAATCCACACTTGTATGCAAAAGTTTGCACACCTCTGGTCAAATGCTTTCTAAGCAAAGACAAGTTAACACACCCTCTGCAAAGAACAACCTTAAATATTACCTTTGCTGAGTTTTACATTTTGGAAAAAATAATAAAATTATGTTCAAATATAATTATGACATGTGCCAAAACTTTTGCACAGGTCATATTTCATGTGTTTTCCCCCAGTTTGTCAATTTCAACAAATAAACAATACTTATGCCTTAAAGTGTGCAGAAGTGTGTTCTCGGTAGAGGACATGTTCACTTATTTTCAACTGTATATACTGGAGTCAGTGCTGCCTGGACCCTGGACAATACCCTCTACACAGCAGGGTTAATGTACAAAGTGGACTTGCTGCATGATTCTGTATGGGGCTCTATCTCAGAGAGCGAGGGCGAGCGAGAGAGAGAGAGAGAGAGAGGGAAAGAGGTGGATGGGGGGGCACTGCAGAGCACACACCCTAACTCACTGTACATTCAAAGGGAACACGAGGGAGTGAGGGAGAGGAAGAGGGAGAGAGATGTAATTGCTGAGTCAGGTAAACTGTAGAATGGTCAGAGAGAGGGAGAGAGAGAAACTGCAGCAGAGCAAAGGGAAAAAGCAGCAAGTGAAAAGTGGACATCCAGCACATGCACACAGTTAGCGAACTTCCCTGATCGGAGTCAGTCCAGCCGTGATGTAGCGCTGTTTCTGGATCTTTGCCAGAGTTAGAGCACAGGTCACAGTTCAGGGAGTCCATTCTGACCCAGTGGACTGAGGTCCAGAGTGAGTGGTGGACTGAGGTCCAGAGTGAGTGATGGACAGAGAAAGACATCCCCATCTCAGGAATAAGGTAAGACTCCACCAACTTACTGAAACATGACTTACAACTTATTACCATATATATATATGAGCATTGATATATACGGAATGAATATTGATAAATGTCAATATATACTGAATGAAAGTTTATATGTATTGAATGAACATTGATATTTATGGAACTAATATTTATATTTATATTATGAAATACATAATATGAAACAGATTTATATATTTATTTATGATTATTCCATATATATCAGTTCATTTTATATATATAAATGTGCATTAAATATTTCCTGTTTGGCTTGCCATTATATATGTGTGTGTGTGCGTGTGTGCGTGTGTGTGTGTGTATATGTGTGTGTTGTGTGTGTGTGTATGTGTGTTGTGTGTGTGTGTGTGTATATATTATATATTACACACACATATACAACCCCATTTCCCAAAAAGTTGGAACACTGTGCAAATTGTAAATAAAAACAAAGTGCAACAATGTGCACATCATTTATACCCTATATTTAATTGAAAATAGTATAAAGGCAACATATCAAATGTTAAAACTGAGAAATTTTATTGTTTTTTGAAAAATATATGCCCATTTTTAATTTGATGCCAACAACACATTTCAACAACGTTGGGACGGGGGCAACAAAAGGCTGATAAAGTTGTATAATGCTAAAAAAAACACCTGTTAATTGGTAGCAGGTCAGTAACATGATTGAGTATAAAAGAGCATCTCAGAGAGGCTTTCAGAAGTAAAGATGAGGAGGGGTTCACCACTCTGTGAAAGGCTGCACGATCAAATAGTGCAACAATTCAAGAATAACGTTTCTCAACATCAAAAAGCAAAAAACTTTTGCTTTTCATCATCTACGGTTCATAATATCATTAAAGACTCAGAGAATCTGGACAAATCTCTGTATGCAAGGGACAAGGCCAAAAAACAGTATTTGCTGGCTGTGATCTTTGGGCCCTCAGGCAGCACTGCATTAAAAACAGACATGATTCTGTAGTGTAAATCACTGCATGGGCTCAGGAACACTTCTGAAAACTACTGTCTGTGAAAACAGTTCGGCGCTGCATCCACAAATGCAAGTTAAAACTCTAAAACGCAAAGAAGAAACCAAATATAAACAGCCACCTGCTCTGGCCCTGAGCTCATTTAAAATGGACTGAGGCGAAGTGGAAAAGTGTCCTGTGGTCTGACAAATCAACATTCAAAATTCTTTTTGGAAATCATGGACACTGTGTCCTCCGGGCTAAAGACCACTCAGCTTGTTATCAGCACAAAGTTCAAAAGCCAGTATTCATCATGGTATAAGGGGTGCATTAGTGCACATGGCATGGGTGATGTGCACATCTGTGAAGGCACCATTAATGCTGAACGATATATACATGTTTTGTCAGCATATGCTGCCATCCAGATGACGTCTTTTTCAGGGAAGGCCTTGATTATTTCAGCAAGACAATGTAAAACCACATTCTGCATGTATTACAACAGCACTGCTCCATATTAAAAGAGTCCGGGTGCTAAACTGGCCTGCCTGCAGTCCAGACCTGCCACCACTGATAACACCCACTGATAACATCTGGCGCATTATGAAATGAAGAATACTGCAAATGAGTTCCAAAACTGTTGAGCAGCTGAAATCCTATATAAAACAAGAACAGGAAAACATTTCACTTTCAAAACTACAGCAGTGTCTCCTCAGCTCCCAAACACTTACAGAGTGTTGTTAAAAGAAGAGGTGATGAAACACAGTGGTAAACATGCCCCCGTCACAACTTTTTTGGAACATGTTGTTGGCATCAAATTCAAAATGGGCAGATATTTTTCAAAAAACAATATAATTTCTTAGTTTCAACATTTGATATGTTGTCTTTGTACTATTTGTCTTTAAAAATATGTTTACCTGATTTGCATATCATTGCATCCTATTTTATTTACATTCAGCACAGAGCATTCATCCCAACTTTTTTGGAAATGGGGTTGTACACATCATATATATATACATATATGTATGTAAATGTCTCATTATAACTTCATATATATATATATATTTGATGCCACCAATAGGTTTCAAAAAAGTTGGGACAGGGGCATGTTACATCACCTCTGTAAGAGTTTGGAAAAGTTTTCTTTGTTATATTTTTCTCTTCAAAATGCACCAAATGCATTTTCAGTGGGTGACAGGTCTGGACTGCAGACAGGCCAGTTTAGCACCCAGACTCCTTTACTGTGAACCCCTACTGTTGTACCACATGCAGAATGTGGTTTGGTATTGTCTTGCTAAAATGACGAAGGCCTTCCCTGAAAAAGACGTCATGTGGATGGCAGTATATGTTAGTCCAAAGCCAGTCACCCATGCCATGTGCACTAATGCACCTCCAGTTACCAGCAAAACAAAATAACCATCTACACTGATCTTACCGATACCAAAACATAAATACAAGTGTTTGCGCCCGCCCCTTACCTAATGTGTCTATATATTGGGCTGCTACGTGGTGTAAAAATGTATGAGCGTGCCCAGCTAACCTGTCCAGAGGCCAAAGAAAGTACAGCAGTGTATGAGAGAGAAAGAGCATAGACAGATGTAAAGCAGCAAGGCAATAAAGCAAGCGTGATTAACAACTTGAGGCATGAAAGCACAGACTGACATGGTCTAGACAAATCTCCATCTGGCGTGACAAAGCTAGCGCAGATACACACAAAACTACATGAGCCAAAAGAGCACAAAGCTTATGTGTCTGTGTCTATAACAACAAAGACCAGGAGCACATTAAACAGCTTGGAGTACAGGGAGAACACAGGCCTGTCGACAAGCTTTGCTGGGCTGCTTTTAAAGTTCAGGTCCCTCCTCCAGTGCCAGAACTCTGCATGATGATTGGTTGTCAAATGGTAGACGTCAGGCCTCTAATGATGACTGACACGGCAACCTATAGCAGAGATAGGAAGCAAACGAGTGAGCAACAGAGAGAGAGAGAGAGAGAGAGAGAAGAGAAACACCAGCCAGACACCCCTTATCCAGCCCGAACACGCAACAATACCATCACGGATGCTGGCTTTTGAACTGTGCTCTGATAACAAACTGGACAGTCCCTCTCCTCTATAGGACATGGAGTCTATGATATCCATAAAGAATTTCAAATTTTCATTTGACGGACCACGGGAGACATTTCCACTTCACCTCAGTCCATCTTAAATGAGCGCAGGCCCAGAGAAGGTAGCAGCGTTTCTGAATCCTGTTTATATACGGTTTCATCTTTACATACTAGAGCCTTAATTTGCGTTTGTGGATGCAGTGACGAACCGTGTGCATAGACAGTGGTTTCTGGAAGCGTTCCTGAGTCCATGCAGTGATTTCCACTACAGAATCAGGTCTGTTTTTAATTCAGTGCTGCATGAGGGCCCAAATATCACAGCCAGCCAGTACTAGTTTTCGGTCTTGTCCCTTGCATACAGAAATTTCTCTGAATTCTCTAAACCTTTTAATAATATGTAGCATAGATGATGAAATCCCCAAGCTCTTTGCTATTTTACATAGAGAAACGTAATTGTGCAATATTTGCCCATGCAGTCTTTCACAGAGTGATGAACCCCTTCCCATCTTTACTTCTCAAAGATACAACCTCTCTGAGATGCCCTTTTTATACCCAATCATGTTACTGACCTGTTGCCAATTAACCTAATTAGTTGTGAGATGTTCCACCAGATGTCTTTTTAGCATTATACAACTTACCAGACTTTTTTATTGCCCCTGTCTCCACTTTTTTGAAACGTGTTGCTAGCAGATATGTGATGATACACTGTATATGATGTCACATGTAACTTACAGATGTGATGTACAGAGGTGATATACGGAAGTGATGTGTAACGCACAGGTGTGACGAACAGGTGTTGTATACATATATATATATATGTGACTCCTTGATGTGGTCATGTGACATAGGAGGACATGGTAATGTTGCCAGCATTGTCGCGAGTGGCAGTGTGTGGTGGCACCCATGGCAATGAGCTCTCAGGTGTCTACCTGGTGCGTGAGAGGCTGAAGAAAAGGAAGAAGAGCCAGGTGATGGAGCCAGCTGCTGTGGTGACAGTGATGTCGAACCCACGTGCTGTCCAGCGGTGTGTGAGATACACAGAGATGGACCTGAACCGCTGCTTCACAGACGCCATGCTAAGGTGGAGCGCGCGCGCGCACACACACACACACACACACACACACACACACGCACACACACACACATTACTGTAAGGTGAAGAGTAATTAACACTCAGCTAATTAAACATGCAATGATTATAGTACCTCCTAAACATTCTGACCTTTAAATTGATTGTTTCTCAAAGTCATTAAAATGCAGCTTATACACTCAACCATGAATAAACAAACTTCTGATATACACAATAATCTCCCTTTTTCTTTCTCTCCCTCTATCTCTCTCTTTACCCCTCTGTTTCTGTCTGTCCTCTCTCTAACCCTCCTCTGCCCTAATCCTGCCTCTGCCCTCACATTATTCCTTCTTTTTCTTTCCTCTCTCTCCACCCCATCTTTACCTCTCTTTCTCTACCTACCTACCTCTCTCTCTCTCTTTTTTTTTTCCCCTCAACCCCCCTCTCAGTCTCTCCCTCTCTGACCAGACTCCATATGAACTGGTTCGTTCTCAGGAGCTGAACTCTCTGCTTGGTCCTAAAGGCTCTGCTGAAGCTGTGGATCTGATCTGTGATCTACACAACACCACTGCCAACATGGGCCTGTGCCTCATCACATACTCGGACAGCGACTGGATATGCCTGCACATCTGCAAATATCTGCAGGCAAGAGCACAGCATCCTAGTACAGATGTTTACTGGTTTTAAAGCCATAGTCACCAAGGCCATCACATTTACTAAGGCTGAAACCGAAGGCATTGCCCTGTCCATGCTGTCAGTGCTGCAACCAAAACTGATTTGTGAAGGGGCGGAGCTTCATAGCACTGAAAGTCTATACGGAGGAAACGCTATAAATAAAGACATAAAACGAGAATGTATGAAACGCAGTAAGTTTAGTGACTGTATTATTATCTTTACTTCTGTGGCTTTACTGTTCGTTTTAGACTGGTTGGCCAGTTTGCTAAACAACCACAGCTGCAGTGATGCACGATTCCTGATTCTTCTGGTGTCAATGGAGTCGACTCCTCAACTGAATTTCTTTTAACCAAGACAGCACCAGAGCTGTTGATGAAGTGATACAGCAGATATTAAACCATCCTAAATGTTTACCCAATTTTGAGTGGATATAGATTATAACGTTATGATGTAAAGCTGAATGTTACGTTGTTACTCCTTCTACAAGGTTGAAGTTGACTTCATATTCGTCGGCTTCTTATTCAATTTCCTATTCTTTTTTTGGTCCATCTTAAGAAATGCAGCAGTTACCTTAATAGTGCGCTGGTGCCAGAATGTAACTGCAGCACCATTTAAAGTGAATTGCTTCATCCTCTTTTCCACAACGTTCTGCAAAAAATATTGTATTCATTTTTTTGTACCATTTCTAATCACTGTTTATTGCAACACTAATCGAGTTGTGCAGGACGTATCCAAATCGTTTTTGTGAGCAGAGTGTACTCTTACAGCAGCTTGTGTGCAGAGGTGGCACTGTTTAAAGCTGGTAATCAAACAAACTCACACTACTCAAACTCAGAATGTACCTCCAAGCCAATTACGAAAATACAAAGTCGAAGAGTCAAATCCAAACATTTCGACTCTTAGAGTTGGAGTTGAAGAATCGGTTCTTTAGGAAATGACTCCCGATTACTACTGTACACAGCTCACACCACTGTCACCAATCACGTCGGTTATTGATAACTATTTTACTACAGACCAGTGTGTAGCCCTATGCTGTGACAAGCATGTATTTATCTAATTTATCTTTGTATTTCCACTGTTTATGTTAAGTGAGTTAGCCAGCTTTTTAAGTGCTATGTTAGCTCCTTGGCTATCCTCAGCTGCACACCAGCCCCATATCGCCAAACACGTCAGTCGTCTACATTTATTTGGTACAACTCAGTGTGCATCACTATGTTCCTGCAAGTCTATAGTTACATGATACATTTATGTTCACTTTTGTGTCATTATTATATATATGGTAGGCGAGTTAGCTAGCTTGTTATCTGCTATCTTGTCGTTGCATTCATGTGCAATCATCTTGTAAATACTATATTTCCGACACAACTTGCTTACATTAGCTAAAATAGCTAATGAACACTGCCAGCAGAGCACAAAAAACAGATATAATAAAGAGCTGCCATGCTCGTTGTTCTAAAATGACAAAACAGGAGAAAATACTAAAAGACCTTTTTTAGTATTTTAGCGAAGCTTAGTGAGATTATTGTTTAGCTAAGATTTGTGGGATTAGTGTGTAGTCCTGAGATTAGTTTACCCTGCTGAAAAAAACTGCTGGTTTACGCTGGTTTGGTGCTGGTTTAGCCGGTCACCCTGCATGGTCATGATGGTTCACCAGCACACCAGACACCAAAACACAACATATGTTAGTTTTGCTGGTGACCAGCTATGCTTGCCCGTGCTGGTTTTTCTTGAAGCGTAGCCAACCAGCTAAAGCTGAGCTGATTCTAAATGATCCTGCAAAAGTCATTAAGAATTAAAGTGTCTAACTTTTTCTTTCTACCTTTTCAAATTCCTTTTCAGAAATAAGCTAAAGTAAAAGTAAGATAATTAATAATAGTTATTTTTCTACCTCAAGTAAAATATAATAAATACAGCAACTTATATGAAGAACCACAGTGAGTTACAAGTAATATACGAATATGGTCTTTACACAACAAAACCTAAGTACTTTTGCAGTTGTTCTGTGGTCATTAATAGACTTGATTATTGACACTGTATGACACACTGACTCATCTATAAACACAGACAAGAGCACATTAACAGTGGATTACTGAATTTTGTCTGAACTTCCATATTCTACCCTACTTTATGAAACACTCTGGTTGGGGGCTTAAAACAAAGAACCTGTTTGGTGACCAATTGTGCATGTGTTGATTTGGTGACCGATTGTATGTGTGCGTTTGCAGAGGGAGATGGCCACCATCCCAGTGAGATACATCCACTATGACATCCCACAGAGTGAAGCCTACTCATTGGACTCAGTGGGAAAACACGGCTTTGGTGAGTCTCTCACAAACTGATGTGAGATCAGTGCAGCCGTTTCTACTGCAGTGGACAACCCGCACTCTTATGTTCACAGCCCGGCCACTTTATCAGAAACCCCTCACTTGTAGCTTGCTGGTATACAGTTGGAGACTGTAGCTCACCTGCTGACACACAGTTTGTGTTAGCCGTCCTCTACAACCAAATCAGTCGGTGGTCAGTGTCTGTCCACAGAGTTGCTCTTGGCTGGATATTTTTGGGTGGTGGACCACTCTCAACCTAGCAGTGACACTGACGTAAGCTGGACTGGCCCGTTAGTAGAAGCACAGCATCAGTGTTTCTAATAAAGTGGCCAGTGACTGGAAGCACAAGGTAGGTGTTTCTAATAAAGTGGCCAGTGAGTGGAGGTAGATAATGTAAAACAATAAAACAGGCCAGGAAATAAAACAATAACAAGTAAAAAATGAACTAGAAGCAGTGTGAGAACACTAAACGCAACCTGTAAGACTACTAACATCATTAGAACATTAGAACCATTTTATACGTATATCTACAACAAAACACTGATTTCAGATTCCTTTGCTGACCAGTTGTTGAGGCAGCTGCCCATTAACTTCTATGATGTGTATTTTGAGTGAATAGGTTTTCTGTTCATCTCTGAATACAAGGAAATGTGTTGAAACTACTGTCCATGGTAACCGATTGTACACTAGAGATGCAGCAGAGAGAGATTAGGTAAAGAAGTCTACACTGTTCTTTAAATGGCACATGTGGATCCAGAGTGTCTGAACAGTCTTTATACAGATGAAGCGTGTCGGACGATTTCAGCTGGGCAGCTCTAACGGGGCGAGAAATGTCATTATGTCTCTCTGTAACAGATTTATTCAGCTGTGTGGCTGCCATGTGTTCAACAGGCCAAAGCAATCAGTGACACAATTTTCTTTTATGACTTTTATGTTATCTAGAACTTGTACCATTACTCGCTCCTTTTCTACATATTTTGTTCCTTTTTCAAGCTTAATAATGATAATAATAATCCAATCTTTTATATTTAGCTTTTGTTTAATATTACAATGCACACCAATTTCATGTATCTTTTTAAATCGTATTCTGTTATTTTACTAAATTATATTTTATTTTATTACTATTTTTCATCTTATACAAAGCCCTTCAAGCTGCTACATGTATGTAATGCTACGTACACAAAGTTCATTTTATATTTATTTTTATTTTTATAGGAATGAATGTTGGAATGCTCAAATAAGGGCTGTGTAAACATTTGTACACCCTTCTTACATCACCATGTTACAAGTACACACGAAACACCCTAACAACCACCTGGGATGTCATCATACCATAGCGCCAGCCTAGAACATCACAGCTACCACCTCCAATACCACAGCAATCACATAGTAGCCACCTGGAACAACATATGAACTGCTTAGCAACACCCTAGCAACCACACAGCATAGCACATACCATAGCAACTGCCTGGAAAAACACCACCTGAAACACTACAGCACTACTATTAACACCTTAGCAACCACCTTGGATAACTTAGCAACACCCTACCGACCTTCTAACATGCCATAGCAACCACCTAGAAAGACCGTGGCAACAGCCTAGCAACCACCTAATACTGCCTAAAATTCCTTACACATAGAAACTTAAGCTACACAGTCACTCTGCATTTTCTTCAGGAAATGTTATTATTATTATAGTTGTTGTTGTTGTTGTTAATATTATCAACTAGCTCCTAAAAACAGCAGATGACAGAATAATACAAAATGAAGAAAAAGCACTGAACAAGTGGAAAATTGTGGCTCTTTGGTGGATCAGGTTTTGCTTCAGTGAAGAATTTATTTCTTAATCTTTTTATCTACGGAGATAAAATTAAACAGTTTTTATTCTCCAGAAGTCCATTCTGTATTCCTTCTGTATGGGGTTTTGTTCACACTGAAAGCCAACATTATTACTGTTATGACGTTAAAGGGCCACCGCTAGCCGTTATTCATTATTAGGCCTGCAGTTTTGGCTGAATGGATGCTTTTCCACTTTCTGCCTCTCTCTGTCGAGCACAGCTATGAGTGCCACCAGAGTGATTCATACTGAAGCACCGCGCTGACTCAAGCACTCTGAGGAGTTATGCAGATTTCTTAATTTATGGACTATACTCCGTTTCACAGGGATTTCACTCGCACTGGAGATCAATCTGAAAGGCTACAGTGCGTTTATTTTTTTGCCCCATGTGCAAAAACAAAGTTAAAGTAGCTGTTATTCTCCAAATGAAAATCTGAACAAATGTGTTTCATATCCTGTCGCGATTTGCTGAATTCCAGTCTTAAAGGAATAATCCAACAGTTTTCAACCTGATCTCTATCTGCTGCATCTGTAGCGCACGGCCGATTACCACAGATAATTATTTCATCAAGCCTCCCTGTACTTAGAAAAGAAGTGAAAACCCACATTTAAAGCTCACATATAATAGGAACCAATGGGCAGATGCAGAACATCAGTAAATATTAATGCAAGACATGTATTTTTGCATAACACTTCCATTAATTCTTCAGAAAAGGTATTTGTAAGTGAGTTTTTACAGTCTTTGCCTGATCTCCACGGATACCAGAAAACCGTTCATTCGCAAAATTGAGCAACCGCCCACTGACTTCCATTATAAGTGAGTTTTGAGTCAGCGGGTTTTCTCTTTTTTGTAACAACAGGAAAACGAGCCGATGCCCATGATAATCAATCGTACACTATAATCAATTCGACACACTGTAGTCTGAAAAATGATTCCTTTAATTTTTTCAAACATGTATCTTACACATCACGTTTAAAAGCATGCTTTTGAATTTCAAAGAGAAAAACCCTGTTAAAGTCCCTACATTTATTTCTGTTTTCATATTTCCTCTACTTTCTAATCTCTACATACATACATCTTTCATGAACACCAACCCATGCTGTTTTCATTTTTCATTCGCTTTTATCTGAATGACATTTGTTTCTCCCTGCAGCGATGGAGATTGGCCCTCAGCCTCACGGTCTAATCAGAGCCAACATCTTTATGGCCATGCAGGAGGCAGTTCAGCTATTGTTGGACTGGGTTCGGCTCTTTAACTCAGGTATGGGGAAGACTACGCTAACCAGCATTCTTTGATGTATTTATAATGAGGCAAAGAGCACAAGTTTATTTCAGAGCACCGATTATACAGGGTAGATTTAGTATTCTAAGACACAGTATATTAAAAAAAACTCCAACATGGACACTTTAGTGGATCTGTTCACTTTTCTTTGGTAAAAGCAGACGTCTTTATCTTATACACCCTGTTTTTCCCCTCTTTCCTCTTCAGGGGCTCAGTTCGAAGGTGGTTCTGTGGATGTTTACACGTTGGTGAAGAACATCGATTATCCTCGAGATCCTCACACTCACACCATCATAGCAGCTGTGCATCCCGACCTACAGGTTTGGCTTTTTGTAAACATATAATTATATAAATTCTAAATGTTTTTATACTTTTTTATGATTTTTACAAGTTTAATATACTGCCGATTTCTAACATTAATACTTTCAGTGTGAGTGAATGGGTGATGATTGTGCCGTGTTCAGATTGGGTAACTGTAGTTACTGCATTTGTCTAAAGCTAAATGGTGTTTTTGGGTGCTTAAAACAAAGCCAACTTCATACGCTTTACTACATTTTTCCTGTATTTTATTTTATCCTCGAAGTCTACTTATAAAATTTGTGTGGTTTTAAGAACCAAAAACAGTCATATTTCATTTCTACATGACCGTTTTCCAACCGCTCTTTATCCATCAGCATTAAACAGACTGTTTTCGTTACTTTGCCTTTAAGACTGATACACTATATGGCCAAAAGTATGTGGACGCCTTACCTTCACACCTACATGGGTTTGTTGGACATTCCATTCTTCCAGAGTTCAGTGGCTGCCTGCTTTACACCACTCCGGCTGACACATGGCACTGCGCATAATGATCTAAGGCTTGTGTGCAGCTGCTCAGCCATGAAAACCCATTTCAGGAAGCTCCCGACACACAGTTCATGTGCTGATGCTGCTTCCAGAGGCAGTCTGGAACTCTGTAGTCAGAGATGCAAGATGTGCTACATGATTCAGCACTCAGTAGCCCCACTCTACTGCTTTGTGGCTGAGCTGTTGTTGCTTCTAGATGCTTCCATTTCACAATAATAGCACTTACAGTTGCCAGGGGCAGATCTAGCAGGGCAGAGGTTTTATGAATTGACTTGTGGCAATGATGACATCCAATGACAGTGCCACGTTTAAAGTCATTGAGCTCTTCAGTATGACCCATTCTACTGCCATTGTTTGTCTATGGAGACTGCATGGCTATGTGCTTGATTTTATACTGTTCGCTGTTAGCAGGGGGTGTAGCTGAAACACTTGAACTCAATAATTAAGCCCTTTAACCTAGACATTCCCACTCTCAGGGCTATTATGACATGTCTTGGCTGACTGACTACAGATGTAAATTGGTAACCGTTTGGATTTCCTGACATATGGAAATGAATCTTTATGGATAGGCAGATCAGCCAGTAACGAATCACACTGAATCATCTTTCTCTGTCTCTGTCTCTCTCTCTCTCTCAGGACAGGGACTTCTGTCTCCTTCACCCAGGCGACCCCATGTTCCTCTCTTTCTCTGGAGAGACTCTGAGGTATAAAGGGAAAGAGCCGCTCTATCCGTTCTTCATAAACGAGTCTGCGTACTATGAGAAGGCCGTGGCACTCTCTCTGGCCAGAAGGAGAAAAGTGGAAATTCCAGCCATCCGGTCCAGCAGAACTTAAAGGAGAGACTGATGAGCCACAAAGGCGGACGCAAGAAAGAAAAAATAAAATCAGGAGGCAAAAGATCACTTTTAACTGAGCTGAAGAAACTGGTGCTGTCAGAGCCAGTTAAAGGGGAGCCAGCCTACTAACTGTTATAACCAAAACATGATTCCTAAAACGGTAGAGGGAACTACAGAGAGAGTCATCAATGAATGAGAGTGAATGGAGCTAAACCGCCAAAAACACTAGTTAAATATGATTTATTTATTACTATTCAGCCATTCACAAAGGAACTTTAATTTTGGAAAAGTCAAATATAATTTTGGAAACATCACAAATATACACTAAACACTTAGTATCTCATAATAACGAGAATGTTTCTCATAAGTATGAATTACTATCCCATAATAATCACTTACTATCGCATAACAATAAGAATATTTTCTTTAAATTATGTGAAAGTATGTCATATTTATGAGATGTTAAGTCATTATGATGAGAAGGTAAGTCAAAATTATGAGACGCTAAGTCATAATTGAGACTGGATCTCATTATTTTGAGATAATAAGTCAATTATTATGACTTACTAAATGGCTATATATATATATATATATATACACATACATATATATACATACATATACATATAAATATATATGTATGTGTGTGTGTATGTATGTATATATACTTCTATCTATATCTTTATGTTTTTCATCATCAAGGTTTTGAGAACTATGCATGACTTTGCAATGAAAGTGAACGGAGCTAGACGGCTAAAAAAGCCAAGTAAATAAGTTTATCCTGCTAGCTAGGATGACCAGCATACCAGCATCCAAAACACAAAATATGCTGGTTTTCCTAGCAGGGTAGTCATTCACACAGGAGCTCGTTTTAATATGGAAAAAAGTAGAAGCATGTATTGCATAAAAATAAATACATATCAAAACTGTTCTATTCTTCTACAACAATGCGATGTTGGACACTAGCATGTTAGCATTACTGTTCAATGAAAAGAAACGAAGGGCGCTAAACATCTGAAAATGCAAATCAAAATTTTTTCTACTCATTCACAAAGGACCTTCCTTTAATCCTAAGAAAGTAGAAGCATAAATCACATAAAAATAACGAAAACTTACCAGTCTCTTTATCTCTCCATTTTTCTGGAGCAAACAGATTTTCGGCAGAAGAGCATCAGCATTAAATTAGCATTCAATGAATGGAGCTAAACAGATGTTTATTAAAAAAAAAGTCATTCACATGTGAACTTTCTCTAATTCTGGGAAGGTGTAGGAAAGTTTTACATAAAATAATGGACATTTACCAGCATATTTCCATACAGCAAAAAAGCTTTTTGGCATCAGCATACATTTCCATGAATGGAGCTAAAATGTTAATCAAATATATCTCTGATAGTTATATCACTTGTTCTGTTACTTTTGGTAACGTATACCCAAGATTTACATAACAAAAATATAAACTTATAAACAGTATTTTTCCATCTTACTACACAAATTTTGGTTTTCAGCAGGACACTAGCATTACTGCTGCTGAGCACTGTTAGGCGAGCTGATTGGCTGTTTGCACTCACTGACCTTACCAATATAATTAAGACACTGCTGGTAGCTGTGGGTCATTTTGTGGTGCGCCTTGTGCCCACATTAAGGACTCTGAGCCCTGTGGTAAATAAATGTTCAGAACCCAATATGTTTTGTCCTGTGTACATTTTTCTCCCGAATCCTCTGAATTGAGGTCGTTAAAGACATAGATATACATGCGTTGCCTGTTGGTCTCAATTGGAGCCTATACGTCTGCGCGTCCGCCATGTTGGAGCGGTCAAGATCAGCTTGTGAACAAATTCATCTGTATTGAGAGACGATGAGTCTCAGGGTTAAATCACCCACAGCTTCCTTATTACTCAACCCATTTTCACCAAATTTGTTTTGTTACAATCCTCAGACACTGATTAATCTAGGTTGCACGGACTGCTCTCGGTAGCTTTTATTTCTTTAATAACTAATCGTGCTAATTACTCCTGGCCAGCAGAAAATTCGAACAAGATGCTGGCTGATGCACCATTTAAGGTGGAACGGGGAAATGCCAAAATGATGCTGGCTGATGCACCGTTTAAAGTGGAAATTCGAACAATAAGCTTGCAAATAAGAAGCGTGTAAGGTACTAAAGTTAATTATGAATATCTACACGGATTAAGGAATGCTATAACTTACCCAGCTACAAAGCATTAACCATCACTGTAAATAAATAACTACTAGATAAAGTTAGGATCTCCTGAATAGACTATTAAATGAAATAAGCTTAATATAAAACCAGAGGAAAAACAATCACATCAACAGGTCATCTGTACATCACCAACCCCACGGCCATATCTACACATAAACATCACACAAACATGAGCGTGGATCGCTGCGTTCCCTCTGTTATATGATCCTATCCCACTTTCTGAGTGCAATGTTCTTGAAATAGTACAATTTTGGACAGTATCTTACTTGAACTGCTGCTTTGTAATAGTACTGAATGCAGTCCAGCAGCGATGTTGACCGCCCTAAAATGGCGGCGCCGTTGACGTGCCTGGCTGGACCCAACGCGGCAGTATGTATATCTGTGGTTAAAGAGCCGTAGTAGTAATACTGCCACATGCAGGCTAAAGCTACTGCGCATCAATTCCACGTCACTAAGCTACACGAATGTGAGGCGGGCTGTGGTGGTGTACTGACCAGTTATGTAGGTTAGCACCTTTTTAGGTAGCTCCGTACATAAAAGCTCTAAGTTGGTTATTTTGATGGCCCAAATCAAGACAAAACAATACTGACCAGCAATCAATCAATCAATCAATAAATAAATAAAGGTTACCCACCTGTAAAGAGCATCTTCTCATCCCTTTTCATGTCTTTCACCTCTTGATGAAGCTGTTGAATTTTCCCTTTCCACCTTAAATGTACTGCATCATTTAAGGTGGCACAGCAAAATTCGAGCAAGAAGCTGGTGAATGTCCTCATCAGAAAATGTTACCAGCATTGAAATAATAATTAGAATATTTTGATAGACTAAATCAGTTTATCAGGGGGTCAGCAATAATTCTAAGCCGAGTCTGTACTGAAATAGCCTGAGTGCAGTTAACATTAAGCCTGTAGAGCTTTTCAAATCAAGCTATGAACACAAGGAGAAAACAGAAAGATCCTTTGTTTTTCAGTGAATTTCAGATGAAGAATGGAGATCTGCATCGTACCTTAACAGGGAAACCTGTTTCTTTTGCTCTGACTTCTTTTCATCAGTCTGTACATGGAAATACGCTACCACACTGGCAAAGCGTGCTTAAGGAGGCTGCCAGTCTAAAGACGTCAATTCTGTGCAGTAGCATCAGCTCACCTGTAGCAATGTTCATAGTCTGACTCTTTAACAACCTCATAATTCAGAGGATCCACTGCTATTCGAGAGAGGAATGTTCACAGGACAAAACATATCAGCTTTGGGACATTTTTGACCATCACAGGACATGACAGAGCATGACGCCGACTACAAAATGACCACACCACTACAGTGGTCTGATGAAACTGAGAATCACAGCTGTGGTGAAACAATTCAGACTATATCTGTGTTGAGAAAAGTAATAGAATTTAATCAGCAAAAATGATTAAATATTTACAAATCACGTTTGTGCAAAACCTCCAGAGGCCCCCATTCATTTTTAGACCCATGAGCGCCCTCTAGTGTCTAATCTCCCTAACTAGAAATCTGTGTAAAAGACTGAACATGAACTTATTCAGCATGTTCTGTTTGCAAAGAACATCAACACGACAGACTTTGAATAAAAAAAGTAATTTTACTGAAGTTAAAATACTTTTTTTTTCTCACCACTTGATACAAATGCAGGTTCAGGCAACAGCACAGCTATATAAGCTGGATCCAAAACTCAGGGAAAAAGCTCACGAAGGGAAAAAAGACATCGCTTTGCATATTAACGCCGTACATTCAAAATGCTGCATTAACCACATTTACCACACACAGGAATTTTAGCTTTTAGCTCCTTTTTAACCAGCCTGTATCAACACCATCCTCACTGATTGTCAACCTAATGCAACACCAAATGTGTGGAGTATTGCTACGTATGACGACATTATTTGGTGTTAAAAGCCAAATGTTTAAAACACATGAATATGTAACCAACAAAAAGCAGACAACAGTATAAGTACAAAAAACGAGTAAATAAATATGATTATATAAATAAGGGAATAAATACCAAAAAAAGAAATACAGTATAAATGAATAAATAAAAGTTTAAGCATTACTGGCATTGTATTCTTAAAAAAAAAACGATGTTACTATGACATAACTGAAACTGTTAATGTGCCTAATGCTAATACAAGACAAAAGCGATAATAAACAAATAAATCATAATAAAAATGCACCATAACAACAACAATGAAAGCAGTGCTGGATGGCGTGTCTGAATTTGTCCTTCACTTTGTGCTAATCTCAGTTTGTGCTCCTTTAGTACATTGTGGCGATAAATAAAACACGCTCAGTGCTTCACAGTCCACTGAACAAATGCCTGGCAACCAGAGATAAGTATATCTTGGCGAGTGAAAACATCTCAAGTCCTGTTAAGTCAAAACCATTTCAAAAATAGTGGAAACAGCTGCAAGGGTGTGCTGCAGAGTTTGTAATGAAATGTTATGTACATTTCAATTTAGTGTTTTTAAATGCAAGCAAAATGTGTCGCATTGTTTACGTCAGCAAGGCTGGCTTTACACTGTGAAGCTTTCATGCGACTAGTTGTATGTTGTGAGGTGCCTGCAACTCGACAGTTACACAACGTCACTCCACTACAAAGTTAAATTAGCAGCTCATATTTTTCGTTTATCATTTGATATAAAGTTGTTTATTGTGATCACGTTGAGCGTTATCAGCATTTTGATTGGCTGGTCCATGAAACTCGTTTCTTGAAATCAAGATGCTGCAACAGTTGCAGCAGAGTTTCAAATGAGTAGCAGCATGCTTTACGTTGCACAACTCAAGTGCAATTTTGCTTCATGCAGGCGTCAAGCAACTAAAGTTGCATGTATGTTCCACCATGTAAAGCCAGCCTACGCCTTAGCTGCAGTTCACTTTGAGCCATGTCTAAGGGGCGATGCTCTTGATACACTACTAAAAAACTGCAAAAATGTGTGAAATGGTGGCTGGAAATGTAAAGCTGTATGTCCATTACACCCCTCATTCTCTTCAGAGCATCTCACATTTACAGTTTTTCACAGAAATCACTGGCAACAATCAAACCTAGGCATTTAAGTGCAGCCTATCAGAGTAAAGTGGGTGGAGATGCTAGGCGGGACTTAAGCTATGAACACCCCCACACAGTTTTAACACATAAAACATCGAAATATTAAACAGTAAACTATGAATCTGAAATCATATCATATCTGTGGATCATTAGCTTGAATACGCTTGAATAAACATGCTAATGTGGCTAACAGTGAATGGAAGCTGGCAGCCACTAATTAGCATGATGTAATTTTTCCAACTGCATTAATGATCAAACTTTTCTTTTAAAGGGGAATTACACCTTTTTTTTTATAATTTCTGCATAATTCAGTGGATGAGATGTAAACAAAAGTTATTCAGAGTGGTTTGATGTGAAATAGTCCAAGTAGGAACCAGGGGTCACAATGTTTACAACACTAATGTAGCCATTTTATTTACTTTTATTGCTTACTTATTTATCTAAAACCACCAGTGAACCTACATGTGTCTTCTGAGTTTTATATGCAATGTTGATGATGAAACAGTGATAATTCTGAAAAAAATACTTTAAATGATTTTTTAGGCCAACATTTTCCCAACACTATCATAAAACAATGTCTCAGGCATCAGGCAGTGCATTCAGAATAATTTCATGCAATAACTCTCTGAGAGGGAGCTTTTAGAGGTGGACGTCTGGTTCCTATCACAATCCCTGTGAACAGTTCTGACTCAGTAAGTTTCTCTAGAACAGAGTGTTTCACACCAAACCACTCTGAATGAGTCTGTTAACATTTTACCGTTTAATTATGCAGAATTTTGGAAAAAAAAAACTGGTAGAATCATAAAGGGAGTGAAACTACAGTACAGCGATGAAGCCATGCAGTTAAAGCATTAAGGCCCAAATTCAACACAATGGGCAGCAGCAGCAGGTCTGTGCAATGAAAGTGTCCAAACATCAGGTTTTTGAGTTTATAGATAGTGTTATAATGTTACTGACTGACTAATTCAAGGACTTTCTGCTCCTCCATCAATATGGAAAGCAGCTAGGAGGCAATTACTCTCACAACAGCTAGCAGATTAGCCTCTGAGCACATTTCGGCTGCTGATTTAGCGTCAGTGTACAGAAAACCCAGCCGTTAGCACTGGAGCAAAAACCTTCGGGCCCTAAAACCGCAGATAAGAGCTCCAAAGCAAGACGGAGGAAATCCAGGATTATTCTGAAATTAGGACTGCAACACGTAATTGTTCCATTTCATTAGTAGTCGATAATGGAAAAAGCTGACGTGCCAAAAAAAACAACCGTAATTTATCATGTTCATATGAGCTTTTTTCTACTGTTTGATTTAAAAAATGTTCTATAATGCTCTATAATGTTTATTTGATCCACACAGTCATTCTGATAGACTGTAATACACTACAGGAAATGTAGGGGGCTTGAAAAGAGAGAGGACCAGAAGGCAGAATAGTCAGATCAGCTGATTAATCAAATAACAGCCGACAGACTAATCCGACGATGGAATTAATTATTAGTTGCAGCCCTAACAGAAATACGCAAACAGAGCTCAGGGTGATGCATGAACCCTCGATACACTAAGCCTGGATTTCCTGCTGTGTGACTGGTTGATGGACAGGCTCTAGGCCACCCGGTAAGCGGTCATGCGGTAGTAACTCTTGCTGTGGCTTCGTGCAGCCCACACCAGCAGGGCAGCAGCCATCATGTGTAGTGGCGAAGAGATGAGGGCCAGGTAGAGTGACCAGCCCAGAGTGGCGTCCACACGGTCAGGAACCACCGAGACACGGTGCAGTAGGTCCATCCCCGCCAGGAAACAACAAACAGTGGCCAGCGAACACAGACCTGTGAGAGGGGGAGAGAATTAGACAAGTGATTTTAGGGCACTGTTTCTTTTTAATAGAACAATAAGGATTCTCTGCCAAGGCCAAGACTGACCTTAAACCCAACAATACCTAACAGTAAAATATTAACATCCACAGGCTAAGGTCGTGTTCACAAAGGCTATGGAGTCCAGTTTTGCCATTGACTTCAATGAGAACAGCACATTGAAGGCAAGGAACACCAATGCATGGCAATGCATAAAAATTATGCTGAATTATTGTTAAACTTTTGACAGACTGTACTCTGGCGTCACCATGTGTCGGTCAATAGGAGATGGTCTGAGAAAGGGTGTCAGTCAGGCACACTGAAAGTATTTGCTCCCAGTTCACATCCAGAGCTGCACAATCCAGCTCTAATCTATCTAGATCTGCAGGAGCAGCTCACAGCAAGTTTTGTCTTTGTTGCTTCCCTCTGTTAAGAACAACAACTGACAGAAATTTATGCTTATGTGCATTTGTTTTCCGCTCACATGATTTCCAGTCTCGAAGAGAAACACTGGTTTCACCCGCTAACATGCCTACAAACCAGCAGTATGTACCAGGGGGTTCTGTTGACAGATACAAAAATGTCTTTGTGAGTGTGGCTAAGGCTTATTCACACTCCATTAAGAGGAAAAGCACATAAAAGCACACAGTCGTCTCTAAACATGGAACTAAGGTGCTTCAGAAGGTGTGTTAAGGACCTTCCTCATATCTCAGGCAGTGATGTAGACGGATTTATAGAAGAATATACACACAACACACACCCAGAAGAATAACGGATACAGGCTGTTCTTCATAAATTACATTTCTGACTCTCAAGGAAAGTTACTTTAACATAGCCAGCTAGTTTAGCTAACCTGACTAACCTGACTGGAAACTGCTGGCTTGTTTTAATATTTCTATATATTTAATATATCAAATATATCAATGTTTTTATATGTACATGTAGTTTCAAATGTTGTGAATGATGAGGTGACAGTGAGGGCCAAACCGTCCAGATCAATTAAAAAGGACGACAAACCTCACAAAGTACAGGTTTGACACAATTACGGTCAGGAGCCAAGAGAGAGCTGAGAGAGCGGTACTGTACCGAGTTGGCTAATCAAAGACGTGAGCTACTAACACTGACCAACAAATGAGTTTAAACCTGTGGCTGCAGTGCTTTGTTAGATCAGGCTGCTTCTGCAATATCAGTAAACTGCAGGTTTGAGCTTCTGATGAAGCTGAAGTTGGTTTCTTAGTCAACTATTCTGTTCCCCCTTAAATCGTGCTGCACGGCACTTACGGTGAGTGCTGCATCGTTTAAGGTGGAAAGGTATGATTTGAATGAGAAGCCGACTTCTCCTTCTCCGACATTCTCCTCTTCATCCTGGCTGTTGCTATCTGTTCCGAGGCATGTGGACGCCCTTGAATAAACAGATTTTCGAATCTTGGGCTTTTGAAAGTTATTCCAAAGGAAACGGCTGCGTACAGCACCACCTCTGAGCACGAATCCACCTGAAGGAGCCTCTCGGCAATGTGACGGCTGCAGACATGAACTCCAGGACTTCATCTACATTTTTAACCGTCTACACTTCGGACTGACGGAATCTATTATGATCTTAACTTGTGCTTGGACAGAAATTTATGAAATTCCATGTATGGCTGTTTTTGTTTGGAGATCAGGAATTACCTGCTAACAGAAAGTGATCAAAGTAAGAGCCTGGAAATGTGAAAAGGGCCTATACAGGTCTGGACCTGCTCAAGGATGCATGAATGTTAAGGAATTAAAGTGCTATTATATTCTACACCAGTTGACACCAACTCCCCATATATCTACCCTCCTGTGGCGACCACTTCCAACCACAATCTACCACAGTTCATAACATAGTTACCAACCTGGTAAGGTTGAGGTACCTGTAGTGACATTTTCAGGTGAAGTAAGATCATCCATGTTGCATACATTTGTGGTTATAGTCATATAATCATTATGCTGTGGTTCTCAAACCAGCTTGCCCAGCACTCACACAGGAGAGAACTCTCATTCAGCATCCGCTTCATATTCTTCATTCTTACTATCAAATTTTTTTGCAGCAACAGCACGAGCCACAAACCTGAACTGAACCTTTTTGTCCGTTAAATCACCATTAACATGCTTTGGCACTTGTAAAATTTGGAAACAAACAGAACACCTCACAAAAGTTACGTATTGTGTTATAGCTGTAAAGAACAGATGGCAAGAGCACTAACATTCTCTCAGCCTCGGGTATGTTCCAAAATCTCTTTAATTAGGTGTAATTAAACCCCTAATAAAGAAACCTAGACTTGACCCCTCTGAGCTATCAAACTATAGACCTATTTCAAATCTTTTTATCAAAAATTTTAGAGAAAGCCGTGGCAAAACAATTATGTTCCCATCTGCATAGGAGTAATATATATGAAAAATTTCAGTCTGGCTTCAGGCCTCACCATAGTGCCGAAACAGCGTTAGTGAAAATTGTAAATTATCTTTTATTATCCGCTGACAAAAGAAACATATCCTTACTGGTTTTACTCGATCTTAGTGCAGCTTTTGACACAATAGACCATTCCATTCTATTAGACAGGCTTGAGAAACTAGTAGGAGTGACAGGTAAAGCTCTTTCGTGGTTCAAATCTTGCCTTAGTGATCGCTTTGAGTTTGTTAATGTAAATGGTGAACCATCAGCTCTCACAAGAGTAAAGTATGGTGTCCCACAGGGCTCTGTCTTAGGACCCATTTTATTTACCTTATATATGCTACCACTAGGTACCATCATTAGAAAACATGGCATCAGTTTCCACTGCTATGCCGATGATACACAACTGTATATTTCAGCTAAATCAGAGGACAAAATTGAACTTAATAAGATAGAGGACTGTGTCAAAGACAAAAAAGAATGGATGTCAAGTAACTTCCTCTTACTAAATTCGGACAAAACAGAAGTTCTTCTTCTTGGTCCAAAAGCTGCTAGGGATAATCTGCCTACGTTTACTCTTAATCTCGATAGTTTCTCAGTTGCACCAGGCACATCTGTAAAAAGCCTTGGTGTCACGATTGATCCCAGTCTGGCCTTCGATGAGCATATTACCAATATTACCAGAATAGCTTTCCTCCACCTGCGTAACATCGCTAAATTAAGAAATGCACTGTCGCTACAGGATGCAGAAACGTTAGTTCACGCCTTTTTCACGTCCAGGTTAGATTACTGTAACGCTCTGCTTTCTGGTTGTTCCAGCAAAAACTGTGACAAGCTTCAGTTAGTCCAGAACGCTGCAGCCAGAGTTCTCAGCAAAACCAGGAAATTTGACCACATTAGCCCAATTTTGTGTACCTTACATTGGTTGCCAGTTAAATTCCGCATTGAGTACAAATTTCTTCTACTGACGTATAAAGCTTTGAATGGCCTTGCTCCTCAGTACCTCAGTGACCTTATCTCCTATTATCAACCGACACGCCCACTTAGATCACAAGGTGCTGCTCATTATTAGTACCCAGAATAAATAAAGTTATGTCAGGGGGAGGAGCCTTTTCATACAAAGCCCCCAGCTTTGGAATAACCTACCAGTCTGTGTTCGGGACTCAGACACAGACTCAGTCTTTAAGTCTAGGCTAAAAACTAACCTGTTTAGTCGAGCCTCTGGTTAATTTATTTTCCTAACTATGACCCTCTTATAACTATGACCCGGATTCTTTGTAAAGCTGCTTTGTGACAACATCTGTTGTAAAAGGCGCTACATAAATAAATTTGACTTGACTTGACATTCATCCTGATATGTGCTCAGTAAAGCTGGATACCAATACCAATACACTGACTTCGATACAGATTCCTAAACAATATTTTTTTGGAAACTTTCTTTTAAACTGCGAACTGAAAGTAGGCATGGCTTAGATACTAACTAGGTGTGAGTGGCAGGAAGTGGGTGTCTTTACTGACTGCAAAGGGTAACAGGCTAATCAAAAAGCACTGATATTAATAACATGCATATGGAATGTAATCTAGTCAGCCAATCAGCAGCCTAGATCTTGGAAGACTGACTGAGGGTTTGAAGAAGGAGTTTTCCAATACTCTGTAGTATTAAAGTGAACTGCTCACAGTAGATCAGGGCTATTATTATCATATAAACACCACAGCAGTCAGATAGACAGAGACCTAATCAACACTATGGGTTTATAAATGTGTGCTTATATGGCTAAATATTTACACAGAACAGAAACTGAAATTGTTACTGTGTTCCAGAAGCAGAGAAAAAATATATAAAACTGTAAAATAATATCTTAGCACGTTTTCTTTCCCTCTCCTACTACCCTGACCAATCATCAAGAGACTACCATTAACCTCTGAAATTAAGTGGCCATGCTGCACAGGTCAATACCTGCCCTGACTACAGCCTTACAGAGGATAATGATATTTGAGAGTCTCTGTTATTCTACACTGATCTCGTGGTGATACTTATGGCTGAACTGTGCCAGAAAATTCATTTATTTTGTTTTACTGCACTGCAGCGCACATGGTAATGAACCTCAGCTAAAAGGAGTGAACCTGAACCCCCATACAGGTCACCATGGCAACGGCATGCAGCACAATGAAAGCTCTTCAAAATATTCAGCGTTTTCGTCCACGCTTTCGTTTTTTTTACTTTATCCTTTGTATACTGGCCTAATGGATCACCTTTCATGGTAACTGTTAAACAATAAAGCACAAATCCATATGTAAATAAATGGCTCCTAAGAGTCTTCACTGCTGCCATATGACGGACTGATCAAGTCATTTTGCTTTACCTATGATCTACACAGCGTATATAGGTCTACAAAACATACTGGCCGGTGCTGACTCGAAAGATCAGTAACGGTTTCTTTTTCCATCTGCTGTGCTGCTATATCAGGACTTGGAAATACAGAAGAAAAACTACACAGGACAGCTGCACAACAACGGCTAACAGCTGCACAAACCACAGAACGTCTGATTTCAGCTGTCACTCCAAAACCAGTGACTTGACTTTACACTCTCAGATATGAGATACGGTTACTCTCAGATATAAGGTGTGTTTACAGTTTTTACAGATTTGTTTACAGTTTTGAAATAGCACAAAAGTGATGTAAACATAGAACCGACTACCATCGCAATGGCGAGTGCATGGTGTTTGTGGAGAATGGCGGTGTTTGACAGACTATTGCTGGGTTTAATGAAGAACGGTGGTTGTTTGATGTAGAAGGGTAATGCTTGATGGAGAATGTTGTATACTTGATAGAGAATACTGGGTTTTTAATGAAGAATGTTGGGTATTTGATGGAGAATATTGGGTTTTTAATGAAGAATGTTGGGTATTTGATGGAGAATATTGGGTTTTTAATGAAGAATGTTTGGTATTTGATGGAGAGTATTGGTTTTTAATGGAGAATTATTGTATTTGGGGGGAGAATGATGGTGTTAGACGGAAAAAGCTGATGTTCAGGTAAAAAAAGATGGTTTCTGATGAACAATGCTGCTGCTTTTTGTAAAATGATGATGCTTGATAGAGAACTGGGTATTTGAATGATGGTATTTGATGGAGTTGGTGTGTAGAATGACGGTGTGTGACAAAGAACGATGGTTGGGTGGAAAATTGTGGTCTTTTGAAGAGAATGCTGGAGTCTTTTGGAGACAGTATTTGAGGCCACTGACCTGCAAGGAGGTGGAGCAGTCCAATACCGAGGGTGGGGCTGAGACTGCGACATACACATGCACAGAAACCCACCAGCCCTCCCAGCACCACCAACCCTAGAGCGACAAGCGGCAGGAGGAACTGACACCGCCACAGGTCTACAGAAAGAGGGAGAGGAGGTTATCTTTCACATCCCAACTCAGAATCTACTCTGGAACCTTTTCAATAACAATCTGATCAATTCATATAGGGTGAATATGTTAGCAACCTATGACAGAGTGCAGGGTAAGAAAAACCAATATAGTCATGCAAATGCTTAACGGCCCCAAATAATTTGGTGAAATGTTGAATGAATCTATTTTGGAGGCATTTAACAAGTGTGTGGGGTAGCATTTCTATATTAGATCAATCCACACACGTATTATCCTACATATTCCTTAGGTTTTATTTTTTTCCCCCTGAGGTCCATTTGTGTGGCTTTAATGTACCAAAAGCATCCAAAATTCATGTCTATATGACCATTCATATGACCAACCACCCTCTCTTTATTCCTTACAATTAAACAGGTTGTTTAAATACTCAGTCTGTTTGCTGTAACAGCAAATGATTTGTGACAGCTGATAATCTAAAGAGCTGTGTGTGTGTTTGTGTTTCTCACAGGTTCGTATCATGTCCTCTCCGCTGTTGTGGTTGCCTGGTTCCTTGTACTTGGGTGTGAACTGCTGAGACAGAGTGAAGCTCACACACTCCATCACCATCTTAGGATCTACAGATACGAAAAACGTGGTGGGTTAAGCAGAGAGAAGACTGTTACTGTAGAAATACTATCACTGCCTAAATGACCACTAAATCAGACAAAACACATTACCTTGCCTAATACGATTATTTTAAATACAGAGTTTGATAAAGTATGTAAACACACAGTCTATATATGGAAACTAAGCCGCAAAAAAAGCCCGATTTCAAGTTGTTGTCCTTATAGGGAGATGAAAACACATTTACATATATCCTGTTTAGCCTACAGCCGTTTTACACCACCCACTCACACTGAAGTGACAAGGAGTTCAGTAACATCAGTTCATTCTTCCCCTTATGTAAGGAAATATTTAGCAAAATAGTCACTCACTTCTGAGACTTTAAATTCAACTTTCTTCAATTTAATCTGACATTATTTTAAATTCAACAGATACATCCACACAATGTGGTATTTGCTAATCATTATCATGATACTGTTTGCAATACTGAAGGCTACAATATGCAAATGAGCCCACAAATCAATCACAGTGTTTGTTTACTGTGTGCTGTTATCATTCGGACCAATCACAGTTCCGGACGAGTTTCTGTCTTTTTATAATTATTATTATTATTAACCGCATTCATCATTAGGCGTAGTATTGATCTATTAATGCTATTTTATACAGTCACGTGCAAAAGTTTGGGCAGCCGTGGTCAGTGAAGAGTTGAGAGATCCTCTACAGAAAATACGCTTCTGCACAGTTTAATGCATAATTACTGTTTATTTGCTGAATTCAACATGGGGGGGGTGGTAACCATATAATGTGGCCTGTGCAAAAGTTACGGCACATTTTATATTTTATGTTTTCTTTTTCTCCCAATGAAATAAACAAAATAAACAGAATCTGTTTTGCAGAAAAATGTCATACTGAAGACGGTTCAATTTAGAGGAAAATCAACAATACATGAGATTTGCCTTGGGATGTTCAAAATTTGTGGCATATGACTGTACATATTTTACAACACATCACATTTGCAATATGTAGCAACACTACTGCAATAGCAGTATTTCGTTCATACTGCGTAAAGCTATCTTTTCTGCAATTAAAAAAAAAGACATTAAAATCATCCTGTAGCGCAGTGAACAGACTGTCCTATATGAAACCTTTTCTGGCAGTCTGGGACAAACCTCAACCGTTAATACTGAAACCACAGACTGGACCGGGTTGTTTACAAGGACAGACTGCATACCTTAATCCAGATGTGCATGTACAGCGCAGATTAGGGCTGCAAGACATGGATGCAAATACCACATTGTGATTATACCACTACATATGTGATTTGCAATATATTACAAAAAAAAATTCAGTGAACCCCTGATATAGTCGTTTGTTTTAAACAAACGTTATTTAGTGAATACTTTGATTTACCCACTCATAGAATCCCTCGCTTTGATGTCTAAACAAGGTTAAATATCACATTAATGATTCCCGTCAGATATATCATGTAAACCCAAGCCTACAAACACTAATAACACAGAGAGAGATAAGTTGAACAGTTTCTTGTAAAATGTGAAGTCGCTTCTCATTCACCAGCTTCTTGTTCAAACTTGTTCAAACCTCAAAAGGAATGTTACTGCTGCACCATTTAAGATGGAACGGGACAATCTGAAAGAGAAACTGACTTCAGTGTTTGACGGTTTCTCGTTGCAGATTAAACGTATCAGGAAACCAGCTGGGGTGCTTATAAATGCAAATAAGTCAAGTTGTTCCCAAATTATCGATGTTCATCTTCAATCTTTCTCTTTGCCTTTTCGTTAGCTGCTATCTGGGCGAGACTGTTATCGGTGACTGGTATCAGTCTGTGCACCAATCTACATTTTTAAAGGGTGAATAAGCAGTTAAACATTAACTCCAGAGTTTAAGACCCTTTATTATTAAAACTGTGTTGAACGATCAGCAGAGCTTTATTTTACTACAAAGGATCACTTTAATTTTACCTAAAAATCTAATTCTGCCGTGGAGCCGCTACAGGGCTGTAAAAAGCCACGTCGTGCCCATCCCTGTGCTAGAGGCTGAAAGTGTAGGTACAAGTTAAATATGTTGTGACATCACAGAAAAAATAAATTCAAAAACAGAACTACCATATATGGAGTGTATGGACTTGGTAGTGAAGGGCACAGTTTGTAAATGTAACAATATTTATGTATCTGTTCAAACTCTTATTTCAAAAACGTGAGGAAAATTCAGTTTTCCACCATGTTGGCCACTTAAGTGAAACAAAAGAAGCCATACTGGCTCTACGCTTCCTGTAGTGTGTTACAATCTGTCAAAATGACTGTGTAGATCATATATTTTCTCACTGCCATATTTAAAAACTGTTGGTTTCAAAATATGGATGTTCAAACAGCAAAAAAATATGGTTAGAAACACCCATTCCTAGGGCTACTTATGCTTCCAGCATTTCAATTTATGGCATCAAGGGTGATGATTCCTAACAACCCTGTAGCGTTAATGAAGTAATGGAGTTGAATCTCACCGGGTTCTTTGTACCAGTGCGTGTCGGTGGGCACCTGCAGGCACCTCCACCACAGGCCCACCGTTCCATTGAGGCGGAAGAGCGAGTCGCTGTACGTTTTCTCATCGAACTCTCCGTCTGAGAACTCATCGCGCAGTGAGCGCAGCTCAGAGGCGTTGTGCTCTCCGTACACCGGGGGGCTGCTGTACTGGTACCAGTGCTGAGTGCCCACCGCCACCGACAGATACACTGTGGCCAGAGCACTCAGCACACACGCTATCACCAGAGCTGTGGCGTAACGGTTATCCACCATACCTGCAGACACACATCACAGACATGCACAGATCAGCAGATCAGCTATCATCACAGCTGTGGCGCAGTATGGTGCAAAGGTTTTAGGCACCAATTAAACTAAAAAACTCTCTGGTTTTCTGGTTATTAAGCCTTTTTTTGCTCAGAACAACATGTTTATTTTACCATACCTGCAAATAACATTAATACAGTAAGTGGTAATTGTATGCATGTCATTTTTTTTTCAATCATTTTCAAACCTCACTTCATAGCAGCCCAGTAATAAATGTAGTTCTCATCCAATATCTGGTTTATCTAATGAGTGTGCTGGTGATGGAATTTAATCCTTGCGATGTTTGAAGGCACCCAGGAAAAATCTACCAAATATTCTTCTTCAAACTAGCTCACAAATTATCAACTAAACTAAAATATATCATTGCCTTTTACTGTATTTATGTTCATATTCTAATGATATATAGAGATTTTACCAGCATGGTTTTAAATAATGTGCGTAGCGGCTTAAGACTTTTGCAGCTTTGTATATGTGTGTGTGCACACATGCATGTATGTATGTATGTGTGTGTATATATATATATATATATATATATATATATAAAGCAAAATTTTTCCTTTCAGCTAAATAGACACATTTTAGCATGGTTTGCCCTGTTTTATGCCTCATTATCAGCATTTTCTTCTTACTTTATTCTTACATTTTTCTTCCTCTTTTTAATGTGGCATGCTGGAGTCACCCACTCATGCTGTTGACAGAATTTAGCACCGAGGCTCACACTCATGAGAAAATGGCTGCGAGAGAAATAAAACAGCGAATCAATTCAGCAGAGTTTGCTATATCAATGCACAGTGTGAGAACAGCACATTATAGAAAGGTTTTCCAAACCATGAATAAATTGGCTAAAGCTAAATTTAAGTGAATTTTGAAAAGCTATTTAAGCTATAAAAGCTAAGACTATTTTATTATGTTTTATTATTTACTTTTTTATCTGTGACAATGACTAAATTTGCTGTGTGGTAAATAAAGTGGCGCTGGTATTCTAACAGTTTGTCCTATCCATCGGGCCCCACTGCACATGGGCATATCACTATAGTATGATGCCTTTTCTAACGTTTCATTGTGTTTTCAACCTTGCTTCAGCCTTACTTCAACTGCACTACACAGACACAGCTCTGTGCTATTACTTACCCTCTGATAAGGTGATTTGGGCTATTAAAATACCCTACTTACAGATTTATGTAGGGAGCTACCTATACATGTGCTATGGCAGGACACTGTGGTAAGGCAGAACAATTTGTCCGGTTCAGGTAAGTTTGGATGGAATTTTCTTGAGCTTGGGTCACTTTCAGACTCAAGACAACTTGGTGATGTGGGTCAGACTGGGCTCAGACAGAAACTTCTCGGACTGTATGCGGGTTTGGATGAAAATTGCAGGGCAGATTAAAGAGGAATTCCACTGATTTTTACTGTTTATTATAATTCAGTGGTTGAGATGTAAACAGGCATTCAGAGGGGTGTGATGTGAAATAGTTCATTGTAGAGACTCCGTTTTCTTTACAGTGGTGCTGATAGGAACCAGGGGTCACCTTGACTACAACACAAATATAGACGCTTTATTTACTATCCAAAACCACCACTGAACCTATATGTGTCTTCTGATTGTATGTGTTGATGATGATGAAATAGTGGAAAATCTCAAAAATTAGGGCACTATTTTGCTTCACAACACCCTACTTGTACCCCTCCACCATGAATGGACCACCATTCCACCACTGTGGACAGTTCTGACTCTGAGTTCATCTAGAACGGCGCATTTCACACCAAACCACCCTGAATGACCTTGTTTACATCTTAACCATTTGATTATGCAGAACTGTTGACTAAATCTGTAGAGTTCCCCTCTAAAGCTAAAAGTTCTTCAAAGGGTTGTTTAGTAAAGGCAGTGGCTCTGTTTAGAACCATGAGTTCTATATAGAAAGATTTCCTGCCTAAATGGTTCTTTGCATGGTGAAATGGTTCTCCTTAGATTGATGGAGAACTGCGTTGAATGTGGTGCTGTATAGAACCTTTTTTGAAATGGTTCTAGATAGCACCAAAAATGGTTCTTTTATTGCTACAATGTCAAGCTTGTAACAATAAAAGTACCCTTTTTGGGGCTGTATATATATATATATATATATATATATATATATATATATATATATATATATATAACAATTTTCAAAAAGGTTCTAAATAGAACCAGTGTCTTTACTAAAGAACCCTTGAAGAACCATCTTTTTAAAGAGCGTAGCTTACCAATACACACATGCATCACAAACGCACACCAGGTAGGTATTTCCATGGCAGAAGTGTTTCTCACCTCTCCTCCTGTTGGATACTTCTGACTTTTGGATGAAGTTCTTTGGCTGGCTGGGAGATCCTGCTTTGTGAATGCACCTCCTGATTAAAGTCAGTAGCACAGCAGAATGGAACCAGGGTGAGGAGACTGGATAGAGTTGAGTTCAGTGCTCCGCGGTGCCACCGGCCATCCTGGGATTAATCCAGCCGGGCGTGTCCTACTTTCTCGGGCGTGTTGAAGCCCATCTGTCGCCCTCCATCTGCTCCCTGCTGCGCGGAGATACCTCTCAAAACACGGACAAAAACACGATTAATGAGAGCTAGACGCCTTCACACCGCCGTCTAAAGCTGAATACGAGCTCCTCTGCAGGCTGAAAAGACATTAAACGTCCTACATTAGCATATAACGTTGTTTTTTGTGGAGCCGAAAACGATTTTGTTTGAGGTTTTGTAAATAAATCCATGTGCTTTCCTCCTCCGGTCAGCAGGAAACAGCGACGGATGCTGGGTAATGTAGTCTTTAGGAGATGACGAGGGTTGGTGTCTTTTCATTTAGAAAATGGGTTAAGACCCTTAGATTCTTGGTCAGTGTAGATCAATACTGAACGATTCATCTGGGTAAACGTGGTTTCTGAAATGGGTGAATATCACAAATGAATGTTCTTTAGCTACATAAAAGATTTTTAGCGCAAAAAGAGATGTTGCAGTAACTGTTACAAGTACACTTCTAAATCATTTCAGCCACATTTTTTTTTTGCCAGTAATCGCGTGCATGAAAACTCGGTATTTTATTGACAAAAACAAAATATTAAAAAATACATATTTTTTTAAAAATGCGACTCCGGTGGGACTCGAACCCACAACCTTTGAATCACTTCACTAGTGTTGCCTAGAAGTCCAATGCGCTATCCATTGCGCCACGGAGCCACCTGTTGCACACGGCTCCATCCGGGCCTTTTATTAGCACAATATAGGGCTAACGACCCAAAACTCTGTTGTTTTGATGGGTATTTGGATGAATTCGGGTCCCCTGATGCATTTAAAACGCGGAAACAATAAAGAGAAATTCCACATTATTCTGACATAATCAATAACGGCTGAGTGGTAATCAGTAGCTAGCGTTAGCTAAATGACTAGCTAGCTGGCTAACGGATACAACAACAACGAAATTGTTCTCTAACTTACACCCTGCAACAGGTTTTCGGGTACAGTTGGGATATTTATCTACCTCAGTTTTTTATTAGACACATAACAAGTCGAATCTGTATCTTTTTATGGTCAAAACATCATCATATCCGTGTCAACTACAGGCTAACAACAGTCATCAGTCATTAGCTGTCCAGAACTCTAGTTAGCCTGCGCCGTGATCAGCTTGTTTGTCCTTCGCAAGTTACATTTCCACCATTTGTCGGTAAATATGATTATGTGTACACGATCTCTGTGTGTCCTGGTTCACAGATTGCTTTGCCTGTTGCATCACCTTGTTTAGCCCAATGACAAGCAAGAGTGTCTAACGTAGCTTCAGCATAAGGAAGTAGGAGAATCTGGAATTGCGGCAACTTTCCATAAACCAGAAATACTGATATTACATCGTAGCTCAGTAATTTCCCACTCCACTTAAAACACAAAGTGACAGAAACTCAAGCGGTCCTCATGACGATGTGACAGTCATTCACATCCAGGTAGGAGCAACAGATAAACATCCTAAGTGATCAACGTTGTTAAGTTCAGAGAGTCGTGCTTTTGGGACAGATATCTCACTGACAGACTTCTTCGATAGGTTGAAGCACATGTGACTTGGACACTGGTAGGTCTGTTCACTCACAGTGTGTTAAGAAGTGGACGGGGAGCTGGCCAGAGCAGATATGAACACTCCGGAGCTGACCACAGTGCTGGAGGAGTGCCTGCGGCTAGCAGGAGAGGTGCCCACACTGGACAAAGAAACCTTCAAGTCAACCAGAGGTAATGTTACACAAATACACTGTCTATAAGTCAAGCAGTGTCTGTTTCTTTGGTTAAGCAACACACTGAAAAAGTCTTACTAGGAGAATGAAGTTGACCCCTTACAGGACCAGAAAACAAGTCCAGATTCAGATTCAGAGTGGTTTGGTGTGAAATGGTTGATTGTAGAGACTCAGATATCTTTACAGTGGTGGTGATAGGAACCAGGGATCGCCATGTCTACAACACAAATAGAGCAACTTTATTTACTATCCACACAACCAGTGAATCAGCATTTGTATTCTGAGTGTTTATATATCGTGTTGATGATGGTTGATGATTTAGGCCAAAATCGAAAAACTGTGGTAGAACAGTGTCTCAGACATCAGGCAGCACATACAACAATTTAATTATATGAGGGAACTGGTGGCGTCTGGTTCCCTTCAGCGCCACTGGAAACAATTCTGACTTGGTAAGTTTCTCTAGAATAAAGCATTTCACACCAAACCACTCTGACTGACTTTGCTTCCATCTTAACCATTTATTTATGTAGGGATTTTGAAAAAAAAAAAAGGTGGAATTCCCCTTTAAGAATAAAGGAGTTGCATTGTTTTTCCCACAGTTATTGACCAATAGATGAGGTCATAAGCCTGAGAATTTAAGGGGGTTAATTAAATCTGGTTTCTATTATAACAAAACAAAATAGTCCTTAAAGAACTTGATTTCTGCTCTCATATTCTTGAATAGATTTTTCAACGTTTATGCTTAATAAAATAGTCAGTGGTTTCATGTGAAACTTACCGAGGCAGAATCGTTGACAGTGGTGGTGACAGAAACCAGACGTCCACCTCTAAAAGCTCCCTCACAGAAAGTTATTACATGAAATGTTTATGAATAAGATTCCTGCTGAGACACTGTTTTACAAAATGTTTTGGCCTAAAATGTACTTTTAAAATCCATCCATGGTGGAGGGGCGCATGCACGGCACTGTAAAGCAAAACAGTACTGGAAGAAAACTTATTTTTTCAGATTTATCACCGTTTTACCATCATCAACATATAAAACCTCAGAACACTCGTGTAGGTTCACTGGTGGTTTTGGATAGTAAATAAAATGGCTGTATTTGTGTTGTAGACAACACAGCCCCTGGTTCCTATCACCACCACTGTAAAGACCTCTGTAAACACACTTACTCTAAATGATTAGACTTCTGATCTTTTGACCACTAGGCCTGCTCTCGGCTGAACTGAACTCACTGCTGCAGGAGGCTGTGGATATGAAGTGGCCGTTCGTGGAGGAGAAGTGGCAGTATAAGCGTTCAGTGGAATCGGAAGACAAAGTCAACACGATGGACCTCATCAACCAGCATCTACCTCAGCTAATGGTAACAAAACCAAAAGGCAGTCAGAAATAACCATGTATGTATATATGAGTTAGGAATTATTCATATATAATTACAGCACGCTTTTGTTATTGCCACTTTTAAAGGTGAACTCCATTAGTAGAATTGTACTTATACTATATAAGACAAGTGTAATGTTCTTATAAGGTTTATGCGGTTGGCCATAAGATAAAAAACTGTCGTACATGACATATAATTCATAGAATATCCCAGGTTGCATGATACTGCTTGCGCAATCACCTGTTCTCAGTGTGTATCGACACAACCCAGCTATCCTTTTGGGGAATTTCCAGACTCATGCATCCTCCTGTTGTTGACAGGCATTTCTAAAAGCCTGTATCTCGGCCGCGGAGCCGCTGTGGGCGATGTCAGCGGTGTTTCTGATGGATCGTTTCCTCTACTGGATCGACAGCTCACACACCCTGCTGAAAATCGCTAAAGCACTACACAGACGTTACCCAGAAACCCCTGTGGCCCCGCAGATCGTCATACGGCAGGCTCGCATCTACCTCAACACTGGTGAGCTCATTCAGCACCACAGGTGATCTAATCTGTAGTACTGTTCTGTTTGGTTCCCACTTTCCTCCCCAGGTTTAATATTAAAGGTACCTGCACTCATAAATGTACTTTTTGTACGATGCTTTATTATGATTACATAAACTGGTATTTGTATTGGCCAAATTTGTTACCAAAGAGCCAATTTCACATTTATTCCAATTCATCTGAGGTTCAAACTGATAAGGCAGTGTTTTCCTAGTGGTCTCTTTCCATTTTCTTATAGCACAGTCCTCCTAAAGCAAAGTTGTCCAGTCTTATCTGCGAAGCGCTGGTGTGGCTGCAGATTTTCATTCCAGCAAAGCAGGAGTCAGCTGTTTGAAGACTGAGGCTAACTACTTAAACGAGAAGAGTCAGCTGTGCTCCTGCTTGTTTAGAATGAAGACCAGCAGCCACACCGGCCCTTTGCAGATAAGACCGGACACCCTGTCCTAAGGTAAAAGCCTAGTGTAACTAGGGGGATGGGGCTGGAATAGTGGGAGGACATGGGGCATTTCCAGTTGTACAGTTATGCTTAGTCATAGATCTATGTAATATTTCAGAAAGTTAAAGGTGTACGGATGCATCTCTAGTTTCTCGTCCACAAAAAATAATAAAAAAATACACTGGGGTCCTAAAGTCTGAGACCACATCGGAAATCTGGTATTTTTTCATTCAAACCTGGAAATAAACAGCAAAAAGTTTTGAAATTGAAAACAGAAAACGTGAAAGCAAATTTTAAAACAGAAAAGGTATGACAGTTAAAATGAAGAGGAAAGGTTTTAAGATTTTGCACTTTAAAAGTTTTGTGAAAATTGAGAAATTTGTGATGTAAAGGCCTTTGAACAAAACGCTCAGATTTTTTTTTAGTCTTATTCCTTCCATTCAAACACATGGTCACACAGCCCTTAGGTAGGTGTTGATGTACTGAATAAAGGCTTTTGCAAAAACAGTGCATGCTGTCATTAAAGCAAAAGTGGGACATGCTGTACCAAATACTAAGAAATTCTGAAATTTATGTAAACGTTTCAAAAAATATATTTTTCATTCAGATTGTTATGCTGATAATATTTGTAATAATTGTAACCAAAACCTTGTATTAAATTAGAAAGGAATAAGCCATTTTCACCAGTGGTCTCAGACTTTTTGTACATAACAATTTCATGTTCAACTACTATACAATGATTATGAATTTTTCAGTAAAGGTTAATTATTTAGTTTCTACTATGAAATATTCAGTTAATACTATGAATTATTCAGTATCTACAATTGAAAAATTCAGTAGTTAAATATTTCATAGTAGATAGTGAATTATTCAGCGTCTACTATGAATCTACTATGAAAATCTACTAAACTGTATTCGTTTACTACTATGAATCATTCAGTGTCTACTGTGAATGTTTAAATAACTACTATGAATTATTCAGTAACAACTATGAATGTAATATCTAAGCTTATAGTATAGTTCTGAGTGAGAAATTGAAGTCTGTCCAACCACAATTCCTTGGAGTTAAATAGGTAAACAAAACATACACTGTGTAAACTTTTACTTAATTATTGTACTGTTACAAAACTCCAATAACACTTGCATTAATACAATACATTTAAATGTTGTTCACTCTTTTTTTTTAGGTAAACTACAGAAAGCAGAGTACATACTGAGCAGCTTGATCAGTAATTGTGGAGCAACTGGTAAGTGTCATCAGTCGAGAAATATGACCTGGACTGCTGTCCATGGTATCTGTTCATGGTATGGCATTTTTCGACCAGGCAGTGCGGTTCGGTACAGTTACAACCCTGTGATCAAGCATTGTGTCATATTTCCACGGCTAACTGTACCGCACCTGAGTACCTGTGCTGGATTTGGCTACCCATCTTGCTGGGGTACCAAGTGTACCAAAACAGGACACTGTCTGACTCTCTACATAAACCATGCAGTAAAAATGCAGTAAAGGCTAAATCTGATCTTGAAGCTCCTCAGTTGGCGCTACTATTGTTTGTGTTTACTTTTAGCACTAGTGTTGCTTGAGAAATCATGTGACCACACAACATCCAGAGAGCCCTGCCTACAGTCATGACTCTGTTATGTGATGCGATATAGGGAGTGCTGGGTTCGGATTTGTAACTGGACTGTGCTGTTCCGCACTGCCCAAAGGAAAATGCCACTAGAATGCTAATCTATTACCATTTTTTGCACCACCAAAGAAAACAGGAGATACCTGATTTTAGCTATTAAACTTGATGCCAAACCTAATAGATATTACGCTCATTCTCCTGTTCACTAACATGTATTTCTGGTACAGGATGCTGGAAGTACCACAGAGACAGTGATCAGATTCTCGTACAGGCTGTCAGTGTGCAAGTGCGGGGACAGGTGCTCCAAAAGTTAGGTGAGCTTCTAAAATGTGTGCAGGGTATGGGGTTATTATTCAGTTATTAACACTGTTGGGGTAGTTACTCAAAAACGTAATACATTACTAAGTTACTGATTATTCTCTCAGACTGTAATGGGATCATATTACTTATTACTTCCTCTCTAAACCCAAACACATCTGTACCAACTGGAAATCCAACAGTCTTTTCAGTACTTTATTTAGAAAGAACCACCAATCACTGAAAACGTCATTTCAAAGATCAGACAGTATTACTGACTTTGAACAAGATACAGCTGTTGCAGGTAGAATACACACACGCACATTACGTACAAGTACAGTCATGGACAATCTATACAGAGGAAATCTATGTTTTAATTAAAATTGATAAAATTAATATGGCTCTGTTAGAGGCATAGGGGTAGGAGCAAGGGGCGAAATAGGATTGGGCCTAAATGTGCTTGTGAAGAGCAGACACATGCTTTATAGGGAAATTTGCATTAGTTGCTGGGTTTATGTTAAACTGTGGTAATGTGTGTGTAATCTTGCGATTGTTTTGTCTCGACTGGAAAAAAATGTGTTTATAATGGTGACGTGTCCAACACTGTGGTTAGTGTGCTGCCATAGTGGTGCAGCATAGGCCTTGTGCTGTGATATCATTAAAAAAAAAAAAAAATCATTGACCACCCAAAAAGGTAGCCAGGTAGGAGCTCACCAAACATTTGTGCCCAAGAGTCGATAACTTGATAATCCTGGCTTTATAGTGGTGCTTCATACTTTATCTGATGCTACAACGTGATGCAGTGGCCTTCACTACTAGGGCTCCATAATATATGGTTTGTTAATCATTATCTTTTTACTCTTTGTAATACTGTTATCATCTAAGGCTTCAATATGCAAATGAGCCCTCTCACCAATCACCAATCACAGCTCCTGATCATTTCTCTGGGTGTTCTTATGAATAAAACTATTCATGTAATCCAACAAAAGGAAAGTATTTTGGTTAAAATAATGCTGGTCAGTTTTTAACTGTTACCTTAAGGATTCACACATGACTTTGTGTTCTTAATATATCGCAAAGTAACATGGCAGCTGAAATACATAACAATATGACCACAGTCCATATCATGCAGCTCTAACTACTATGAAACTGACATGTTCGCTCTGTAGTTATGAGAGACCTTCAGAGTAAAGTGTGTGAAGTCTGCTTGCCGTGTTGCAGGGTTGTGGCTGGAGGCTGCAGAACTCATCTGGGCTTCACTCATCGGGTTCTACATTCTACCTCTACCTGATAAAAAGGTACAGTACATGGTAGAAGATTGAGACATTTTACACTCAAAGCACTGGTAATCAGTTATTTTGAATGTTGCATGAGATGAAGAATGTCTGAGTAGACATCGTTCCGAAAACAGTGCTTTCAAAATCTGCTAATCACAGGGAATCGGAACATCCCTCGGGCTTCTGGCCAACGTTCTGATCTCGATGAATGATAAAGACTTTGCTACATTTCAGATGAGGCCTCATATCAACCTGGTAGGAAACACTCACTTAACTGACTTTACGAAACAGGCTGTCGCTGTCTGACGAGAAAGAAGCATCTCCAAAATAGTAATTTTACTGGTCAAGGCAAAAACCTTCTTTACTTTTAATGAGAATTTAATTAAAAAAGTTAATGTAAAGAGCATAAAGTGCATCTGTGGAGCCCAAATGAAAAATGGATATACTTATTTTTTGTCCAGACAGCGATAATATTGTTAGCAATTTGTTGTAAGCAGTGTATTTGTCTCAGTTGTAATAATGCACTATAGCGAGTCAGCAAACTGCTTGTGCTGCCTCTTTTTCAGGGATTTCTGGGAGACTGCAGGCATCGGCTGCTCTGTGCAGCTCAGGCTGCTAAAATGGCCGTCATCTACAGTCAGTTTGGCTCTCTGTATGTGCTCACTCACATGGTGCGTTGCTGTCCTACTCAATCTTTGCAAACTGTATATAAGCATTTATGAACATGTTATAAACTTTTTTTAATCTGCTGTAGTAAGTATCTTTTATCTGTTCTAGTAAGTAAAGTTGATGTATATACTTATACTAAAACTAATGCTATTAGAACTTCATTCTTGATGTTTTACAGCTTCCTCTTCTTTCACAGCTCTACAGCACACTAACATAGTATATAATATTAAATACAATCACACATTCATCTTCTGCATATATGTATATGATGAAATTCTGAGGTAAATAACTTGACCATAAATTATTACAGAGAACTACAGTAAGTGAAATTGAAATTGAAAGTTATCAACTAAAACAAAAAACAATTATTGTTATATAATAACAAAACTGTAAATGATGGTGTACAAATGAACCTATACTATACTGAAACTGTTCTGTGTCTTAGTAAATGAAGGAATGCAGTATTGCTATTTTGCGGCATTGTTTTCAATTAAATCTTATTTTTCTCATCTTGTAAACTCTCTAGGTTACTCAGGGAACTTGTCTGCTGTCGTACAGTTTCTCCAAAAACTGCCCGGCTGCAGAGAAACAGCGCTATCTCACTCTGGCTAAGGAAGCCTTCGAGAATGGTTTGCTAACAAAGGCAGAGACGGATGCGGTCACCAGTCAACAAGAGCTACACACGCTGATAAAAGCAGCTTACTGCTTAGCCATTACAAACAAATGGACGCTTGGTCCAGCCGAAGAGGTTACTATGGCTATTCAAGCTTGCCAGGAAGCCAATGCTCTGTTGTATTCTTATTGCTTTAAGGATGACTCTGATAAAGGGGCAGTGTCTTCTGAAGTCATGGCGAAGGTACAGCGTGTCAAGTCCCTTTTGAAAGTGAAAGCTTTTGTCAGTTCGGACCCACGTTCGTTTATGCCCGATAGTTACCGTGCTATGGAGGACAGACCTGTTCCGTTCACTCTTGGTGATTTTACCAAGATGATGGAAGCTTTTCAGAAGCACCACAAATCCGTATGCGAGGCTTTTAAAGCTTCTGAACAGAAAGGTAGAAGAAGTGGGCAAGGTGCTGCGCATGCTAACTGCATCACAGCATTTCAGACAACCCTAACGGAATCGCTCGCAACAGAATGCACCAGTACGAGTCTACAAGGAGACGCTAATAAAGACATTATGGACTCCAACAAACCGAGAGTATCCTCAGATCCTTCCGTAGAAGTCCTTCAAAAAGAAATTCTTGATGCTACATTGGACTTTGATGAGTACCATCCAGATCACTGCAGCAGTAGAGGTTCAAAGCTTGGTGAGAACTCTGAAGGCCACAGTGCACAAGGGGCAAGAACCTCTCAAGGAAGCAGCAGTTTGGGATCCTCGTGGATAAACATGCCTGATTCTGGAGCTTCTTCTGTTCTTGTTGATCCATTCTGTTGCACAGAAACAGAGGACGATGTTTATGATGATACCCACCAGCAGTCACAGCAAGATCTTTCCACCTTGGAGAGTGACGATGACGATGATCAAATCCTCAGCAAGATTGATGCTAATGACACAGAGAAAGGCAAAGACAGAAGAATGACTTCAGGCTCTCGTAGCAGTAGCTTGGGCTCTTCATGGCAGAGTATCTCATTCTCCAAATCTCCTCCAACTGGAGAACTTGCAGAGATCTTGAAGGACAAGTCTATAATTGATCAAAAATGTGAGACGGTAACAAGTGAGGACGGCCCTGACAGTCCCTTCGAGTTAGTAAACCTCAACAGTTCAGCATCGCCGATTAGCAAAGGAGGCCAAACCACTTCAGGTTCCCAAGAACGATGCCGCTCTCAGACACGCGTACAAGACCAGAGTGCCATCGAGACTGTTGAGGATCCAGAAGTGTCTTTTTTAAGTAATGGTCTCTCTGGTTTCACATTAGCTGATAACCAAGCAAATGGGCGCAATGCTAAAAATGCCTCAGCAAAGTCTCAAAAAGGTCAACTAAGTGAATCTGACTCGCGGAACAATCAACTGAATCAATCGCTGCTGTCCACTGAGTTTGAGTCTTATGAAATGGTGCAGTCTGAACTTACAACACAAGGAACTACAACTTCAGGTAACAAAGCTAAACATACTGATCCTGTTGATTCTCGAATGCAAAACAATTTGAGGGCTGCTCCTCTCCTTGAGACTGAAGCAGAAGACTATCAACCTTCTCCAGTATCTGCAAAACTAGAAAAGAATGTAGGCAAGAACAGCACGGCTGACGCGTCCTCTACCAGCATGAATTCTTGCGAAGAATGTTTCCAGGGTTGCACCATGGGAAGTGTTGTTTTGACAGAGCAGGACTACAAATCTCTCTTCTCAGGGGTTTGTCAGGACTGCTTGCTAAGAAGACTGCCAAAAAGAACCTTCAAACTCAGCCAGTACAGCAAAGCTTACAGTACGTTTTTTTTAACGTTCTACATTAGTAGCAATGTTCTAGGAAATTTTTAAAGGGCAGTTTTTCAAACATGGTGGATTATTTTTTATAATTATACTATCACAATAGGAATTGTATGCTCCACCCACAAATGCATTCCTTCAAAGCTACTGTTGCTAGGTTGGGCAGGTTTAACAAAACAGTAGTAAAAATCTCATTTAACCTAATGAGAAACTGTAGAACAGACTGAGTTTATATCACAGTACCTACATTTAGAGTGAGATATTCATTCAACCTAATGAGAAACTGTAGAATACACTCAGTTTATATCACAATACCTACATTTAGAGTGAGTTATTCATTCAACCTAATGAGAAACTGTAGAACACACTCAGTTTATATCACAGTACCTACATTTAGAGTGAGTTATTCATTCAACCTAATGAGAAACTGTAGAACACACTCAGTTTATATCACAGTACCTACATTTAGAGTGAGTTATTCATTCAACCTAATGAGAAACTGTAGAACACACTCAGTTTATATCACAGTACCTACATTTAGAGTGAGATATTCACTTTTAATGCTATTTTTTATGTGTGTTTAAAGGGTTACACTGTTAGGATTTTTTATAGGAGTAATTTGTCATTGTTTGATTAGCTACAACAACATATATACAATATTGTGCAAAAGTTTTGAGCACTTGAGAAATTAATATTTGAAAGGATATTTCATTGGGCAGTAACTGCATTTTGCTTAAAAATGGTATTTAACAAATCCATTCAGTGCCTGTAGGCATCAATGAGAAACCTGTGTTTTTCTAACCATCTTACAAGAACTACTGTTTTGAAAACAAATGTTCATGTTACTTTTTTACTGCATTAATATTTGTAATGTTAAAAGGTGTTTTTACTGGCAAAAACACATTTACTACTGAGATAAATGGTTTCGAGCAATTTGCTTTGGTGCCTTAGACTTTTGCGCACTTTCTGCACTTTACTAGTCTGAAGGGGCTGAATTTTTCATTGAATAATGAATTTTGACTTTAAAAAATGTACTTTAACAACATATTTATTGGCAATAAAAATGTTATTTGCAGTCAAAAACAAATCTCATAACTTCTTAAGGGCTTGAAATCTTTTGCAAGGCACTGTATATTAGAGGGCATAAAGGGTATGTTCTTGTTTCAGGTGCGCTCGTACTGAAGTATTCCAAAGCCACTGACAGGTGGACGGGCTGCGAGACGAGTGTGTATGTGGGTGAGCTGCTGCAGGTGGCTGTGAAGGGGGGGCAGAGACAGGCATTCAGGATCCAGTATCTTCACCAGGAGCAAATGCTGGGCAGGTGGGGTCACAACCGCAGCATGAAATAAACAGGACTTGCCTATAACTCTGGGGCCAAAATCATTTTAACTATTAGATGTTAACTAATGCCGGCCTTACAGCAAACAACTTTTCAAGCGATTTCACTGTCGTAGACAAATTTCCAATGTTGGAATAAAATCACAAGAGTCTTGCTGGAGTTGTGTTGCGCTCGTGTCATCTTGATTGTTTAGTGTGAGATGGCTGTGATAAAATCAACTGTGTTTAATATTATCATACGTTTTAAGTCTTGGCTCATGCAAATAGTGACTTAGCTTATTGCTAAAAACTTGAAAGCTTGACTGAGGTAATGGCAGATAGCTGAATGGTTCCTTTGAGAAAATGAAAAAAATGATTGAGAAAATGAAGCGGATGTTTAGGAGAGAAGTGGAGAGTGTTGGGATTATGACCAGCAGTAACACAGCGAGAAATCAGCTTATTTTCTGCTGTGTCGCTAGTAAGATGCCCCCCGGTAGTCAAAACAGCTGTTTAGATTTTCTCATTATTGCTCGTGAAGGCCCCCTAGTGGCTTGGGCCCCTGAGCACATGCCCATAAAACCCATTGGACAATCCAGCCCTGACATTTACTGGATATTCTACATTATCTCCTCTATTTCTCATTAAACAAATCTCCAAAAAATGATCAAACCTACATTTTCTCACTCCTAAAAGAGAAACAACAAACTACAACAAAAAAAACTTTTACGTTATGTTCTTAAAGTTTCACAGTGCTTTAGGAACCATCTAAAAAGTGCATTATGTGAATGACTTCCTGAAGTTCATTTCCCATATATTTAACTAAAAGTAGTAGTAGAAAATGGCCTCCCCTACTATGATTTGCACTCTCTTTCCTTCAAGTGATTTGATGTGATTTACCTTCATTATTAGCTAAATATATGGGAAAAAAATTCAGTATGTTCAGCAAAATTAACGACACACATTTTTGAATATATTTAGTTGAGGTTTGCTCTGTCTTTCAAAAGTCAGAAAGTGTAGGTTTGAATTTCATGAAAAATCGTGGAAAGTCGAACATCAGCCAAATGTCCAATATAAAGCAACTTTACTGCTTTTTTTCATGGTAGGAATTGCTGTTATTAAAGCACATTTGATATAATGTTCAAAGCTTCTTCACTTTACTTTTTTCATCATCTGTTGTATAAACCAGTAGAACATTGGAGGTGGCGTGTTATGGTAAATAATGCCACGGCTGTGATGATACTCTGTACTCATCTTCAGCTCGTAACTGCATCCCAGTTACTGTGATGTTATTTGTTATAAGACACTCCCTCTCATGTTCAATAGCTTAAACAACAATTGCTACTCTACTTGACTGATACTTGTTTATACAGTTTTTGCACTGAATTTAACTTAAGTTTGCATTTCATGCATCTTAATTATTGTTTTCCAAACACTTAAAAACGTTCATGAATAGATGTGTGTTATAGGCTGTATTTCAGTTTGTAGATTGAATTGACTGAATTAAATCAAAGTGGAACTTGAGCTGATGCAAATTCTGAAATCTGTTCCACGAGCAGAGCAATGGTGCTTCAAAATACTACATCATAATACGTGACTGGTTCAAAACCAAGCCTTATTGTGAGCTTCTGTGCTGCTCTGCTCCTCAGTTATGTAGGGAAGGAGTATCTGAGAGAAAGGAGCGCTCACGCTCACTTGGCGGACGTGGAGAGGCAGATGACGGCGCAGTATTACGTCATGGAGTTCAACAAGTGCCTCTACGAGAGTAACATCACCACACAGATCTTCTACATCCCCTCTGAACTTCTGCTGGTAACAGACATCTCTATATCATTATCTCTCTTTCTTTAAATTGTTCTCTCCTTTAAACACTGTTACAGCATACAAAACGTACCCCTCACTTCACAGTGCATATGTGGAAACTAGGGCATCGTTGCAATGTCATAAGCATGAACACGTTTCTGAACACGTCTCCCCATTCAGCATACAGCAGTGTAGCCCCACCCACTCAGCAAAAAGCAGTTTATCCCCACCCACTGAGCATAAAGTTGCACGCAAAAGTTTAAGAGCTCATTTACATACATCAGCCTTAAAGGGCACAGTGACAAAAACAGCTATTTTAATTTTATGAGGTAAAGAAAGGTTGGAAATAACCAAATACAGGAAAAACTTAAGATATGGACCCTTAAATGAATCTCTATTCATGACTACTCAACTGTAATGGCTAGTCACCATCCTAATCGTCACCTGAACAGTCACATGAACTTCAATTTGGCTCTTTTCTAGTCCAACTTCATCCTAATGACACCTGGTTTAAGCATTATTACCTGTTAATTATCTGTTCTCCAGATCCTGGAGGCTGACTGTATTGTAGCATGCATTTCTGTGGAGCCATACATGCTGGGGGAATTTGTGAAACTCACCAACAACAGGACGAAAAGAAACGAGCGATACTCAACCACTAAATACGGCATTGCTTTTGGCCACTTCACCTACGAGTTCACCAAATACAAGGAGGTTGTGGTGGACCTGCAAGGTGAGACATTTAGCTCAGAGATTTAAACAGTCTGCTGATTTTAAGATAAAATTTTACAACCCCATTTCCAAAAAAGTGGGGACGCTGTGCAAAATGTAAATAAAAAACAAAATGCAATGATGTGCAAATCATTTAAACCCTATATTTATATAAAAATATATTTATAAATATATGACCATTTTGAATTTGATGCTAACAACACGTTCCAAAACAGTTGGGACGGGGGCAACAAAAGGCTGGTAAAGTTGTGTAATGCTAAAAAAAAACACCAGCTGGTTGATTGACAACAGATTAGTGACATGATTAGGTATAAACAAAGATGAGGCTGAGTCTTTCAGAAGTAAAGATGAGGAGGGGCTCACCACTCTGTGAAACACTGCGCGAGCAAATAGTGCAACAATTCAAGAATAACGTTTCTCAATTTAAAATAGTTTACTTTTGCTTTTTTTTTTATCATCTATGGTACTTAATAACATTAAAAGACTCAGAGAATCTGGAGAAATCTCTGTATGAAAGGGACAAGGCCAAAAAACAGTATTTGCTGGCTGTGATCTTCGGACCCTCAGGTGGCACTGCATCAAAAACAGACATGATTCTGTAGAGGAAATCACTGCATCAGCTCAGAAACACTTCCGAAAACCACTGAACTGTGAAAACAGTTCATTACTGCATCCACAAATGCAAGTTAAAACTTTTAAATGCAAAGAAGAAACCAGATATATGACCGTATATATTTAAAATGGACTGAGGGGAAGTGGAAAAGTGTTCTGTGGTCTGACGAACCATCATTTGAAATTCTTTTTGGAAATCATGGCTGCTGTGTACTCCGGGCTAAAGACCACTCAGCTTGTTATCAGTGCACAGTTCAAAAGCCAGTATTCATGATGGTATAAGGGGTGCATTAGTGCACATGGCATAGGTGACATGCACATCTGTGAAGGGACCATTAATGCTGAACGATATATACCTGTTTTGGCAACATATGCTGCCATCCAGACGTGTCTTTTTCAGGGAAGGCCTTGATTATTTCAGCAAGACAATGTCAAACCACATTCTGCATGTATTACAGCAGCATTGCTCCATATTAAAAGAGTCCGGGTGATAACCTGGCCTGCCTGCAGTCCAGACCTGCCACCACTGAAAACATTTGGCGCATTATGAAATGAAAAATACAACAAAGGAGACCCTGAACTGTTGAGCAGCTGAAATCCTATATCAAGCAAGAATGAGAAAACATTTCACTTTCAAAACTACAGCAGTGTCTCCTCAGTTCCCAAACGCTTACAGAGTGTAAAAGAAGAGGTGATGAAACACAGTGGTAAAGATGCCCCCGTCACAACGTTTTTGGAACGTGTTGTTGGTATCAAAATCAAAATGGGCATATATTTTTCAAAAAACAATAAAATTTCTCAGTTTCAACATCTGTTATATTGTCTTTGTAGTATTTTCCTTTAAACATATGGTTTACATGATTTGCCTATCATTGCATTCTATTTCTATTTACATTTTGCACAGCGTCCCAACTTTTTCGGAAATGGGGTTGTATTAATCCTGCAGGAAATTGCTTTTGCCAGCAATTACTCATTAAACAGTAATATCTATTAAAGAATAGTTAATTAAGAAATGACAGGTATGTGTCAAATAATTGTATTTTAATGAAAATTTTTGTTTAACCTTCATTTATTCAACCTGACTAAATATTATATTTTTGATGACTGGTAAAGAAAGACTATATTAGTAAAATGCTTTTATATATTAATGTGGCACTGCTTTATGTGTAAGTCCTTGTAATTTATATTCTTGACTGATAAATTCTCATAAAGCCCATAATTTCTGGAAGGACATGTATGCGTGAAAAGTGAATACATCCTCTACAGAGAACACACTTCTGCACCATTTAATGCACAATTACCGTTTGCTGAATTTAACATCATGGAAAAAAGTTAAACAGTTTTTGCACAGGTCAAGTTTTAGTTTTTTCCCACAATATGTTAAATTCAGCAAATAAACAGTAATTCTACATTAAAGTGTGCAGTATTCTCTGTATTTCCTCCTAGAAAATGAACAAAACATGGAATTTGAATAATAGGTGTTCAGACTTTTGCATAGAGCTGTAATTAATTCCATCAAATCAGTGCACCTTCAGATCGATGCATTGTACACCACTAATACAAATACGAACAAACTAATCATTTCTAATCTTCAGATCTTACTTCTTCTCGTTTTTATTTGTCTGTTATTTAGGCTGGGTGACGGCCAATGGGAAAGGCCTGGTCTATCTGACGGACCCCCAGATCCACTCCATCAGAAAGCCGAAATCACCCAGTAACTTCCACAAGATTGGCATCATGGAGTTCCTGCAGGAGCAGCATGGAGAACACTGCAGCCCCATCTGCAGGGCCGCCTTAAGCAACCTCAAACAGAGGAGCACATTAGAATAATTAGTTCTGTTTTTTCTCCCCAGTATGCTAAATTCTGCAGTGCAGAATGTTTTAGTTTTCCATTTAATAACAGCCATAAATCGTATGCTTCATGAAAAATGTGAAGTGTCTTATTAATATCAAGGCATAAAATAAATACCATAAGAATGGATCATATAGAGAGAACATGGCGCAGATTTTCTCTGTTGTGTGACTGAGGAGCAACAGAGGAGCGAAAAATAGAAAACGTGCGGAGGTGCAGAGATGGAGCGGAGTGATTACAACACTTTGAGTGAGCGGTGGAAACGTCTGCTGCTCCACTCCACTCACAAACTCTAAAATGTCGTCGATCTGTATATCTTTAGTTTTAGCACTGGAGCTATGAGGCTATTGTAGCTAACAAGTAATGGGACCTTATACCCCACCGATTAGCATGGTGCTAACTGTAAACAAACATGTAGAGTTGATTAGTAATCTCTAACAGAATTGATTTTGTGGATTCTGACACTCTATGACCCACACACACACATATTGTCTAAGACGTTCATGCTTCTGGGTCGCGGGGGGAGCTGGAGCCTATCCCAGCAGGAAACACCCTGGACAGGTCACCAGTCCATCGCAGGGCGGACAGAAAGACATATACAATCACACACACAGTCACACCTAGGGGCGGTTTAGTGTGTCCAATTAGCCTGACTGCATGTCTGTGGACTGTGGGAGGAAACTGGAGCACCCGGAGGAAACCCTATGATGCACTGTTCTCTATAAACATGGACTAAAGTATGAACAAAATTCAGGCTGTTATTACTTTAACCAAAGTAACTTGTATTTGTATCTTTGTAACATTTGTTATCTGTTTGAAGAGACCATATACTGCTTTTTTCATTCTCTTCTCTAAGACCCACTCATAACATCTGTGTGGTTTTACGTATCAAAACAGTCATAATTCATTTCTACATGCCTTTTACAACCTCTCTTCATTCTTGACAAACAGGCTGTATTTGTTACTGTGCCTTTAAGACTGATTTATGTAAATGAGCTCTGTTTTGAGCCTCATTCAAAGCATTCTGGGCTGAAACACTCCTTGTAACTTCACCATGAATGGGCGGGGCTAAACTGCTGCATGACATCACAAAAACAGTGAATTCAAAACGGGCTGTTGTTACAGCTTAGTGTCCATAATTGGGCTGTATGAACTGGAGAGTTAACAGTGTGTATTAAATGTTTACATACAACATCAGAGTCTTTTACTTCAAGAAGAAAACTATTTTGAGGAAAATTAATTCTTCTATCTTTTGGGCTTTTTGATATTGTTATAATAATACTGGCTTTGTGTTAAAAGTAAAATGTGTTGTCCACTTAAAGGGGAACTGCACCATTTTTTTTCAAAATTTCTGTATAATTCAGTGGTTGAGATGTAAACAGAGTCATTCAGAATGGTTTGATGTGAAATGGTTCATTGTAGAGATTTCCTCTACAGTAATGACGACCGGAACTACGGAGGATGCAGCGTGCCAAAAATAATAAATAAATAAGAAAATAAATAAATCAATGAGTAGCAGAAAAGTGAAAATAAATAAATAAATAAATCTGGGACATAAACTCAACAAAAGAACAAAACAAACAATAAAATTTTCTGTTTGGAAACATGTTTGTTTAGTGGTTTGAGCTGAATTTGACTTCGGTGACATTCAAAGTGCTTTTGATATTTGTGTGGTATTGTAAAACACGTTTGATTTCACTGAGAGCTTCCTGCAAGATCGAGAACTGTATGATTAGAACTCGTGATGAGGATCCCCTCAGCCCTGCGCAGTGATTAAACCTCAACTGTGACATTTCTGTAACAGAAGCCACAACACAAAGTAATGAGCAGCTTGTACAGCAGTGATTGTAAGCAAAAAAGTTTCAAGATAGTTTGGGAAAGAAAACAATCATTATTTGGGCAAAACCAGCTCTTAAGACACTTTGATGTGGGTAAAATTTATCCAGAGTTTTAGGAAATACCTGTTTAAAATGCTGTTTTACTATAATTAAATAATTTAGTTTTTATTTCCTTCATCAAATTGAGAATAATATGACAAATAATATGATAAATTGGAAAATAAATAAATGTATGTGATAAACCAAAGTCCTTATAGGAAAGTCTGTTCACTCAGTGGCCATCTTTGCAACCCCACCGGGCAGTTATTTCCAGCCACACAAGACCAAACTCCTCTGTCCTGAGTGGGGAGGTCAAATTATCTTCAAAAACATACTGAAATCTCTGATAAAATATGACAAAAACCTCATATGACATAAATAGTTTGTAGCATTTATCTCAGTAACCTACAAAAAATTTGTATTTTCAGGTTCTGTTCTTGCTGAGTGTTACAGGCTTTCCCATTCATATTTCAACCAGTGACTGGTCTCCTCCTCCTTTATAAAATCTCTGGATAAACTCTCTCTTTTCTCTCTCATCAACAACAATGGCTGCCATGTAAAAACCAAAAACACTTCTTTTGTTTTCTAGGGTGTCTCATTGTCAAAATCAGTCCAGTGCACTGGACTATTTGTTGCCTGAAAGTTCCCACAATGCACTGTAAAAAAAAATAAATAAAAAAAACAGTGAGCACTGACTGTTCACTCTGCTCCCTGACTGGAAACAGCATCACATCTCCAACTGGACTTTCAGAAAGTTTTGAAATGGAGGCTAAAAACTGTATGTTATCTCACTTCATCTCGTCACCTGCAAAAATAAGTATTATATCTTTATTTTTCACTCTTCTGAAATAAAAAATAACCAGCAAAAAGGTTTTGGTCTAGCAAGACACTGTACCACAGTCTATCAGTTTTAAATGAAATAGCCATAGAAACCTTATGGCTACTGAGCTAACCAGCTGCATTTGTCTGTAATCCACAATAGTACAGGCTATGTTTCTCAAGTATTGCCAACAGGCTAACTAGGCCCCTTCAGAAATGTTTAGTCACAGACTTTAAGTCTTTTCAGTCATTGGTTGACTGTGTTTTATGCTAGCTGCAGTCTGTATTTACTACAGTCTGAAGTCATTTCAGTGCTTATAATAAACTTATAATAAACTATTTCCATTATTTTGTCCTTTGAGAGGGAAGATCCTGTAAATGCATATACAATGAGGCAAAAGCCCTAAAGGACAGCTCTGCCCCTTTCATCTTTTTAGAGACACTAAAGTGCAGCTCCGCCCCTTTTATTAAACTGCGACAGCTATTTTTTATGCCAAAAACAGTTTGTGACGGCAAAAAAGTAAATCTGCCCCTTCGACTAGACACTCACTAAATAATAATCATACTAATATCTCTAATTTTCATACTTATTTTTGTAAAGTTAATGTTTCTAAAACAAACTGAAGAAATCTGAGACAGAATGAAATAATAACATTATGAATGAGAACAACCTTACAATAGAATAGTAAGTTCATAATAAAAGCCAGAACAAATAAACAGCAAAAATTAGAATGAAGGAAAAACAATGAAAAATCAATGGCTAAATAAAACCAGGGAGCATTATAAAATTAAGTAAAAGCTTAAAAAGTTCACAAGATATGCTTTAAAATGTTTTTTTTTTTAAAGGCGTGTACTTTTAATTTCTAGCTAATTTCTACAGGCCTGTTTTTTCTTTCAAGGTTTTGTCCTGTAATGCACATATTTTATTAGCTGATACGTTACTAATATTATAAGAACCTGCAGCGCTGCAGGCTGTAACCTGTAACCTCGTTAACCCTGTGATCTCTCAGGTGATCTGATGAAGAAAAGCATCATATGACACTGACATCACTGTTTCTACTGATGCATGTGACTCAGTCCATTCCGTCTAGTCCAGTCCAAACTTTCACCACTACCACACACACACACACACACACACACACACACACACTGCTGTTCCTGTATTCAGCTCTTTATGAGGATTAAATGTCCTCATATTGATAGGAAAAGACAAAAAATCAGTAGTAGTGAGGACATTTTGCTGGTCCTCACAAGAAAGCACGCTGCTTTCCCCACAAATGCAATTTCTTCTTTTGGCAAAAGCGAAGGAGCGGAAAGATCACTGTTCGGTTACTGAGGGTAAAGTTTCAATTAGGTTTTGTGTTGCTTCCTATGGCGGCTGATATTACACAGTATTTTGGCTTTTGCCTTATTCAGTCCAGCAATGTTAAGTCTACTTAAACTTATATTTATGTTCATTTCTCAACACTGAATGTAAAAAAAACAGGCATGTAAACATAAATACATTGTTCTTGAGATAGTTCATCTCTTTTATGCAGTGGCTAAATCAATGTCATTGTGATGTTAATGTTTTCATTGATAATTTACTTTCAACCTATTATTACAGTAACACAGCTGAACTTTCAAAGTGACCTCATCAGTCAACATCAAAATAACAGTGCAAATAAAGAAAAGAGAAGGAGGAAATGCATGTTTATTAAGGACACTTGGATAAAGCAAATGTCTGTTGAATATGTGACATTGATATTTCCAGATATTTTTCATGGTACAGGGTTGAGTGAATGTTGAAGGGCTAAAATGTACTTTTATCATAATCTATAATGAACAACTAATGAAAGAAGATGTTTCAAGCATGAGCTTTTCAATGGATTCAAATATTAATGCAAGCGTGCTAAGATTTTTGTAGTATTTTAATGCTTATATTTCAGGTTGCTGGCACAAATGCTATTTTTTCTAAGTGGTTTAGATGTTAGGTGGTGGTTTTATTACTGGTTCATGTATCGGAGACATGCACACAGCTTGTTGTGAAGAGCACTTTATAATGTATTTTATCTTTACATTTCAACATATCTGTAAATCGTCACTGTTCAAAGAAAAACAGATATCTCCTTTTTAATGTTTACTTTTCTGTATCATTCGAGCCCAGCAGATGATCCCATGATCGATGGACCAACAGAAATGCTCCAAAATTGCTTGGAATAAAACCTACGTTATCCTACATTGGTAGTAAAGAGCGTTTTTGCCCTCTCCTGTAAAGTTACCATTTTGGAGAATGGACAGCAAAGAAATGTAACATTAGTGACACACATATGGCCAAACATGGAATCAGCCAACTGTAAGCTGGCGTTAAAATCTCAAAATCAGCAGCCAGAGGCTATAAACTGTACTATTTTTGAAATGTATGAAGAATTCTTAGGGTAACATGGATCTGCAAGAATCACTCTGGACATTTACTTCATCAACAGCAGTTTAAATGTGTCATTAGATACTTTCAAGCCCCCCTCGCACATGATCCACATGGTCTGACCTTCTCTTTTCCTTCCCGTTTTCTTGCTGTACATTCATGTGATGTTTGTAATGCCTGATGGACAAGGCTGCATTCTTTATGTTCCGTAATTAAAAAGAACTGTTCAACATTAAAAACAGATTAAAACACTACTGTTTCATTACTGTACATTACTGTAATAATACAGCAACAACTCCAGAGCGTACACTTGTGCTTTGTTGACAAAATGGAGTGAAGGGGAACACTGACTCCCACTCCCAGGATTTTTTAATTGTTTATTTATTTAAAAATATATATTTTTTAAATTTGTTACACATATGCGGCACCTTGTGAAAGTTTCAAACTAAATTAATTCACCATATTTAGTCTCCATTGCAGAAAAACGTACAAAAGATTCAGTATTTTATTAGAAAAAAAATTAACTGGTGCCACAGAAAGCCTGGTGGGGCACAATAAACTGTAGGGGCAGCAGCCGACTTGTCAATGAAACTACACACAAACCTGATCCAAAGACAAACATACTATATCAATGAAATCACAAATTCACAAACGTGGTGCAGAGTTGGTGGAAGTGGAGACAGGAATATGAGTGATATGATAACGACATTAGATCTCACAAAACCTTGTTATACAGCATCGCATTACAAATCCAAAGTAATCTATCAGTTTACTATCACTGTGGTCTGCAGCTAAACATCCAAAGCAACATATCAGAGCAGGGAAACAGGCTTTCCGGGCTTTAGGAATAACACGCCCTGTAATAATGCAGAATGACTCATCAGTGACGTTCACTGCTTGAAAAGAAAAGATGCACGACGATCTTTCATCTGGTCAAGCTTGTCAAAAAGTCCATGAATGAGTTCAAGTAATAGCTTAACAAGGGCAGGCAAGGAAAGCAGAGGAGTGTTATAGCTACACTCACAGTTAGCCATGTTTTTCGCTTGAACCTCTCTGGATTGAAGGAGCAGTTTTTGTCCTTTCCAGACTGAATGATGTTTAAATCCTCTGGCTGGTGTTGTCCCAAATGTTTAATCTCTAATTTCTGCTCTAATGGCAGGATAACAAATTTAACTGTTATTACATTTTCAACTTCACTCATTATATTGCCTTGCTATCATTAGTGGCTACCACAACTGATGAGGAACAGTGGCTAGCTGCGTAGCAACGTCCATACAGTAAACAACGTTACTAAACGTCTGGACGTATGTAAATTTATTATTTTTTTATTGGCTGCTCTAAGCATGGGGCCAGCATGATCGTGCCCCACGGTTGGTTATTGAAAAACGTGTCAAACATGTGCAGAGTGTTTTTCAACTGCTCACGAACGCTGATGGCCCCCCGCTCATCAAACAAAGACCGCTAGGAGAAATAGGTCAGCTGCTGGCATTTACACAACAGGTACAGCAAGATATTTGTGATGTATCAGACAGCCCTACCACTGTCATATGTAATAAACACGCAACAATGTTAGCTACTATGAAAAGTATAAATTTATATTAGTTATAATGAATTATTGATCATGTTGTGCACTGCTCCACAGCGACATCTGGTGGGGCCAGGCCCCTAATGCAGAGACACCGCTGCTTGCATAACATAACGACTTCAGATGTTCAGTCATGTTGATTTATTACATATAAATGTTTACTTACAGCACAGTGCAAAAGTCATTAATTTCCAGTCAAAATCGACATTTTTTTTAGGAGATATTTGTGAGGAGATTAGATATAACAATCCGCTTGGATGAGGAAGGAGAAAGTAAAAGGAATAGAGATAAAAAAGCTGATTAAAAGCTTTGTCTAGGCCGTGCCTGGGTGCTGATGCAGCTTCCATTTCCTCATAACTGATCAAACAGTGCTCACTAAGATATCCAAACACTTTTATTGACTTTTCCTGTCTTCCTAAAATTTGATTGCTTTAGAACGTTCTTCGGTCTTCATTTTCACAGCTTTTCTTCAGATTCAGAGTCTGATAATGGTACTTGTTGAAGTAAAGGGATCTTTTATCTAGAAAAGGTGAACCTTTTAATGTTTCATGGGTACACTATTCGAAATAAAGGTACCGTGCAGGTACATTTTTTGTTCATCAAGGTACAAACAATGTAAATGTCCCCTCAAAGGTACAACAGTGGCTTTAAGGTGCAATTATGAACCTTAAATAAGTTTTTCCAGGTAAAAAGTACATATTAGTACCTTTTCATACTTTTTTCACCTTTTCTAATATTTTAAATCGGAACAATAAAATAAAAAGCCTGGAGGCGAGACGGGGTGTGTGGAGAAAATACAACTTAGAAAATATCATTTCAATGGATTATGGTACAGTTATGTTCCCAGACTAAAGGTATTGAGATGTACTCTTGAGGGTCCCACCCCAGAGACAAGAGGGGCACTGCCCCAGTGACAGTTTCATAGCTTTATTTCTGAGAGTGTAGAGGCCAATTGTGAGCCAACTGTAGGACATGTAAGCTTGGAGCTTCCACGATACAGGGGTTGAATACTTATGCAAACAGCATTTTTCAGTGACTATTTTTTTAATCACACAATAAAGCCAGTTTTTTTAAAATAAAATGTAACACGGCACAAAATGTCAAAGTGTCATTTGGGGTCCAGACAAATCTGATCTTTCAATCTTTAAAGGGGTTTTGCAAAGCACTGTACATAAGACTGAACTTTGGAGGTGTGGAAAAATATCCCTGCAGACTTCTTTGTACAACCGAGAGTCTCCTGAAAATAATGGAAGCTCTAATAAAAGGTAGAGTGGACACACTAAATATGGAAACTTCTGATGTTATATATAAGTGTCTTGGCTGAAAACGAGTACATTTATATTTAAAAGTTCACATTATTAGATTTACAAGTTTGTACATATTCATGTTTGCATTCAGAAGTCTGTTCATATTAATTTATTACATCCAGAGGTTTATTTATATCCTTATATTACATTTCGAAGGTAATCCATAATGATATTCCTTATTCATGTTATATTTATTTATTTATTTTTGGGGACATTTTTAGGGTTATTTTTGACACAAATGCTGCAGTGACAAACAGGAATGGAAAAAATGTATTCACAAAATCTTGACCAGCAAGGTGAGGGTGTATTACGCAACAGAGAATGACACAGCACTTACCAAACACAGCCTTTCACACACTCATGCACAAAAAACAGCTCAAATACCATAGTAATACAAAGAAAGGTAAAGCAGTTATACAGTCAATGTCACCTCATGTCAAGCATGTAGAGAAGTAGCTCAATAAAAGTTAAATAACTGCATCAGCAAACACAACAAAAGCTCAGTGGCTGAAAAACAGTGGAAAGCCCGAATCCGGAGTACGGAATGGACTCATGTGGCGATTAGAAACAAGGAAGTGAGAGTGTGTTTACAGTGTGAGGTTACAAATCAGGCCACCGGGGTGTTATATAAGGAGAGAAAGAAGGGGAGACTCCTATCGCAGAGGACGGAGGGAAAGAAAGAAGAGAGACAAACTCTCCAGCTGAAATCATGCACTACCTGCTGTGGGTCGCTCTGGTGGGGCTGTTGGCTGAAAGCTGCTCAGGAGAAAGACCTCATCCTCACCCTCATCCTCATCCTCATCCTCATCCTCCTCATCCTACTCATCATCCTCACCCTCCTCATCCTACTCATCATCCTCACCCTCCTCGTCCCTGCAGTAAGTGATGAACAAGATTAAAACATTTGTATGAGTGTGTACGCATGAGATATACTGAGGTTTAAATTAGTGTAAATGATCATTTCTGCTTCTTTTGTTGCTTGTGTTTTTATGTTTTGTTTGATATACATTTCTGTGCATACGTCTCATTTATTTTGTCTCTAGTCAAAACAGCCATTCATTTATTCTATTTTCAGCATCAGGAAACATACATTTATTGGAAAATCAAACAAAATAAAGATTAAATTTAGTATCAAATTTTCCCAGTATTTAGTGTGTCCACTCTTTGCCTTTATTACAGCTTAGTACAGCTTCAGCTCCCCCTCCCCAGTATATTGTGATGTAATTTATCATGATGGCAATACATGTTGATGTACTGCCAGCTCGACATGAAGGTTCCCATTTGCAAGATACAGGTCTCCCCTCCTATTTTTATCTGTTTCCTGTGTCCTAATGTGAGTAACTGATAAGAGAAATTTTAGCAGACAAAGTGCTTTCTTGCTTGGCCAATAAAATCAGCTGATTCTGATAAGATAAGTAAATTAAACAAAACCAGAGACAGTAGTAATGAAGAACGGAGAACTGTACTGTAACGCTGTGAAATCTTTTGACCATAAGAAGTGAAAGTGTTAGTAGCAGCAGTGGGAGAAATCAGTGCAGGGACTGTACCTAACCTCAGTGTAGTCACTAGTAATAAAGACATTCCACTGTGGGCATAAATATTCAGGCAGTGCAGTTAGTTTACATGACGAACATGTGTTGTTTTGCAGAGTCTCCTCCAGAGCTTCAGGGAAGCCTCACTGTGGTGAGTTACACAGGATTTTCATCCCTTCGCATTATTTCATCTCTCAAAACCATCAGCATCGGACAGTAGTACGTGTGCGTGTGTATATATTTATATATCTCTTTCTCAGACGGCTTCAAATGCTGATTACTATTTGTTCGGGAAGTACATCTACGACGCAATTGGTCAACGGATCCGCTTTGGAGATTTCGGCCAATACAAGAATGAATCCTTCCATGATGACGTTCTGCTACTTTATAAGGAGGTAACACAGACGCAGAGCTGCTGTACAGTGCAAAACCAAAAAGAGGAACAGTATGAAAAAAGCACACATAAACAAGCACATGCCTTACAGACAGATGTCGGATGTGGGAGTGAGTGTGAGAAAAAGTTTAGGGAACAAGAGATTTCACTTTTCACCTCTGTTAACTGTTTGGCTGCTGTCACTCTCACAGTTACGAGGTCAAAATTAGTCTGGTAGAGGAGGAAGAACTGAAACAATACAGTATGGGATGCTGAAGTCATCAAATTAAAGTGCCTGTATCATGGAAAATGTAATTGTCCGATGTAGGTAAATGCTGTAAAAGTTTCAAAACGTTCACTCTCCAGTCCATCCAGTATGTATACAGCAACTAAGCTGCAAAAACAGCCCATTTTTAGTCCACTGTTTTTGTGATGTCATTAAAACCAACTCACTTACACAAAGCTACCTATTCAGCCTGCAGTTTGCTCTGGTAAAATCTGCCTGGTTGAGAGGCGCTTTAGACCTTTTCACAACTGTACCATTCTGCTGAGAACTGCTTGCAAAGTAATGACCGCTTTCAGCTGTTAATATGATTCTACTTTACCACATACAAACACAGGAAATGACGTTTGTTGGATATTTGACTTTTTGTCCTTAACTACAGCCAGACATACACAGATTAGCCATTTCACTGTATCTACACTCATTGTCCAGTTTATCAGCGCCACTTACTACACCGGTACACTTTGTAGTTCTACAATTACAGACTGCGGTCCATCTGTTACTCTGCATACTTTGTTAGCCCCCTTTTATCCTGTTCTTCAATGGTCAGGACCCCCGCAGGACCCTCACAGAGCAGGTAATATTGTGTATTGCATCATTATAAGTGGATCAGACACAGCAGTGCTGCTATAAAGTATGCGTCTGCTCTTCTCAAGCACGTTTACCCCAAAAAAGGCGACATAAAATCCAACGGTTGAAATAGACATACAGAGAAGCAGCAAACTTCAAAACCCAAAGCCTCAAGCATCCAAGTGAAAGCAAACTGCCACGGTGGACTTTTTATTTATATCTTACCTCTGATGTACTTCAGAGTGTACTTCCCTTTTGAAGACTATTTAACAGCCTGTTTAAAAGACTCATATAAGAGTCAATTATGACTGTTTATGGTACATAAAACCACACAAATGTGGAAAGTGGACCAGAGTGGAATAAATAAAATACATGAGAAAAGTACAACGAGGCCTTTCAAATATCTTTCTGTCCCTGCAGAGTGTGAAAAGTGCTAAAAGTACCTCTCCAAGTGAAGATGTCGATTCACTGACTCTGCGTTTCCCTCTTCAGGGCGTGATGTACAAGATCAACGAAAAGAACCAGACATGCAGTAAGAAAGAGCTGACCGACACCTTCCATCCGATGGAGATCCCAGCTAACGCCACCCTGCTGGGGCAGGTCGTTTTGGGCAGTTTCTCTGGACCCGGTGAAGGCCTGCTGGTCAACTCCTGGATGGGAGAAGCACCTGCAAATGATGGTACACATACACCTGCGGGGGTCACCATTAAAGCAATAACCTGACCCCCTCTCCTCCTTGGCATTCACCCCAAATGTAGTTGATCAGCCAAGCTAAACTTAGGTTCACATTTGCCTCTGCAGTTTTAGCGCCGGAGCTATGAGGCTAATGTAGCTAATGGAAGCTTATACCACACCAGTTAGCATGGTGCTAACTGCAGGCATAAACTGTCATTTGCCTCAATAGGGGTGGAGTTGTTCAGTAATTGTTAATAAACCTGATTATGTTGTTTCCAACACTGTATGACACACTGCTATCTGTAAACACACACTGAATTCAGGCTGCTCCTGTTTTAGCTGTGCTAATGAACTTTAGCTCATGTTTACAGATAACAGTGTGTCATACAGAGTCAGAAACCAAGTAAATTTGCCAAGCGTATTTCACTTTAACTCATTTTTAACAGCATTTTTCATCATCAAGCTTATGCTGAAATGCTTGAATTTTTTCTACACGACAAATACAAATAGTGAAGTTTCCAAATGTGAATTTATCTCCAAAACAGATATTTTAATATACATATTTTATATATATATATATATATATATATATATATATATATATGTACATTAATATATTAAAATGTATATATTAATATACATGTACTGTTTTTCTCTCTCTGTAGCTAAGTACTTCCTGACATTTACTGAATTTGGCTGCCTTCCCATCTCCTCCATCTACCACTCGCCACAGGCTGGCTGGATAGTCACCAGGTAACAACCTGCCAGAGAAATTAAGCATTTATTTTATTCTGGAGTAATTCTTCCACAAGTAGGCTTAAAGCAAAGGAAACCTTTCGTAAGTTCAGTCCAAAAAAACTACACATGGCTTAATGTATTTGTGCGGTATAATCTCTGAGTGAAGGTGACTTACCTCTGTTTGTAAAACGGCCTGTACATGGCCTACACATCATCGCTGTCAGGACGAAATTTTGTATCTTTATTTTTGTCGTTTTTTTGCTTTTGTCCGTATTTTGAAGTACGTGTACAGTTGTGTGCAAAAGTTTGAACACCTCTGGTTAAATTACCTGCATTTAGCGCACAATTTGAATGTTTTTGCTCAGTTTATCAGACTGAAAAAATATTACACACACAATTAAAATTTCCTTAAGAAAGAAAATAGAAGACTTTCTTAAGAAAATCCTTTAGAACTTTTTCTGAAAACTGCTGTTAAGAACAATGGGCCTCATTCAACAACCGTTCTAAAGAAGAAATTTCTTCTTAAAACCCACTTACACAGTTTTCACGATGACTCCGACATTCACCAGTGTTAGTTGGGATTTGTTCTGAGCTGAATCTAAACACACTCTAGTGCGCAAAGGCGTGAACAATTCTGCGGTTAAAGAACACGTCTTAAATCTGATGTAGACTTTTTCTTAGGACCTTTCTCAAGAACACATTTAAGAAAAATGATATTGGAAAATGAGGCCCAATGTTATCAACTTCTTAGCTTAAGATCCTTAGTAAGTATTTTTAACGCTTTCGTTACTGTTAGTCGACTAGCAGACTAACACTGCGTTTACACTGCTCCGACATGTCAACAGCCGTGAACACATCCCTCCCCACTCAGCTGGCCACATGTGGATGTTACGAGGGCATTCCCTGTGAAATCCATTTGAAATGTAGTCTAGCTAAGCTGATATTTATGTAATGCTTCTATTTGATTTGAATCTTGACGTAATGCACATCATTAAACTAATATTTTCCAAAACATTAATAAGGTTGAACTTGGAAAGATTAGGATTTACGTTGTTGATCACCACTTGGGGTCAACATCAGCAAACACACACAAACACCAGCTGCTTCCTGACTGGGTAGGCGCATTGCATTGGTCAGATTCATTTGCATACAGTTCAGCTTTCCTCAACCCCCAAACCGAGCACCTGTCATGCACCACGCAGCCACACCTGACAGAAGCAACACTTCCCATTGAAACCAAATGGGATACATTGCGGTGCGAAGACGGGCCGGAGCAGCGTAAATGCAGAGCACTATTTTTTAAATAGACTGCCATTTTCTGCAGATTCATTTTACAGACATTTTGGCATTTCTGACACCTTTTTCTGTGTTTCAGCTTCTTTAACATCATTGTGGGAATCAAGGACCCAAGCCCACTAACTCCTCCTCCGTTCTGTAAGAATGCCACTATGGAGAGTGGAGACAACGGGAACTTCTTCAGCGCTTTCCTCTGAGAGACCACAATGGCTCACTATAACTCATATTCCACATTTAACACATTAATGAACACAATGAACTAACCTACATCAGCTTAGATACGTTTTACATGGAACTGCTGAACTGACTGATTTCATTCTGAAGGTCATTATAGGAAAACACATCATACTGCTCTGTTACTGACTAGTCTACATGTACACTGCACTCTGAATGTACTTTTGTAGACTTCAGCTGATGTGTTGAAAGCATGTTTGTGGTCAAATACCATGTTTTGTTGATTTTCTTAGTGAAAACTGATACATTCTCTACGGAGAACAATTTGCCCCTTTTAAATATAATTACTGTTTATTTGCTGAACGTAACATTGGAGATAAAACTGCAGAACAATGCCACGTTTAAGCTCACTGTAGAGAGTGTTCACCTATTCTCACTTAGAAAACAAACAAAACGTCATTTGACCAGGGGCGCCAAAAATTTTGCAACACTTCACACTGTTGTTTTTGTTACTCATACAGAGGATGCAGTTACAGATTCATAAACTCTCAGTTTGCACTGAATATCTTAGAAACATGTTACACAACTTTGCTCACATCAGCTAATTATAACAAGCGATGAACTAACATTTTAATAAAAGCTGCTTAAGGAACGGTGTTCTGTGTGTTTTAAAGGGAGGCTTTGGAAAAAGCTTGGGTTGTTTTTATATATCATTTGGATGGGAATGAGTCTGCATAGTGATTCATAGTTCAGTGGTTGAGATGTAAACCAAGTCATTCAGAAATGGTTGATTGTAGAGGCTCAGGTGTCATTACAGTGGTGGTGATAGGAACCAGGGGTCACAATGTCTACAACACAAATGTGGACATTTTATTTACTATCCAGATCCAGCAGTGAACCTATATGTGTCTTCTGAGTTTTTATATGTATGATGGTAAAATAGACAATCTGAATCTTTGCCTCACAACACCTTGTAGGTTCCTCTCCACAATGAATGAAAGGCTGAAACCTTCTCAAACTATCATAACAGTATCTCAGGCATCAGGCAGGGAATTCATAACCATTTCATGTAATGACTTTCTGTGGGGGAGCTTTTAGAGGTGGACGTCTGGTTCCTATCACCACCACTGTGAACAGTTCTGACTTGTAAGTTTCTCTAGAACAGAGCATTTCACACCAAACCACTCTGAATGGCTTTATTTGCACCGTAACCATTTAATTCTGGAAAATGAGAATTCCCTTCAAAATACAATGTTGTAATAAAATACTTGAGGAACGTTATAAGAAGAAAAAACAAATACATATTGCTGTGTAGATTGATTAAAATCACAACTTGGGATTAGTTTTCATTATATTTGTTTAAATTATTTATTTCTTGCTGTTTTCCCAATTTTTTTTCATTATTAGGTTTGACAGACCCACACACATATACACACACATATATACATATATGTATGTTTGTGTTCTGCTTTACAGCAGCCCCCCGCAACACCCAGAAAGATAAGCAGTGTATATATCACACACACACATACATATATATGTATGTATGTATGTATGTGTATATATAACTCCTAACAATCACCTTCAAGACCACCAAAACTGCACCCCCCCGCCATCAGATAAACAGCTCTAAAAGCTTTCATCTCTGAGAGAGAGGAGAAAATCAAGCTCCACTCTAGATTCAGATCTAAAAACATCCACAGGTGTTTCTCTCCATCCTTCCACTGTGAGACGACACTCAACACTGTGAGTCTGAAAGGATGTGTAGCTGACAAGAAGCTCTTACTGAGGAAAGGAAACAGACAAACCAAACAAAGAAGCTGCTGCTGTTCTCAGAACAACGGACTGACCACCCCAGACTGAAACATCACTGAATGTGTTTGTGATCACTTGAATTATGAGCAGCAAATGTAAAACCAATTTCTAAGACTGAACTTTGGAGGTGTGAAAAATATCCCGTTTTTTTTTTTGAGATACTGAAAATGAATCTCCTGAAAGGAACAGAATGGAAGGTATAATAAACGTAATTCTACTTATGGGGTGCTATAATTGGAAAGGAAATAAGTGAAGGGTGGTCTCTGACCTTTGCACAGTACTGTAAAACTGTCTGTCTATGCTGTCATGTTAGAATATTCATAAAGTGGAACTACTGAAACACAATTGAAACTGAGATGCCAAAGATCAAAATGATCCATTTTCAAATCATTTTTTCATCTTTATTGAAGTGTAAATGCAAAAGCCATTAAATATTGTGTTACATGGACCAACACTACGTGTTCCTATGATATCTGTTCAACAAGCAGAACCAATTAAATATTATTAAATGTACCAAAACTGAATATTGTTGTATTAAAAAGGGGCACAAAATGTGCATCAAAGTGTCTGAAAAAGGGCAGAATTCTTCAACAGGAGAATGTTACACATTTAAACTTGTACATGTGGAAAAATTACACACATATATATATTGACTTTAGGGTGTACTGATTGGCGGCAATGCGCTGCATTACAAATTATAATAACAACAGGTTAATTACTACTATTCTTATTATTTTTAATTTGCTGGTAATAGAAGAACAGAATTTGTCAGATAATTTGGAGGCAGGTTTGCCTGTCATTTTAAACAGAAGACAAAAAACACTGAATTTACTGAACATTGGTATTGGTTTGGTCCTGTCTGTGCTTCAACAGCTGCGTCTAACTGCAAGCTTAAAGAGAACTGAGAGTGAACGTTAGTGCAAAGCTACAGTTAACATCTATTTCAGTCTATTTGTAACCATCAATACCCTTAACTACGCATGTAGTGTTCCCCTTATTCTCTCTGAATGTGTTAATACATGTGAAAAAGTCTAGCAAAGTCATCAAAAAGAGTGATGTTCAGAATAACCGCTTCCAAAATAGCAAAAATGTTGCTTTAAAAATTGCATAAGAATCTGTAAATCATCTCGAATACTATGGAACCGACATCCAGTCACCAGAAACAGGTACGAAGTAATAAATATTAGTGATTTTTTGCCACAATTTCCATAAAATCGTCATATTTTGAGGTATATACGCCGACTGCTTTTGCTTGTACTCTGAATATCTGATGATATGAGTGCTGATTGTACAAATATACGCAGCTGCTCTCTGGAAGTGATGGTCTTTGGCATGGAAGAAGTGGATTAGCCTGTTCCTGAGTGACAGAGAATAGGAAGTTTAACTGTGGATGGGTGATTCTGTTTGGTGGAGCAGCCTGTTCCTTATCCAGGGCGAACAACGAGCAGGCGTTTAGGTCATGAGGAGGCGGTTCACACGCTGAAGCTGATGCTGTGAGAGGACGAGGGAGTGCGCTTGTTCTTTACCGCGAGCACACGGGATCATCACTTTACCCACCAAAACCGTTCCACACCTCTTCTTCTCCTCCTCGGCCTGAGAGAAAAAGAGAGGGGGGGGTTGAAATGGGTTGGTTGGAGAGAAGAGTCTCCACTTGCTTTGTAACTAAACTCACTGGCCACTTTATTTGAAACACCTACCTTGTACTTCCACTCACTGGCCACTTTATTTGAAACGCCTACCTTGTACTTCCACTCACTGGCCACTTTATTTGAAACACCTACTTTGTACTTTTACTCACTGTCCACTTTATTAGAAACACCTACTTTGTACTTTTACTCACTGTCCACTTTATTAGCAACACCTACTTTGTACTTTTACTCACGGTCCACTTTTTTAGAAACACCTACTTTGTACTTTTACTCACTGTCCACTTTATTAGAAACACCTACTTTGTACTTTTACTCACTGTCCACTTTATTAGAAACAGCTACTTTGTACTTTTACTCACGGTCCACTTTTTCAGAAACACCGACCTTGTAGTTTTACTCATTGGCCACTTTTTTTAGAAACACCTACCCTGTACGTTTACTCACTGACCAATTTATTAGAAACACCTACCCTATAGATTAACTATATAGGTGTAAAAGTACTGTGGTCCATAGGTTGTTGCACAGTTTATCACCTCATCCCTAAACCACTCATCACTAGTCAGACCGTTTCTGACAACAGGACTGCTAGTGACTATTATTTAGGTGGCAGACAGCTGTGTAGTAAGTCTGGACAGGTGTGTATAGGAGACAGTAGAGGGTGCTGCTGATAAGAGTAAAGAAAGAATGGGTGCCTGTGGAGCTTCTGTGCAAAACTGGAATTTGTAAACCTGTTTACACCTAAACCGAATGCTTTCTTTTTTGGGATATACAAACAAAAATGATGCCTGGTTGAATAATAAAAATAAAGGATTTAGTTGACATTAAATGTAGTCAAATTCTCATTACTGTAACACACTAACGTTTGAAGATAAACCTGTAAATGTTTTTCTTGTAAATATTTATAATAATATAATAATATAATAATACTTGTTGATCGAGATTAGTCCAACACATTGACTCCCATTGAGTTTTTTTTTTGTTGTTTGCTGGAAAACATTAAACGAAAGCCTTCAACAGTTTAAAGAACTCTTTGCTTTAAAATAAGCAAACACATTCCTCTCTGTAATGAGAAACAGATGTGCACACACTGCCAAAACATTTTGGTGTACTATTGAAAAGAAGTTAACGCCTTCCCTACACAGTAACACATTTAAATATGGCATTTTTCTGTAAATTTTACACCTTGAAAAAAATAAATAAAATATAAAATGTGCCATACCTTTTGCACAGGCAACATTTTATATTTTTCCCCCACCAATATGTTAAATTCAGTAACTAAACAGCAATTGTGCATTAAACCGTGTAGAAGTGTGTTCTCTGTAGAGCAGGCATGTCAAACTGGGGACCTTCCAGGCCAAAGTGCTGCGGAGATTTGAGTTTACCCTCATCTAATGCTCTGAATTCAGTTCATGAAGACCTTGCTAATTATCTGATGAGCTGAATCAGGTGTGTTTAATGAGGTGCTGAAGTCTGCAGTGTTGTGGCCCACGAGGACTGGAGCCTGACAAGTGCTGTAGAGGATGTTATTTTCACATTTTCACTGAAAATCAATAGAATACTGAATACTGAATATTGGACCGGGGTGCCCAAACTGTATGTGTGTCTTTGTAAGTGTTGTCTTACCTTGACAAAGGGTGAAGAGGGGAACGTGGCAAAATCTGAACGGACTCGAGCTCCTGTCTGCTCCTTTACTATGTGCTCCGATACATCATTCTGAGTGAAGGGGAAAGAGAGAGAGCGCAAGTGAGAGAGCGACAGTGCCAAAATATGGGAGTGAGAGAGAAAGAGGAAGAGACCGAGCAAGTAAGAGAGAGTGAGTGAGAGAAAAAGAGAATGAGGGAGAGAGAGTGAGAGAGAGCGAGAGAGCATACATATAAAAATACATAATAACATGACAGACACAATTAATCTGTTTAAAATGATTGCCTAATTGAGTGTGTGTGGGTGACCTGTTCCTCACCTTCAGTTTGTCCAGAGCGTCACTGAGAGACTGCAGTCTGGCTGTTTGCTCCAAAAGCTGAGCACTCGCACTTACTACAGAGGAGAAAAAAAAACAATTAGTTATTAGTCAGTCTCTCATATATTACTTTCATATCTTAAAACCTGCCCTTATTCCCTTAAAGCTAGTAAAAACCTCTAATGTCCTTTAACACTGTGATTTCTCAGTGCTGATGCTGCATTTAGTTTAAATAACAAATCCAAAATAGTCTTTTACTCAGTTTGTGACTTATTTTCACTAGAAAATCCACAAAACATGCCATCTGACTGCGGGTGTTCAAACTTTTGCAGACTGCAGCACAGCGGACCTAGGAAGGTTACTCTAAAAGCCGCTGCGTCCAGGGCCACTTTTGTTTGCTGAATGACTGATCATACCAGGGGTTTTTCCGGAGATGTCCACCACTCTGACTCCAGCGCTCATCTTCAGCAGGTTGTTGAGCAGCAGGTCAGTTTTGCGGTACAGAGTTCCTGAGGTTCCTTCAGTCAGAGCTCCTTCCTTCATCACCCCTGCCATGTTGGGGACACTGAGGGGGGGCAGAGAGGCCAGCTGGGCTTTCATCTTCTCAGCCTGGGGGCAAACACAGCATCACAGCGACATGCAAGTTAGATTATCATTTGAATCAAAGTGCTACAATTTTATTCACTTTAATATTTAATAAAAGCGCTCAGAGCTGAAACACTCCTTATAACTTCAGCGTGAGTGGGTGGGGCTAAATCACTAAATCACTTCATTTCAAAAGATAACCGAAAATTACCGCCATACAATGCCGGTAAACTTGATTTTTCAAATTTACTGACACTGCACTGAGAGTGAGAGAGTGAGAGAGCACACGTGGAATGTTGTTCACCTTGAGTCTGTAGTTTTCATTCTTCAAGTGTTTGATGGCGAGTCTCTGAACGTCGATCTGCTGCCTCAAGAGAGGAGAATCCACCACCTGCACAGCACCAGACACACCCCCCACACCAGACACGATACCACCTAAACACACACACACACACACACACACACACACACACACACACACACACACACACACACACACACAGTTAATATATACATTCACCATTTTTTTAAATAAATAAAGACACAACTTGACCAAGGAGGCTTATGTTGCTAACAGTGAATGGTAGCGAGTAGCTCCAGTTAGCACTGTAAGATCGACATGATGCTAACTGATGGCTATTCACTTTCACTCACTGTTAGCAATATTATTTTTGACTAAACTGTTGCTTTAAATTTGCTGACAAAAACTGTACTCTTGCATACTGCTACAAATCCATATATACAACTGTATGCAGACGTTAGGACACCCCCCCATCAAATTACTTTTTGGTTGATTTTCTGAGTGAAACAAATTTGCTGCTAATTTTTGCGCACAATTTCTATTTATTAAGTTTAATATATTGGAATAAAATAAAACATACAGTAATAAAGTGACACCTTGACCAAGACCGCCCAAACTTTTGCATATGACTGAATATGTATATTACCTGCGGCTGTTCCTGTGACAATAGAGGCGATGCCAGATGCTGGTGGTCCACGGAGCCCCTCGATGGTCATCCGTGATTGGTTGCTGAGTCTCTGCTTAAGCTCTGCCTTTTCTGCCTCCAGCTGATCAATATCAGCCTGCAGAGCATCCATTGTCTCCTCAAACTCCCTACATGCGCAAGAGAACATGCTCATCAGTTCCGAGAACGATGACACTTAAATTAGTGAAAATTCATGACCAAAACCAAAATTCAGGACACATTCAACTGAAAACCGAAACAGAAAGAAAGAATTCTAACATATACACACACACACACACACGCACACACATACATGTGTGTGTATATATATATATATATATATGCCTTTTGTCGTATTACTTAAGCTTTTGAATTAGCATAATAAGGCTGCCGATGACTCCAAGTTGGGAACTAACTAAGAGAGGACTAATTTAATTTTAAACAGCTTACTAAATAATGTTAAATGTAAAAACGTTTAATTGTGAAAAGATAATACTTCATGGTTTTCCAGAGGCATCTTAATTTGAATTCCACAGCGCCTCTGCTCTAACAACACCTCATTTTCTACCGTGCAGGTCTCTTTCGTTTGTCATTTAGAAAAAAAAAAAACAGCCCTGAACCCACACCAGCAGGAATCTAACCAATGCACATGTTTACAGTAACAACTTTCAAAACCTGACGAAAAAAAAAATATTAGCACAAGATTTTAAGTTACTTTTATTTATGGGATTTCTCTTTAAAGAATTCAATCCAAAGCACACAGGAACTTTTTTTTTTGCCATTTTCATATGAAAATTATTAAGTGGCTGAAATCTCAGTGCATCCCAAACCTGCATAGAACTACCAATAATGGACTATCATTAAAATCTACCACAAGTTATGTCATATATAAACATTCATGTAATGTAATATTGTAAGACATGTAATACTCAATAGCGTATGTGATCAATCTTTGCCCAATATAAAATTTTAAGGATATTTTCATTCTATTTTCATTTTGCTCACACATAAAAAAATGAAAAAAGGTTGGCATATCGGTGGCATACCCAGAATTTCAATTAAGGAGACCTGGTTACAAGTCGTGGGTCAAGCTAGGAAGCATCCCTGAGAGAACATTATAGTGAGGATGACAACCACCAACAAGTCTACCTCACTGTAACTGCCATAACCAAAACCAAGGTAAATGTGAGACTTACTGAGAGACAGGATTGCCATATGGACACAGATACAAGGATATACATATATACAGTCTACTCACTTCTCTTTCTTCTTCAGCAGAGTCAGCGCCTCATCCAGTTTGGTCTGGATCTTCTCCACCCGTTCATCTGCGTCTTTAGTAGACGTGTCCAATTTCTTCTCCAGCAAACTCAGACGCACGTTGGCCTCACTCAGCTCCTCTCCCTGATATATACAAAGAAATTTTAGATTGCGGATCCAGAACTATCCATTTTATAAATCTGTTTTTATTTATATATATGTGTGTATATATACATATATATATATATATATATATATATATATATATATATATATATATATATATAAAAAAATAAACACACACACACACACACACATATATATATATATATATAGTAGTACTGTGAAAAAGTCTCAACACAATGTTTCTGAATAAATGAATAAGAAAACAAATACAATAAAAAGAAATTCTTATTTTTAAAAAAGTAGTCGAGATTTTATGAGCCAGTTTGAAGAACAAAGTTTGCTTCCATTTTTCCTGGACGCCTCAAACCATCACATAGATTTATTATATTCTATCATCTATCGATTTAACATAATGAAGTACTAAATAGATAAACCAGATGATAACAATGTTTAATACTGGGCTTCTTTGAGGAGAGGGTTGTAAGTGGTTAAATTAAGGCAGGCTTTACAAGGTGAAATACTCAACTTATGTAGTTTGAAACCTACATGAAACTAAATTGTACTTGGGTTGTCGCAAGTGTCCCAACTTTGTGGAGCAAGTTTCATATAACGGCATAGGAGACACTTCTAGCATGACTTCATAGCGAGAACGAGCAAGTGTTTCAAATATAAGCTGCTAATTAGACCATCTAGTGGAGCAACTTAACAAATGTCTTGTGCAACTTTGATTGTTTGTAAATTGCTTCACGTAACAGTCAAATTACACAGAAATAATATTGCCAGGGCTTAATGCAAGGGAAATTTCTGTTCCTGAAAGGCGATCAGGTGTTAGGAGTCACAGGGAAGGATGGAGGGAAGAGATTCATGAAATGAAGATATTAATTAATTGAATACGAACTTTTTTTTTTTAACAAAAATGAAACAAATAAACAATTTGCAATTAGTACAAAAACAAACTGTGCACAATGTATGGTAACAAACATTGTATCAAAATCTAAGTACAACTTCCAAAGCCCAAAAGAATATCCAATAGGCCTATCCTTCAAACTAGTCATTGCTCGTTCCTCCAAACTGTGTGCGGCATACTGATCAGTATTGCACAATGTAGGACTTTAAATACTGGCTCCTGCAAACCCACAGTGCATAATACAGCTAACAAATAGCCATTTGGGATTCAGCCACCTTCATACTCGACAAACAATGCACTATTTGGCTGTAGAAGCCAGAATTTCAAAACTTCTCTAGCACACTAGTAGGGAGCACAGGGTCATTTAAGATGCAGCCAGGATTCGATGCTACTTAAGGCAGATCTGACTGTAAGCCATTCAAGCGTCATTCTTTAAACTTTTATATCGTCGTTTTCCAGTGAGTTATATCTTAAGTACTTTAATTCACGCCTGTGATATTAATGAAGGAGTTGTTTAGCATGTTAGCTAGCAGACCAGCCCAAACCACAACGATTTTTCTCATTCTCAGTTGGTGTAATGTGGTTGGTGAACAAGGCTCAGCCTATCAGATTTCAGGACCGGAACAACTTGTTTAATGCCTCAAGCAGGAACTCCTGCACAGTGCCGGAGAACTTTACGCCATGTATTGCACGAAAGTTTCACTGTGTAAAGGCAGCCTAAAACACAGACATACATAAAAGCACTACTAATTATATTCATGTTATCTGTATTTATTCTAATATTAGTGCTTTTTTAAGCAAATAAACACACTGCCCAGATAAACAGGTATTTCATTCTTATTTTTGCACACTACTGTATATCTGTACCTTTTTTTTGAGAGTGATGTGTGGTTGATTAATCTGACCTTGATTTTGAGAGACTTTTTAAGCTCCTTAATGACCGTCTCTCTGTCCTCCAGCTTCAGACCCAGACCCTCAGCATCAGTGATTTCAGCTCTCAGAGCAGCTGCACGAGCTTCTACAGGAGGATGCTGGAGACAGAAGCACACAAACAAAAAAAAAAGAAAACAGAAAACAGTTCAGAGTTCAGAGTCCTGAGTGTGGTTAGGTTTTGGGTCAAGGTCAGGGTAGGGTCAGGCTTAGGTTTAGGATTAGAGAGATTAATGTCCACTAAGATTCAGGTCACCTCAAGTTTAATAACACAAGTGTGTGCATGCGCACACGTAAGCGTACGAGCGCTCATACCCTATCACTCAAACGTTTGCCAAATTAAAGGAGAATTCTGATTTGTCATCCGCATTTGTGTGCAGTTCAGTGGTTTAGATGTAAACAAAGTAAATCAACGGGGTTTGATGTGAAATGGTTTATTGTGGAGATTTATTTACAGTGGTGCTGATAGGAACCAGGGGTCACAATGTCTACAACACAAATATAGACATTTTATTTATTATCCAAAACCACCAGTGAACCTACATGAGTCTTTTGAGTTTTTATACGTAAATGTTGATGATAGTAAAATGATGATCAATCTGAAAAAAGTTCTTGCCTCACCTTCCATGTACCCCTCCACCATGAATGGATTAAAAAAACCCTTCAGTGACTCTGTAAGTTTCTCCAAAACGGAGCATTTCACACCAAACCACTCTGAATGTCTGTTTACATCTTAACCATTTAATTATGCAAAAATAATATGAACAATTCCCCTTTAACAAATGTATTCCCAGCGTAGAGCTCTGCTGATTATCTAAAATCTGTAAACTTGATCAGGACAAGCATATTAGAATTTTATGCATTTATATGCAACTGTATGGTTTTTTTTTAATCTCCCGGTCAGATTACATATTTTGTTGATTTTCTAAGAGAAAATAAGTTAACTCAGAGAACAGAGAACACACTTAAATATAGCATTTACTTGCAATTCTTAATTGCTAAATTTCAAATATTTATAGTTTTATATCATTTATATTGAATACAATAGTTTTTTTGTTTGTTTTTCATCCCAATATGTTTAATTCAGCAAAAAAACAGTGATTGTGCACGAAAATGTGCAGATGTGTTTTTTTCCATCCAGAAAACATGAGATGTTACCAAGGGTACATATATTTGAGTTTGTATCTATACATGCATGTGTGAGTGTACATCTCACCACACGCTGAGGTTTCTCTGCATCATACTCTCCCTCCTGCATGGCAGTGGCCATCTTGTTCATGGTCGCTATGACGGCGCTGCATGACTGACGCAGACACTCGTGAGGGTTCAGACCATGAGAACTGTAAACCTGCAGACAAAATTACTCAGTTACTAATCCAATTACTATAAATTACTCTGTATCCACTGAGTTAGTCAGTATCTGCTATGATATTCTGTAACTATAAAATATCCATTATCTACTATGAACTATTCAGTAACTACAATTAATTGTATAGCATCTCCTATAACTTATTCAGTATTTACTACAAATTATTTTGTTACCACTATCATAAATTCTAATTGAACAAAAAAATGCCAACCAAATGCTACAGTGAGGTAGATTTCCAGCCGAAAGACTGCATAGGCTCTTGTACAAGCCGTGTGTATATATGTGTACCTGTTCCACTGCTTTAAAGGCTACATCTTCCAGTTTGAGAGCAGACAGCCCCTCCTGTTCAGCAAGTGGAGCGATCATCTGAGCTCCAGCTGCTGCCATCTCCTGCAGAACAGCAACCACACGGGCCATCTGCTTCCTGCAGTCTGCCAGCACCTCACTTACCTACAAAGACAGACATATACGAACACAATAATATCTACTCCCAGTCATAAGCATTCAATCATTTATCATGCACACTAGCAAACGATGCACACAATGTAGATGAATGTAGAGAATGCAGAATAAAATATTATAAATTAACACACAAACAACATCTAATACAATGTTGATTTATATACCATCAACTAATAATAACCAATAGTCTTGTGTAAACAAACATTACTTAACCAATGTTTATAAAAATAATATAAATTAATAAAATGTTGCATAAATGATATCTTATAGTGCATGGATTAAAATATTATAAATTAATAACTGCTGTATAAACAAAAATGATTTACAAAATGTAGATGTAAATACGATTAAATAAATATTAGCGTTGCACAAACAACATCTACCACAATGTAGGTTTACACACTATCAACTAATAAAGATCAAAAGTTTTGTGTAAAAAAACTACTTAAGGTAAACAAAAATATCACAAATTAATGATGTGTTTTTGTAAACAATAATATCTGTAGTGCAAACAAAAAATGTATATAATGTAGATGTATAAACTTTGCATTCCATCCTTTATAACAATACAGTGTGATTATTAAGTTCACTGTTTTATAAACAATAACATCAAATACAATATAGAGTTAAGTCTCAAAAACTATTGTGTATAAACTATAGTGCTGTATTTATTTTAAATATTTTTGTAATGTCAACTGAAATAATACAACCTAAATATTAAACTATAAATCTTTATCTGCCTGGAGGTTTGACCATCACCTTAAACCACTCACCTCAAGAGGGTAAGAGAGGGCTGTAGGTATTCCTGGTGCATCAGTGCCGGGCATCCTCCGGCGGATTTTCTTACAGAATTGACGTATGTCTCCACAGGAAGTGTCCAGATCCTTCAGCAGCAGAGTAAGCCCTGCCCCTTCCTGTCCTGCCTGCAAGAAGGCACGCAGACGGCCCACCTCTGCCCCCATGCAGTCCAGAGCACTCTGGGTGAACTGAGGGGAAAAAAATAAATTGTAGAACTACAAAGTACAACTATATGTGTCTAAAATTACATACATGAGCACTTGTTTATTGTTTATAAATTCACTTTGCATCAAAACAGAGACGTTTAACGTCTATGTGTATCACAATCAAAGCAATAATAATAAACGTTATTTAACATCTGTTTTTTTATGACTGGTTTGTCAATTTGAGACCCACAATTTTGGGCGGATCACGGTTCAGTCATTTAGTGCACAATCAAGCACAGGTGGAGTGCTCAAATCTGTCAAAATGAAGGGAACTAAAAAAAAAAACAACAACCAAAAAAAAAAATCAACACCAAACAAGGTAGGTGTGGAAGTGCCCTTACGTTAATGATATTTATTTTTTATTAACAAAAAAATGCTACAATCTCATTTGTCCAGCAAAAAATGTATTAAAAGCACAGAAAATCCAAATCCAGAAATCCTTGTCCTGCGATGTCTGGATCAGCTTCACCCAGTCCAAAAATGTTTTAAAAAACTATGACCAAATCTGTGAGATCATTTTATCCTTGAAAGGACAAAGGGGGGATTGGATTATCCAGACAATTCTTATCCAGATTAAAAGTTTTGCGTAATTAACCCCAAATGTTGTACAGTAATGTGAGCAATGTGAGCATCTGGTACCTTGATATGGTCGGCCAGCTGCACGGTGCAGTCTTCAGCCTGCTCAGTCAAGTGGATGCTGTACAGTTGCTAAAGCAGGAGAAAAACATTACAAACCGCATGAGGAAAGACAAAAAATATACCTGGGTCTACACTCAAGATCTACACTGCACACTAAAACACTGAAAACATTTCATTTGAGAAAAATGTATTTATTATAAATTTGACCAATAAAATGAATGCGTGAGTACAATTGCTTTTGGCCTTGTACTATTCAATATGATTATATGACTTTGATGATTTTGATTTTATTTTTAGCATAATCTCGATCTCGGCAACACAGAAAGACCGTATATGAGTTTCTAACCAATCACAGTGTTGGTTACCATATGCTACAAGTATCCTGACCAAATTAACCCCACGTTTGGTATTGGGCCACAGCATCACTGAGTGATGGAGTGATTAAAAGAGAGGAGCAGATTAAACAGCAGAAATAGAACACTTTTTGGTGTTGGGCATAAAGGAGAATTCCATTGGTTTGCATGATAATGCATAATTAAATGGAGGAGTTCTAAGTCATTCAGAGTGGTTTGGTGTGAAATGGTTCATTGTAGAGTCTCAGATTTCTTTACAGTGGTTGTGATAGGAACCAGGGGTAGCAATGCCTCCAACACAAATACAGCCTTTTTTAGTGTTGACCATCGTAAAACAATGTCTCAGGCATCAGGCAGTGGATTCATAACCATTTTATGTATTAACTTTCTGTAAAGTAGCTTTTAAAGGCATTAAACTCTTCAGACATCTGGGTCTTACCACAACCACTGAACAATTCTGACTTGCTAAGTCTCTCTGCAATGGAGCGTTTGACATCAGACCACTCTAAAACACTCTGTTCACATCTTAACCAAGTAACTATGCAGAAAAGTTGCCCTTTAAGCAGTTACGGCGCTTTTAGATGAATTATGACTTCCAGACACTTTATTGGACACAATAAAGTAGACCAGTCTTAACTAGATTTGATGCACTTTTTTTGATATCAAATGTCAAACTTCTACAGAGCTCTAATTACATTCTACACAGATTACGAGGCTCTCCAATAAATCTTTTTCAGCATTTGCTGCGCCACTCTCTAACAAAATAAACCTCAAAAATCACAGCTACTACAATTTATAAGCTCTTCAGAAAAAATGCCCAGTTATTTTAATGTAGGTATGTCCACAGCATAAGCCGTGTCCCCCTCTCTGCCCACTTTACTGTGATAGGCTGCAACCAGATGTCTAGTTGTGATCATTAACATTAACTTTTCCTTGATGGAGAGTAAATGAGACACGCTGAAGAGCCCGAGGGGAGAACTGGTGATATGGATTTTCATGCACTGTTTCAATTTTCCGACACTGCACTGAAATCATTACATCCTTAAGTTAGTACATATATGTTGTGTATGTAGTACCTGATAGTATTTGATGGCTTTGGTGAGCGGCTCCACTTGGACAGTTTCGTCGAGCTGGTCTTTGTGCAGGAGGTCGATGAAGAAGTCCAGACAACGCTCATGCACACTCATCTCAGAGTACAGAGTCCCCATCCGCTTATACACTTCCACGCTGCACTGATTCAGAGCCCTGAGGGAGAGAGAGCGATACGAAAATTACAAATTAATACTGCTGAACTAGCTGCGTTCCATCATTAAAGCAATGGTTCAATCACAACTTACCACCATTAACTCATGTAAACTTCCATTACTTTACATGTAACGAACATGTAAAGTAATGGAAGCTTATACCCCACCAATTAGCTTAGCGCTAACTACACTTGCCTTGAACTGTGTGGAGTTGTTAAGTAATCACTTAAAGACTTGATTATGTGGTTTCTGACACCGTATAATAGACTGTATATCCTGATAAGTACTGTCTACTCAAACTATTTGAGGTGTGTTGCTGCCTCAAAAGAATGTTTTCAACTTTTACTGAAATTATACATGGTGATGAATCAACTCAAACTTAAGTTCTCCAAACTAAATATAAGTAGACATCACATAAACTACACTGTTGCAGAAACTTGAGCTTTCAAGTTTAAGCAACTACATCATTAATGTATTTATTAATTTTCATTACACTGACATGATTGTAATGATGTAAAGAACATACATACTTCAGACTTTAATAACAGCTTTAAGAAAAATACTGCACTGAAATCTAAGTTGGCAGTAATAAGTGATTTTGTTACAACCAAATGAACTACTAAGCTGAGACACTAAACTGAATGCGTTTGTTCTACCCACAAAAAATAAGTACACATCAATTTTCAACCAGTTAGTATAAACCACTTGCCTGGATTAAGTGACAGCAACTAATTGCAAGAACATAAGTAAATATAACTTGATTTCTGCAAATCACACCATATACTAAAATACAAACATGATTACTATTGTTTTTAGCTATGCCAATATACTTTATGAAATTTGATTCTGGGTCGAAACATCGATTTAAGGCTAAAAAATCTTCAAAGTTAGAGCCAAAATGGATATGAGCTGGTAAATCAGTTAGTGAGTCAGTGAGTTTATAAAAAGATAAAGTCACATCATTAACACCTTTATTGTGGTAAGAGCAAAGACAAAAGCTAAAAAAACAATAACCTTGGATTTTCTGTACTTCTACAATCCATCAACGTTCTCTCACTACAACACCCAGCATGCATTATACAAATATGTCATGCAACCACTGGGAATCGCACCACTGCTAGAAAGCAGAATCAATCATGTTGAACTTAATAAATACAGACTTAATCTTTAGCTTTATAGCAGTAATGTTAGCTATATGACCTCTGCATCAGCCAGCCAGCGAGAAACAATAAACAACCAACCAACCCACCCCTAAAAATCCACCTCAAAGTGCTTGTACTTTTTCAAAAGTCCCCCCTTCTTAAAATGAGTCATCAGAAGGGGGTTTCCTTGACTCTAACATTTCACTCTACACAGCACCGCTGTAGGAAGTGAGTAGAAAGGAGTGGGTAATATGTCGATATTTATCATTAGCATGATAAACTGTGTCACATTATAATATAATTAGGCCTGATTCAGTGCTTTGCAGCATGTGAAATGTTGCATAAATTCACTGTCTTCACAGTTTTTGATCATATTTTTTAATGTGGCACTACTGGTTATAGCTTTATTCTTACACTAGCTTTATTCTCTGTTCCAACATATCAAACCTCAAAACAAAATATTGTGATGCATGTTGTATATCCAGCACCCCACCGCGACCCGGAAGGATAAGCGGTTTAGATGATGGATGGATGGATGGATGTTGTATATCTAGAAACTATCGTGATTGAAATATCTTATTTGCCCACTCCTACGAGTAGGCATGTTTACAACAGTGTCCTTTAAAAACACTGAAGAAATGTAGTATTTTTTAATGTAAATCACGCAGAATAATGACATTAAAACCAGTCTGTTTCCTGACAGTCACTCGAAACCACTTTGTTCTGTCAAACCACATTTTCACGATTGTGCAACCTGAGCTACAACAATTACATACACACATACAGACACAGTAGCGTCACCCTCCTCACCTCAGATACCAACCCTCAGCAGAGGAAGAGGAAACAGCTCGTTACTTGCAGCCTGCAGACCCTTTCCTAATTCACTCAGAGAGACCAGGAGGTTGTTTTAAAGCCCAAGAGGAATGAGAAACCAGCGGGTTGCACTCATTCACTTTCTATATGCTGCTTTTATCATAAAGCTTCTGGAGTTAGTACTCCTTATGCACTTTAAGGGGGAATCCCTTAGACTGTTCTACATTTCTGCATAATTAAAAGGTTAAGAGTGGTTTGATGTAAATTTCTCTCTATTATAGAGAAAGTTACAAAGTCAGAATTGTTCACAGTGGTGAGTGGTGATAGGAACCAGACATCCTCCAGTAAAAGCTCCCTAAAATCATAAGAAATAGTTATGGGAGTTTTGTACAGTAAATGCAATGGTTATATTTGTGTTGCAGACATTGTGACCTCAGACAATGTTTCAGAGGTTTCATACCAAACCACTCTGAACAACTTAGATCTCAACTACTGAATTGGTGGAATTCCCCTTTAACCAGATTAACTATAAGGAGAAAATATATCATGAATTGCATGCATTAAGGGTAAATACAATCCTAAATAAATTGAAAAGTGAAGCAAAGTATTGAGGTTCCACTTTATTAAATCTTCATGCTAAAAAATATTAAAATAATATTCACCCAATCTATAATAGTTAAAGTGACTCTGCAGGTTAAAGCCCTAATGCTGAAGTGTTGCTGTGCTAATTCTGCTTGTTTTTGGTACGTACTGTTCATATTTGTGCAGTGTGGCCTGCAGCAGGGTGAGAGAGTAGACCAGTCCAGAGGCGAAGCTCAGCTGCTCCCCAGCTGGCCCCCGCAGGCCAGTGCGCTCCACAGCGTTTCCATTCAGATCAAACTTCTCCTGGGCCTGCTTACTGATCAACTCAGCCTGCAGGCAGTGGGGAAACACTATTAATGACAATTACACTTTAATAACAGTTACTCCTCAATATGACCATTATACCAATATAACAATTAAAACCAACCCGCATCTCACAAGCAGCGCTGGAAGTCATAGCTGGGTACCTCTGGGCAGCATTAATTTTCAGAGATATCCTATAAAATCTTACTGGTTTAGCTAACATTAGGCAATATTGCATATTAGATAGTAATTTTATTACTACCACGATGTAATTTTATGTGCTACATGTTATTAAAGGCTGCAATAACAGAATAGATTAAATTACCCTAAAATAATACCAAAATGACGTAATTAGATTTGTGGGAACGTAGCCTTAGAAAAGTCCACAACAATAAGCTTTCAGTTCTGATAGTCAGTATTGCATTATTTTTATTTCACAATTGGGAATGCTGCTTCTGTATTTTTGCTGTTCACTTCAAGAAGAGGTTAGTCTATTTATTTACACAGAAAAAATAAATAAATAGAAACAAAATATCTGTACTTGCGACACGTCCATTCAGAGAGGCACTATTTTAATAATAATTTATTGCTTCTCATATCATCACTCTGATAACCAACAGCTTTAATGAACATTTTATGTCCACACTGTCCAGCTCAAGCTAACATTTATATATTTCATAAAGCTCAAGAGTTTGTTAAGGTCTAAATGATATTGCAGATACTATGAAAGGTTTCCGAGTATGTGATAGTACTGAGGTGACACATGTACATCTAAAAAGATACTGATGTTGTGGTACCTTGCAGATGAGTCTGGGGATGAGCAGCAGAACCAGGATGCAGTCATGATCTCCTCCGTGCCGCAAGAACGAGTCCGGCATGAAGGAGGTGAGCAGAGAAACCTGCCTGTTTGCCTGAGCCACCTCCATCTTACGCAGCTCCATCTCTATGGCCTTCATGCATAGAAATGAACACGCGTTACATGAGCAAAGCATCAGAAATAACAAGTGGCAAATATATATATTATGTATGTATATATAACCCTTTGTTTAAACATATAGCCCTCTCACCAGTGTTTATTTATATTATGCTGTGATCATCATGACTAATCAGAGCTCCAGAGAGGTTTCTGTAGGTGTTTTGATGAATCAAAAAAAAAAAATCCTCAAAATACTTAAATTTACAATTTATACAGTCATATTAATGATTCCCCTGTATGTTTTAAAGTGTGTGTTAATACTTGTAGTTCAGTTCCTTTGTTCCAGATTAAAGCAGAAAATTATACATTAAAACATTTTAGTTCTGGTCTGACATGCTTAACATCAGACCAAAAGATGTGAACAAAAGCCATACAAGTAAAAGGTCACAACTGAATAGGCAGATTTTATGACATACAACAACTGCAGTAATGCCCATCACTCTTTCTGTATCAAGCTGTTCTCTATTCTATCAGCCTCATTGGTTTCATTTAAGTCTTATTTTATCTGTGTTTTAATATCAGAGCAATAAGTCATGAGACTCCTTGTGTTACTGTGGTTTTGCATGACGCAAAGGGTGAAATCCCTGTGACATGTTTGTGTGGCTTACTGATTTTACAAAACGGAGAAACCTTGGCACTTAAATACATAATATTACTTGTGTGCAATCAAATATGGCTAGTGAACATTTTCTAATGACCTTAAATTTGCCTCAGTCTTATTTTCAAACCAAAACTACCTGTTCTATGATTACAGGATCAAAGCTTATGAAGAGATGATAAAACACATGCACATATCAAAATAGCATCAGAAATGTCTCTTCATGCAGAGAGGAGACAAAAGATCTTTTAGTTGTCTCGTTTAGTTGTCTTTGGTTTGTATTGCGGTCATACTTTAAATGAACCACATCAGAGTTTCTTTTGAAGTGAAGTGAGACAAACCTACTCAGGCAGTCTCAGTCCACTTATTCGGTGCCCACCAGAGTTCAGATGGCAGCATTCTCACTTGCTCTAACGAACCACACTAACAGAGCAATCCCACCAGGGTTTGCTTTAATCAAACCAAACCTGCCCAGTCTAAACGCACCCCAATACAAGGTGCAACACAATCACAATACAGTCAACTGTGAAAGACTGAATAGCCCTGGTCAAATTAGACTGTGTTGATTTTCTAGGGAAAAAAACTTAATGCATCCTCTAAAACGTAAAATATTTAAGGAACAAACTTAAATATGACATTTCACTGCAAATTTCAGTGCACAAATCAAACATAAAACAAAAAATGTGTATTCAAAATTCAGCAAGTAAACATTAATAGTGCATTAAAATGTGTAGTAGTGTGTTCTCTGCAGAGGATGTATGAACTTATGTTCACTTAGAAAATCAACAAAATGTGTCATTTCACCAGGGGCGCTCAAACTTCTGCCTACAACTGTACGTACCACTAAAACTGCAACACTGATATTTTGTTCATATGGTGCAGCTTTAGTTGGTGGTAAGCTCTGCGGAGGCAGCAGTACCTTGGCGTAAGCTTTGGTCTCAGCAAATTTGATCTTGAAGTCAAAGAGCTCAGCGGGAGGCTGCTGCAGCTGCTCGGCTGTAGCGCTCTGCTGATTGGTCAGCTCACGGTTCACTTCCTGTTTATGGCACAGAGGGTGAGAGGAAAAAATGGCAAAGTGAGAAAAATACTGCACACAGGAAGTTCATCAGTAGAAGTGAACAGAGCAAGGCAAGGCAAGTTTACAAAAAGTAAGCACAAAAGAGAAAAACATAATTAAAAACAACATTAAAAAAACAATTAAAACAACAAATTTAAAAGAGAAAATAATTAAATTAAAAAATCAAATTTGAAATTAAATTAGGAGAGTCAAATAATCAAAATAAAAACTAAAATTTAGATTAGGATTTTAAAAAGTGCTGTTACAGAGGAAAAAAGGGGCTAGAAACACTAACAGTGTTCAAACTGAGCTGAAAGCTGCTCAAACAGGAACATTTTGAGCCTGGATTTAAATGTGTCCAGTGTAGGGGCTCTTCTGATGCTCTCTGTCAACTGGTTCCATTTAAGAGCAGCATGGTAGCAAAACGCTGCTTCTCCATGTTTAGTCTTCACCTTCGGCAGGATTAACCGACCAGTTCCTAATGATCTGAGAGTTCTTCTTGGCTTATATTGTTGCAACATGTGAAATAAACGTGCTGCACCATTTAGCGATTTACGGACCAGTAGTAGTATCTTAAAGTCTATTCTGTAACAGACTGGTAGCCAGTGTCAACAAGGATTTAAGAACGGGGGGGGGGTTTGATGTGTTCCTTTCTTTTACTCCTAGTGAGACTCTGGCAGCCACATTTGAATCATCTGAACCTGTTTGACTGCCTGTTTTGGGAGTCCAGTTAGGAGACCATTACAGTGATCAATCCTGCTAGGAAAAAAGGCATGGATGAGTTTCTCCAGGTCTGTTTTTGTCAGAAAATCTCTGATCTTGTTGATGTCCTTAAGGTGATAGAAAGCAAACCTCTGCTTTAACTAACAAAGCCTACTGCAGTGGCTCACAGTCCTGCAACCACATGAAGACACTTTCTTTGGTGTTTCTTTTTCTGTGTTTTTTTCTTTTTCAGAACATGAGGTGTAAAACTGCATTTATAATACAAATGATAACTTAATGAGAAATGTTCATTTGCTTTCATTGTATCTAGGGGTGTTCAAATTTACACTACCATTCAAAACAGTGAAGCACTGAAAGGACAATTCTTGACCGAAACCAAAATCCAGGACATTTTCCACCAAAAACCAAAACTCCATTCTTATAATTTGATCTCAGACATTAGAGAGCCTGTCTGGATACTTTTAGAAACATAATGTATGTGCTTCTCTTTCTCCTCCCACTGACCTGTAGGTGTGCGGTGAGTTCTCTGTATTTGTTGATGGTCTGTTGGTAATCTGCCACTGTCTCCTGCGCTGCCTCTACTCGTTTGTTAGCCTCTCGGACGCGAGCTCCAGCCAGGTCCAGCTGCTCCCTCAGCTCCAGCTCCGTCTCCCTCGCGTTCTCCTGCAGCTCATCATTCATCTCATTTATGGCTTCCTGTGGGTCAACAGTCCCAGGTCAGCACAGAAACAGTTTAAAAAATAAATAAATAAATAAATAAAATAAAATAAAAAAGGAATAAAAGAGGTCTAATGGGTGAAATTATTTATTATGAAACACAATCTGAGTTTTGAACCTACTGTTATAAATTTACAATTCATCATATCCACGCATCATGTTTTTTTAATTTTACATTCGTTTTTGCCACATGTTGTATGGTAAATTCCTTCTACACACAAGTATACTAGGCCAATAAACTGCATTTTTGTATATATGAAGGATTCTTCATGAATACAATTATCACTATTTTTACCACAATTATTACCATAGCTTCATTTAAAAAAAAGCGAAACTAATGGACGTACATACACTTCATTTTATAGAATGCTTGTTTCATAATGAGCATAAAAATGTTATCCACGTGTCTCTTACCAAGTCGCTGACCGTCTCTCTCAGTTCTCTCACTTTCTCTTCCAGATCCAGATTCCTCCCAGTCAGTGTTTCCACCATCTCTTCTGCTCCGAGTGCGGCATCCACCTACAGCATACCATACAGACTATTTACCAATGTTTGTAGATGTAAAGCGGTCTGGGTGATGTGGATCTTAGACTATATGTGTTTGTGGTAAACAAATTACTGTAATTTAATTGCAAGCATTAAATATATCTCAGTGATTCTAAAGATGTGTGACTGCATAATTTAAATGGAGGAAATATTAGAAAAGTTTCTCTGCCTGAGCAGGACTGTATGAACATTTCAGAAACAGTGGTGTAGCTATAGCTATGTAAACTCCATGGCAGTACGTGGTAGATTTTTTTTTTTAAGCTTTTGTTTTCTGGCAACAATCAGATTTTATGTGAGATATTAAAACTGGAACATGTGTTAACTACAGAGGCCTGCCTGACTGTGTTAAGTCTGCTACACGTCACTGTCATGATGTTAGAAAATCTCTGCTTAAGTTCCATTTAGGCCAATATGCACACTCACAGTACTGTTCTTGAGGCAGTTGACGTTACATTTTAGGAGCTGGGCTGGCATGCTCATGAGCTTTTTTCAAGTCATTTTTGTGTTTTCGTATGGATGGACAGATTTTCAAAAGATTTTTTTGTGGTGCCAGAGTCTGATTTGAATGTCTGAGTGTGTGTATTGTGGTGTAGCTGATGCATGTGTGTGTTTGTGTTGTATTCTCATACAGATCCAGACCTGCTCTTTGAGTTCATCTATGGTGGCTTCAGCCTGTTTCATCTCCTCCTGCAGTTTTTCTTTCTGCCCTCTCAGAGTCTCCAGCTCAGAGTTTTTCTTCTCCATCTGTTTCTGCAGTTTCACATGCTCCTGCTTCTCTGATGCAGACAAGTCCCGCATCCTGGAAGGACACAGCCAGTGGACAGCAGTTGGGACAATGGGGTTGGGATAATGTGTACAAAAGAGCCAACAGCTCACCTTAATGTCAACACTGGACACCAGGGCAAAATACTAGTAATAACAGTTGCAGATAAATATGTAGTTATGTGCTATGTTAACATTACAGGAAGGATCTGACAGTAATGACTTTGTTTCTAAACTCCTCTGAAACTGGACATGTATCTCCAGGAAGATCCTGACAGAAGAGAGGAAAAGGGCTCACCTGACCAGTGCCTCTTTCAGCCGGCCATTCTGTTCCTCCAACTGCTTAACATGATAACTGGAGGCTGCACCGTCTGAGCCTACAGAGAGAGAGAACATGAAAGTCAAATCTGGGACCATGTATCAATTTGTCAATCATTGTAACAGTGATAATTGCTAATAATTTGTGAACTATACTGTTCTTTTATTTTGATTTGATGAGCATTCAGCGCACCAATCAGTTATATGAAACTTAAAACAACCATACGAAATGTGAGATTCATTTCCTAAAGAATCGCAACTGAAATTAAATTCTTTGAGGTCAGAGATTTACACCCATGATAATGTTGAAGAATTCTATGTGTAGGTGTTTTCTACCTTTTTCCTCTATCTCGTGTTTGAGTATCTCAAGGTCCATGGTTAACTCCTCCACTTTCTCCTTTAAACTCTCCACCTCCTGCTGCAGAGACTCCGCCCTCTCCTCAGCCATCTCCTTATCCAGCGTGGCCATTTCAATGGCGTCCGATGTGTCTGCCATCTCCTCCATATAACGGTCCTTTGCCTCCAGAGCCTCACGCGCTTCCTACACATGCAGAAACAAAAGTACATTTTTTGTTGTCCTGAAATAAAAAAACATTATGTATATATGGACATTTCAGAGTAATCTAAAGGTTTTCTTGAGATGCAGCAACTATGATTTTTTGCTGCCTGCATGACAGACAAAAAACAGATTTACACAGTTTACCCCATACATAACATAACACATTTACAATTTGTGAAGTTTGCTTCTTCAGGTTTTAACACTAGAGCTACAATGCTAAAGTAGGTAATAAGCACGGAAACTGTACACCCTAGCAATTAGCATGGTGCTAAATACATACCTAGATCATCACACATGCCTCAAACGTGGTCCAAAATAAAAATGGACAAAAGTCTGTTTTTAGTATGAATTCTCCTTTTGTATTTGTAGTCTCACATGATCTCATAATGAAAAAGTCTGGGGATAACTATGAGAAATTCAGGGCTAAATGTAGGTGGGAAATTTTAGGGTCAGAATAAACCAAATGTGAAACTCCTCTTGAAGGTGGAGCCCAAAGCAGGGGGCGATGATGCACTCGTCAGTGCAGTGTGCTGGATAACATGCCTGTCATTAGCGCATGTATGTAAGTCGTCATGGCTGAAAATTACCCAAAAAAACTATGCGAGTTGCGTTCCATAAAATCAGACCACACTTTACATTTGCAAGGTATCAGAAATACCTGGAAAAGACATGGATTCAATTTCCGAGCAAACAACTGACAAAACTAAACTGGACATTAATTTTGAAGAATGTATGTTGGCTAATGACAGCTTTTCACTAGCTAGCTTGTTTTGCTTGCGTTACTGTTTGTACTCTTGATGTTGAAAGAGCGTGGGCTTAAAAAAAAATGTGGGCGGGGTTTAAAGGGGATGTACCCATATTAACAGCTCCTTCACAATCCAGCACCAAAGGACACGAGACTTGTCTATTAGAGATAACGACTCAATGCGGTTTGAGGCAAGTGTTTGATGATTTGGGCATGCAGACTTATTTAGTGTCTGTGTTGAGTCTGAAGTATTGCTGAGGAGGAGTTAATACATACTAATTGTGTTGATTTGTCTTATTTTGCTACTCTGTGTGCTTACTCTCTGTCTGTTAGACCCTTAACATTTAGACTCCTTAAAACTAAGAGAAAGTGTAATCCACAGCTGAAAACAAGCGCTACTATAGCCATACCCTCTCTTCCTCCTCCAGCTCTTCTCTGCATCACCTCCTTCTTTAGGTAGTGTAGGTGTAGTTTTCATTTATATAAATTTACTAAATAAAAAACACTGAATAGGGTGAATAAGATACAGTGTGCTATTGATATCTGTCTTCTGCAGCTAACGTCTGGTTCTGCTGTGCCTCACACCTTCTTAGCCTCTTTAAGCTGTTTCTGCAGCTCGTTCTGCTGCTCCTGCATCTTGCTCTTCCATTCCTGCAGTTGCTCCAGCTGGATCTTGTGTTTTTCCAGCTCCTTTAGCTTGGCCTTGTCTTCCGCTCGCTTCATCTTCAGAGTCTCCAGCTTCTCTTCCAAATCTTTCACCTGTGCCCTCAGAGCCTCCTCCTCCTGAAAGAGACAGAGAGAAAGGAGGTTCATGAATTAATCAATGCAACAGAGAGAATTAAAGAAAAGGTAAAAATTAAAGGAATTGAGTGAGAATCGTTCCCTTGGTGCAAACAAAACATATCAGCAGTTTTAAGCGTCCGTGCTGATTATCGTGTGAACCACAGGCACATTTATCACAGAGACAAAACATGCTTCTAGTTGCAAGCTATGTAAGGGAGTGAGGAGAAATCTGGAGTTACCACCACCATCATCATCATTACTCGTAATTTAGTAAATTCAGTGTCATTCCATTTTACCAAATATAATTCAATCCAAGCTGTAACGTACAGATTTACAGCCCTATTATGGCCAAACTCACCTGTCTGGACAAGCCAGGCTCAGCCTGTGGAACAGAAGGATGAGATGGATAAGGAAGGAGGGATGAGGCATGTGAAATAGGTGGGGGAATGAATTGGTGGAGTGTTAGCGCTAAAGCACTTCTTACAGGTACTTTCTGTTGGTTTTAGTTCCTGAGCCAATTTTTTACAACTGTCAACAAAAAGTGCTCTAAAATAATATATGTAATATAATATGATTCAAGCAGTCATTCTGACAGCTTGTAATACTCTGCAGGGAGCGTAGGGGGTGTTAAGGTTTCTATTGTTTAATTTTAAAAGTGCTCTATAATGTTCTATAACAGTAATATGATTTAGTCAGAGTGTAATACACTACAGGATGGGTAAAGGGCAATATGACTTCTATCGTTTCAGAGGAACTGAACGTGGCAGAATAGCCTATTAGTCAATAAACCATATAATAGTTCTTAATTAATTATGATTATATTTGAAGTCCTGAAGTTGGCCAAAAGCATATACAAAAGGAAGCTACGTTACAGTTCTACCTGATGTCAGGATTGTGAAACAGAAGAATGCAGTGAAACTGAGGTACGATTTGGTTGTTAGCTTGCTGTTTTTAGCATGTACAGTTGTCTCACCTTGCTGGAGGTGGTGAGGGTGGAGCCTCCGGGGGTTCCACCAGGTTGAGGCATCACGGGAGCTCCCAGTGCAGTCTGGGAATGCGTGGAAGGCTCATTCTCCGTCAGATCAGGTATAGAGCCAACGGCCGAGGGACGACCAGTCTATAGAGGACAGAGAGATCGAGAACGGAGACCAAATCAGTGAGAAAATACACACGCTTTAAATAGTTAATACTTTTCAATAGGAACTCATACAGTGTAGCTTGAAAGATTATAAATTAATGTTTAAAAGTTTTATCCTAAATATTTTTATTATAAGGGAAAGAACAACTATTTAATGATAGCATATAGTAATTACCTATTTATAGTACAAGTTATCTGCATATAAAATATCTTAATCTTATTACAGTTTCCCCCAAAATAGTTAAAACCTATAGAGCTGCAAAGTAATACAATCATACAGGAAAACATTCACACATTTATCTACAAAAACATGGTTTTTATATTATGGAAAACTTCTTAGGAATGATAACTTCTGAAAGCCAGCATATTTACTTTCTCCCAAGTCTCATTAATCCCCACCCCCAAGTTGAGCTGGGACCACTTCTGGACTTATTGATAACCACTGCTGACAGCCACTTATATGGATACATACATATTAATAATTGTCTTGATATTTTTTTTATTGCTTATCGTCCCAGCCCTACTTCCCAGTGTGTTATAGTCAAAAATACTTCCAATGTGACTCCCAATATTTCTATCCCTCTAACCTAAAAGGTGCAACCAAAAGCCCCGGTGCCAACCGTTCTGACTCTCTGTCAAAGTGCAGTGTAGTTGGGAGCTTTTCACAGACACCAAAAGAGCTCACTGTTACAACCTTAGAAGACCACTGTGCAGTTTAGTCATGTGAGGGCTGTACAAGGCTGATCGTGGACCAGTTCTACTTCAGGACTTGTAATAATGAAGTCAATATTGTGGTTGCTGGGTCAGCGATCAGTAACAGAAGTTTGGTGTAAGGGTGGATGACAGGCTAAAAATGCAGTATTGCTACACATGGCAACACAACATATGTGACACTCGATATATATATACCTATGTGTATTTACTTTTCTGAAGTTTGTGAGAATGTGTTCCACCAACAATGCTCCACCAACACAGAAGAGCATTATAGGCTTTGAATACTCAGGATGTTTGATACTGCAGTTTAAAATTGATCTAGTGTGCCGCAATGAAGTACTGACAGTCAGGCTGAAGCCCAGCTGCAGCAGGCTGTATCTTACTATGTTAAAATCTGCAATTGTAGCCTTATTCAAAAACAAGTTTCATGAGTTACATCACTTGCATTTATGAGCCTCTAAATGCTAAGAGTGTATTAATTAGAATTACCACTTCATTTAGCTCTAGTTTATTATAGTATTTATTTGTTTTGAGTTATTTCACCAGGCCAGTTGGCCATTTTTTTTATCACGGAAAGTAGCAATAACTCACTGGCTGTGTTGAGCTCAGTCAAGGCAGAGCTACAAAGAGTGGACCAAAAATGAGAGTTTTTGGAGCTACAGTATCATCAGAAGACGAGGAAGACCACATTAGTAGCGTCTCAGCAGGTTCCCTCTAAATTCGCACTAATGTTAGAATTACGTACCGCTATGCTTACAAATATGAGATTATCATCACACTTGTGCCAGGCTCTTAGAGCATTATCCGTACATTAACAATACCTCTTCTAAAGGCCGTTGCTGATCATTTATTTAAGACTAGAATTTTTGTGGGTTACAAAAAAGACAAAGCTTATTATTCATGCCAGCCCTAAAGCACAGAGACTTCTACTTTTATTTAACATAACAAGAAACAAATAAAAATCAGTGGTAAAAAGCAAATAAGACCATGGAATATTGGGCTAGCATGCAATCAGCACCATATTATTATACATTACTATACATATTACTAAACACACACAACTACTTGTTGCTTACAGACTTACTATTGCTCTACATCTATATTTGTGAAGCATTTAATAAGTCAGCGTTCCACTAACACTGCCGAAACCAGCCATTTGCTTAGGTAAGCAAACTGTAACATATCGTTATATCATCCACCCTTTGCATGATAGTTATTAGGGATTTTGAGTGTTTTTTCCAGCCTCTACAGGACTGCGCTGTACCACCACAGTGTTTTCACCACATTAGGGATTGGAGGGGTTTTGGAACATACCATAACGAGGGAGGGGAAGGAGGAAGAGTAAGAGAGCCGACCAGGAGTACTCCACTGTCCACGAATAAAGACCTCATTAGCTTAGCCTCAACATGTGTCCGTCTACGTACATCATATATAAACACTATCTACTCATATCCACCTGCTAATAATCCCAGCCACTGTAAATAAATAAACACCTGCTCTTGACTCACAGTACATCTCGCTTATATAGATATCAATCAAAAGAAAAAGATTTTTCAAGGATTTTACTTATTTTAAATGAATCTAATATTTACAGTTCTGTGCAAAAGCATTAGGCAGCAATGAAAGTTATTTAAAACTATGTAGTTGGACAGTTAGTCTTTTTTTGCCAGTAAAAACACTTTATAACAATAGAATAAATACAAATAAACATTAATAAGTAAAACGCAGGAGGGCTGTGCTGTTTTCAGTTATGAGGTTAGGGATTTGTTCAATTCCATCAGCAGTAATACAATAAATTGATCAGATTAACTACATTTTGGAGGGTAACTGTAAATACTGGACAATCACAACAGTATATTAAGTTGTATCTATTCAAATGTTAGCTTTTTTAATAAACGTATTTACTGCCTAATGTCTTTACAGATAATTTTCTCAGACGGTATATGACTTTTCACAGTAATATATCCACTTAATAATCTATATAACATTTCTATGTATGACTGTGTTGTAACTGTTACTGTTATAAGTGAACAGAGTGCAGACAAGACATGCATTTGTGAATTACCCTGCAAAAATGATCTCTTAGCAAGTGAAATCATCTTAAACTCAATCAATATATGTAATATTTCTCATTTTGAAACTGCTGTAAAACATTCAGAAGAATATGAATACTTCTAGACATTTTTAATGGAGCAGTTTTATTAGGTGAAACTATATTGGCAGACCATATTCCTGGTTTTAAGAAATATGCCAGAAACAAGCATAATTATCTGCCAATAAGTTAAATCATCTTATACTATTCTTACAACAATCTCAATATGAGAAATCAGATGTGATGACTAGACTTAAGATTAGATCTAAGATGATTAGCAAAGATATCTAGTTTTTTGCAGTTTACTGGGTCGTTTGTTTTGGACTGTGTTTCCCAGCATTCTCAGCTGCTGCATTTAGGCTCACCTTGGTACTACGGCGCACAGTGGACTGAAGGAGGATGGGAGGGTTGCGGAGAGAACACAAAAAGACACACAGGGAAGAGAGTTGGGGGCGGGGCAGGGAACAAGGGAAAAGACAGAAGAATAAAAGAGGGATAGAGCAAGCAAGACGGAAGGAGCAAAAGAATGAAAGAGAGAAGCAAGAAAGAGAACGTTAGATGGAGTGAGACAGAAAGAGAGCAAAAGCAGGAAACACATAAAGAAACAGAGAGAGAGAGAGAGAGAGAGAGAGAGAGAGAGAGAGAGACAAAAGCCAGGCATTTCAAAAGCAGAATAATCACAGTGACAATATTAAAGGTTAGTAGAAACAGGTTACTAAGGATGCCACAACTACAGGGAACATGATATAACTAATCAAGAGTGGATTACCATATGCTAAATGTACCGGCTTTATTACACCAATTTCTTTGAAATTCCGCATAATTATTTAAGATGTAAACAAAAGCTTAAGATGAAAACAAAGTCATTCAGAGTGGTTTGATGTAAAATGCTCCATTCCAGAGAAACTTAGTGAGTAGGGGGTCTTCAATATGGCAAAACATATCATAACATGACAAGATATCTTTTCAATGCACAAAAGACATCACAATATTTAGTTTTTCTGAGGACTGCTGAGTTGGAACAGACCAAACAGAACCATTAGTGCCACTCTGGTACAAATAATATAAAAACTATGAACACAAGTATTTTTATTCAATGTTTTATATCTCAAAATACGCAGGACTAATTATGCTCTCTTTCTAATCAAACTTTAGGGCTGAAAAAACAGCCATATGGCCATATGGACAGTTCTTACCAGCATCTACATTTAAGAGTCCTGCTGGCACTGATTCAGGTTGGGGATGTTTCTGTCGTCTTTTATTGGTCAGAAAGGGCATGCTCTTGGTTTATACAGCAACAGTGGTCCTTGTTCACGCTCTCTCTCTCTCTCTACCAATATGAGACATTAATCAGGCAGTATTCTCACAAAGTATTCTCAATGCGGTATTCATCTTATTTAGAATATCTTTTGTACAGTATCATACTACTCACTCAACTGTAACATGTAACTAAGTTGATTACGTACTGTTAATAAAACCATCTGTGTTGCTTTGAACCACTCTGTAGGTTAACCTTCTGAACAATAACTTAATATACTAAACTGGAATGAGACTCTCAGACTCTCAAAGCTCTCCACCTTCAATGTTAACTGCTTTCTGTCACTTAGTCCTTTAAATACAGGTCAGTGTGTGAGATCTTAAAGGTGCCATTAAATGGAAAACTGTATTTACGTTGGCGTGGTTGAATAAGGAGAGTTTGGTACATGGAGCTGATATATCGTGAACCTAAAACACTGTTGTCTCCTCCATTAAATACAAATCCTGCATTTGCAAAAGAGGGTGGTAAAACGGGCCAGTTCCAAAATCCTAAACCGTTATGTAACAGTCTTGACCAGCCAATGTTATAGCCTAAAACATATTTTTAATATCCAATGACACGTAAGGCAAAACAGTCCCCAAAGAACATATATTTTTTCAGATCTACCACTACTTTTGTGTTATACACATCACGAACCCTGGTTCCTATCACAACCACTGTAAAGAAATCTGAGTTGCTCTGAGTCGCTCAGCTTCTCTACAATGAAGCATTTCACATCAAACCACAGTAAATGACGGATGACGACCAGTGAACTATGCATGCTGAAAAATCAGTGGAATTTCTTTTTAATTGGTATAAATACTTTACATTTACAGTTTCAAACCCATTTCTGGCTCTGTGTATATATCTGTTTTTAATGTCTGATTCTATGTCAGCATCAACACAAACAAACAAGATCAGAACCATGCAATGAAACTCTCTGTTTATACCAGTACTAATGTAGGACACTCTTCAGCAGCTTGTTGTCATAGAAACAAGGTTTCAACAGTAAACAGGAGATAACAAAGTGAAACAACAAACGTGTTCGTGACCAAAACCATGAAAAAAATAATAAAATGTGACAAATATAAGGATCTGTGATGTGTGGAAAAGCAGGAATGTTTCAGTCACAGATACAGATGGATTTTACGAAAGAAAGGAAGAGTGAAGGTACTGAAGCCTTTTTCAAACCAAACCATTGGAAATGAGAGCAGGTGAAAGACTGACAAAAACTGAGTGACCACAAAACAATCACAGGGCTGTACCTTCTTCAACGTTGGAGTCTTTTACGTCATGTTAGCAAAAACACAAGAGTACAGAGACATACAAGAGAAGAGAGTCTTAATCAGTCTTAACTAATTGCATTTTTTTTTAGGTTTAATATGGTTATTAGGATTTTCTGCATTAAAAATACCTTGATCCTACAGAGCTCTGATTCTATTTTAAACAGGTTAGCTCAGACTGTAAAGTAAAGCCAGGCATACACTGTGCAATTTTAAAAATCTTGTTCTTTGGTGACAGTTCGCACTGCACGTTTAAATCGCCCCTCGTGTGCGGCAAAAGCCCGCGATTTATGAGCTCACACTGTACGAAAACACTCGGTCTGCCTGACACGACGCGACATGGGTGCTCACACGGCACGTGAAACGCTGTTAGACAAGCGACCAAAATTTCTGATGTGTAACTTTTTCAAATTCGGCACGGTCAGAAAATTCAGTCCGCTCTGACCAAATCGTGCCAAAAATCGGTCTAAAAATCGCACAGTGTGCGCCTGGCTTAACACATCCTTGTGCAAAATAGAGATTTTAAACAGTGTAAATGAGTCAGGATACACAACTACAGCGAAATGAAATCAGTATCGACAGATAATCACTTAAAAACTGGTTAAGCCGGTAGACCAGCACATGTTTCTGTTTGAGTCTGATGGTTTAACTGGTCAAAAACATGAATAGCATGACCAGGCTGGTCGATCCATATGAAGAGTATAACCAAACTGGTGTACCGGTATGACCAGCTTCACCAAAATGGTCGAAACAGCACGACCAGCTTCAGCAAAGTGGTTGACCAGCGAAATGTAAGATATGGAAGATATGGGCCATTTAACATATAGCAGAATCACTTAAATACGAAAATACGAGCAAAATCGGTATTAAAAGTATTATAATATTGATTCTATATTTATAACAATAAAATGTTATATTTCATGTTCCCAACAAAGATGTTGAGAAGACAGCAAATTGTACACACAATTGTCTTACATTCACATTAAAATGGCGCAAATTTTAATTTTTATTTTATGTTGACTTGAGACCTCTGTGGACACACAAATTTGATCTTTTCAATTTAGATCTGAGACACTTTTACATGTGCTCCAGGACTAGAAAAAATGAGATTTATGGCCATGCGGTCAGAATAATAAGATAGTTTTTTTTTGTTTGTTGTTATTTTTTTTTACTGTGCATGAACCATCATTCTTTGTTAATGTCACAACAGTGCCTAACTTAAATTGTCAGTAAATGCTGAAAAAGCATCTGACCTTTTTTCTCCTGTCATTGTCAAAACGGCCGCTAGCTGATCAACAGACAATCAATAAGAATGGGTGTACGATATCAGGTTGTCTCATATCTATGATAATAATTCACTAACAAACATGAAAAAGACAAACAGTGGGTGGGGAAGGAAAAAGAAAAAAGTAAGAGTGAAAAGGTGAATGTACCTGCTTTACTCCTTTTCCTGGTGTTTCTGCAATTTCTGCACATTTGAAAACAAGAAAAAAATAAATTTTAGGGTTTATGCAGATAAACACTGAAGCCCCAGGTAGAATGTATTGGGCTGCTGTTAACATATGTTAACAAAGTCACTCAGAGTGGTTTGGTGCAAAACGCTCTGTTCTAGAGAAACTTGCTGTGTCAGAACCGTTCACAGTGGTGGTGACAGGAACCAGATGTCCACCTCTAAAAGCTCCCCAACAGAAAGTTATCACATGAAATGGTCATGAAAATGCTGTTTACACGCACTTAATAATCCGATAACTGCAGAAAATCAGATTTTAGTAATCCAATCAACATGTTTACATGCTCGAGTAATCAGATTACAGGAAACTCTGGGTCTACATGAGTCAGACAGTAATCAGATTTATGCTCTGCAACCAAGCTCTCTTTATCGGATTTCTTGATTGGATTTCTAGATCGGAGTATGGTGCTTAGGTGACCATTTGAACAATCAGGTAACTGCAGAAATCCGGTTATGATCAGATTATTCATTTTATCGTTTTGATTTAGATTTTGGTCTAAAACATATTTCAAAATTCACTCATGGTGGAAGGGTACGTGCAGGTTGCTGAGGTGCAAAACAGTCCCCAGAGCAAACTTATTTATTCGGATTTACCACTATTTTACCATCACTAACATTACATATATAAACTCAGGAGACACGTGTAGTTTCACTGATAGTTTTGTACAGAAGATAAAAAGGTTGTAGACACTGTCACCCCCGATTCCTATCACCTATCACCACCACTGTAAAGAAAACTCTACAGTGAACCATTTCACATCAAACCACTCTCAGTGATTTTGTTTACATTTCAACCATTGAACTGTGCAGAAATCTTGAAAAATCAATGGAATTCCCCTAATAATTAAGGACTGTATGGCTATTTCTAAAATAATTGTCAAATAAATCTATTAACCTACCTATTCATATATGTGGGAGCTCTTTAACCCTGAAAATTCTCAGGCGTATTATCTAGAAACTTCAAAAACAATGCAAACTAGTGGACTTATTCTTATGTTACAGTAGTAAGGAACTAAAGCCTGGACCTGCTGGTAGCTCCTGAGCATTTAAAGGGTTTAAAGGGACAGAGACGGTAAAACAACCCAAATCTATCATTTATTAATATGTGGTCCTGTTTTTACTTAGTAGTAGTATTTCAATCTGCTCAGTAGTCTGTAAGGCTGAGCTGATACCTTTCCGAGGCAGTCTGGAAGCACCTGAGTCAGGTGTGTCTGGGGACGTAGCGGCACTGCCTCCTTCTTCAATCAGCTGAATCTGGAGAAACAGAAGATAAACAAGAGTCGAGGCTACATTAAAATCAAGTGTTTATGTGCATGAAAGAGAGAAAGCAAGGGACTGTGGATTATCTGAGGCTGGTAAATGTAGAAATAGAATCACAAGATATGGACGAAATACCAGTACTGTGATTGAGCGATACGCTATTAACATACTGAAAACACTGGTGACTCAATAACGTGGCGTGGTTACAGAATAGGCCTGCATTACATGCTTCCAAAAGAGTTGGGGTCAACTGTTAGCCAGTGACGATCTCTGTGATCTCCATCGTTGTAATGTGTAGCTCCTCGAAACTGAGCAAACTACATTCACGATGGTTTAATCACTGCCGTATCGTGTGCCTTTTATGTTCCTTGTCTTTCTTACTAAATGAGGTTCTTCAAGGGTTCTTTAAAAAAAAGGCAATGGTTATACAGAACTGTGACAGCTTAAAGAACCATCTGGATGCATAAGTGGTTCTTTGCACGGTTCAAGAATGGTTCTTCTTTGGTTCATTCATCACAAAATTGCCCACAGAATGCAAAGGGCAGCAAGCATTTCCATTAAAGCTTACTGCCATACAATGTCCTGAGCAATGTCCCATAAGCTAATATGTTAGCCCTGAGGTAAAACCCAGCCATGATACAATGACACAATACAATATGGTATGCTATGACACAATGCAATACAATATGAAATGCTGTCCTGTTACCGTCCTTCTATTTAAGCATCATTTTATATAACATGATTCCTGGGACTCACCTGAGACTGCCGCACAAATATCCCATGATTCTCCTTGCAGGTGAAGTATGTCTTGCCCTGCACTGTGCCGTCATTTTTGCCCTTCGGCTCGTCCAGGATGACTCCCACCCATTTTCCCGAGGCAAACAGTGTGGCCCCCACATACGCCACCGTCCCCCGCTGACCTTTACCGATCACCTCCACCAGGGAGCCCACCTTTGCCGGCTTACCAGCTCCATCCGCACTCATCTTGCTTAAAACTGCACTTGACAGCTGCATGAGAGAGAAAGTGAGAGAGAGAGAGAGAGAGAGAGAGAGAGAGAGAGAGAGAGAGAGACATGACCTGTAAGTATGGAAGCAAACTGTGATTTTTCTTAAGAAGCAGTTTACAATTAAGCCACTCACTGTGTGTATTGCGTGTATATAGGCGCACTATGGAGCTGTACTTTGTAAGGCCCCTTTTACCCTGTTGGTCAATGGTCACAACTCCCACAGGACCACCACAGAGCAGGTATTATTTAGGTGGCTAATCTGTTGCTGCACAATTTGTGGTGGTCATCCTCTAGTCCAGCATCAGTGGTCACAGGACGCTGTTGGCTGGATATTTTTGGTGGGTGGACTATTCTCAGTCCAGCAGTGACACTGAGGTGTTTAAAAATTCCAGCAGCACTGCTGTGTCTGATCCACTCGTACCAGCGCAACACACACTAACACACCACCACCCTGTCAGTGCCGAGAACGATCCACCACCCAAATAATACCTGCTCTGAGGTGGTCCTGGGCACTGAAGAACAAGCAGAAAGGGGCTAACAAAGTATCAGAGAAACAGATGGACTACAGTCTGTAACTATAGAACTACAAAGTGGTTATACGGTAAGTAGACCTGATGAAATGGATGAGCGTAGAAAGAAGGAGGCTGGTCACTTCAGACGGTTCCCAACACTTATGTGGACATGGGAACACGCAGTGATAGCTTGAGAGCTGAAGCTTAACCTTTGTGGGACACTAAAAAGAACTGTTCTGTAAAAGCTGTTGTTGTCGTATACTGTGATGAATCCAATAACATAGATGACTTTTTGTACAAGTATACTATCTGTCTGCAGCACCGAACACGTTCAACCAGCACAGCTAAACAGCTGCATTTACAAAACAAGAGTACAACAAATTTGGTATTACTGTTTATTTTTACTATATTTGTCTCATTTTTATTTTTCAAAGTTAGTGTTGCAGAGCTGAGACCTGACTTCAAAAAAAGGTCCTTTAATCTCCCCAAAACAAATCTATAATCTGGAAACCATGAAAATGTCCCACGGGTGCTTTCACAGTCTTCACTAAAGACGAATTCAAAAGATCAGAGGCTTGCATTTCAAATCTTATTTGATGCATAATTTATGGGTATTACAACAGAAATCTACAAAAACATCCATTTTTTTCCTCCACCGGCTTCTGCTCTTCTACTCTGAACAGCCTTAGAAAATGCTCAGAGCTTTCGGCTACGTCAGCGTTTGGACAGAATAAAGGAGGAAAAACCCTAAAAGAACAGTTTGGCCTTGACGCCACTTCTCTGTCAGCTGGTTCTGACGGCAATTAACTTCCAACACACAGCAGTCTCAGAACAGCACTGCTGATGAGGGTTAAATGAGAAAAAAGAAAACTATCATACAAAGCTAAAAAGCCTGTGTGGGTCACTGGGACAATAACATTAACGCACCATCCAAACTGAAGGCTATTTTGTACGGCTGCATGATATAAAATTTAATATTGTGATTATAATGTTACATACCGCAGTTTTGATACAACCTACAGTGTATTAAAACCAACTGAGTGAACCCTTGTTATCGCACGCTAAAAACTGTCCTGTTGGGTTTATTTTAGGGCTGCACAATGATATCGGAATCATATTAGTATCAGCAGATAATTGTTTTAAAACATAAACGGCAATGTACAAACGTACCAGCACTGTACAAACGTAGACTGATATTTCACACTGATATTTGTTTGTGTATTTCAGAAAAGCAGAATGTTCAGATGACGCTGGGTTACTGCACTGAAACATCTACATTTTGTATCTCTCTGCAAAACTACTATGGGCAGATGTAGTCCCAGTTTCTATATTTTATCAATGTTTATGCATCCAAATCTGCAAATCTGTACATGAAAAATGTCAGATATCGGCACACAATTCCCACATCAGTGAAATCGAAAGGCACCCAGTTTCCTGTCTTATGTCACAAGCAGCCAATAAGCCAAAACATGTTTGGCGAAAGTTTAAGTAATCTTTCTATTACGTTGGCTCCTGTGCAAAAACCTGAAAAAGCAAACTTCAGAGACCAAATATGTTTCGATCTACACATTTAGGGTAAAGGACAGGGAACTGTGCACATCTGACTATTCCTGTAAATTAACTGTCGTTACATGCATAATTATTACTATTACAATAGTAGCAGAACATGACGCTACTTTTGTAGATCACCTTGTAACTATTTTGGCGAACAGGAATGAAAAGCACTTGGAACTGAAATGAGACTGAAAAACAGCTCAAGAAAAAAAAGGAGGACCTTCAGGCTAAGGCTGTTCAGTCATACGGATGAGAAAACTGATGAGAAGTATTTTAAAACTTTACAACAGTTTGGGTGTTGATGTGAGCGAGATAGGACCAACTTCTTTCCCAATATCGCTCCACCACAGCAGCACACGCTCCGTCCCTGAGGCACAGACACAGCCTACTGAACATCACATGCCATCTCTGCATGACCAGAATGGGTGTAATTAAAACACACTGTTCTCTGCTCACATCAACAAAACCAGAAAACCTGCTGCTCAAAATTTACCATCACTAAAATACACCTCAGAAAAGAAAAAAACGCATTATAATACAAAGATTTATAGAATAGCTTGTAGATTTTTTCAGATTTTTACTGTTTTCTCATATAACACATTTATTATTGCTTCCTTTATGTATCACAGAGGTTCTACAGCAGTAGATCTAATAGCCTAGTCAGTTTCTAAAGGGATGTGAACTGAGTGTCGTGTGCTGAAACATTTGAGTTGCAGCCAAAACAACTCTTCATCCAGGTACAACAAAGCTGTAATTTCTGCATGCTGAGGGAACCTGATGGCCCGCTGTACTACTGAAGGTGAGTGAGCATTTACTTTTTCTACAGAACTGTATTTTTCAAAGCGAAAGGCAGCCAAATCTATAAGAAAATCACTGCTTGCTTCACTAAAACAGACAAAACTTTGTTTACTCTTTCAATTCAGTGTCAAAAGTCAACCTGATTGCAGAACATGCCAACGATACCATCAATATGTATCTATTTTATATTTTATAGGTGTATAATGATGGGACTTCTGGGCTGATGCTGATATTTTTGATGTACGTATATGCCGATGCAGGCATATATGCATTTACTATGTAGAAATTGACAACACCCACCCACATTCGCATTACGGAGAAATATAAAATAAAAGATAATTATTTGTGTAGGCCTATAAATCAAACTTCATTTTGAAATATCAGCAAATCTAAACATCTGTCCAGTAGTGAAAACTGTACTTTTAGAAATTATCCATCAATACGATAACAATAGCATTCTGCATCGTTAATGTTATAGAATAAGTCTTTGCACTTGTATAATAACAAAAAAGGGATCTGAACTGAATTTTACCTAATTAAACTAGGAAAATGTACTTACTCTGGGTGTACATGAACTCCTCCTGCCCATAGACATGCTGCTTTGTTTTGCTATGACACTGCTATACTGCTGATTTATAAACTGCAATAACAAAATAGCCGCTCTCCTCTTAAACAACTGCTTGGCAAAGAGGGAGGAGGACGTCTCATCTCACCACAGAGGCAATCATATTTATGACTGGTTACATCCCTCTATGTGAGTCAGTACTGTTTACATTGTATTGGGCTGGACTGCAGCTCTAACAGCGTCAGTAGAAAGCATATGCGAGTGCGCCCAGCTGGCAGCATGTAGAGTCGTACGCAAAGGTTTGAATATCCTCCATGCGTTCTTTAAATAAAAGAGTTTGTTGTGGGGAGTAAATATTTTCAAAGTCTCAAAATGTACCTTTCACGCTTTACTCCATACATTCAATGTATGGAAACTACAGAGCAAAAACAGGTTGTAAATTTGTTGCTGTTGTGTCATGAGAACCAAAACAGTGCCCAAAAACACTTTTACCACCACTGTGAAGCAGTCTGAGTCTCTGCAATGAACCATTTCACATCACACCACTCTGAATGACTCTGTTTACATGTCAACCACTGAATAATGCAGAAAGTTTGAATAATCGGCCCCCTAATAAGTCATATAGGGCCATTAAAGAGCTGTAACACTGGCTGACTAAAGCACGGTGGTCCTGTTTCCATAAACACAAATATAATGTTAGACAGGTGTGGCGCAGTGGGTAGCGCTATCGTCTCACAGCAAGAATGGCCTGGGTTCAATTCCCGGCCGGGCAACCCGGGGTCATTTCTGTGTGGAGTGTGCATGTTGTCTGCGTGGGTTTCCTCCGGGTACTCCGGTTTCCTCCCACAGTCCAAAGACATGCAGTCAGGCCAACTGGAAATGGTAAACTGCCCCTAGGTGTTAGTGTGTGTGTGAATGTGTATGTCTGTCTGCCCTGCGATGGACCGGCGACCTGTCCAGGGTGTATCCTGCCTTCCGCCCAATGACAGCTGGGATAGGCTCCAGCACCCCACCGGATAACCCAGAAGGATAAGCGGTTTAGAGGATGTATGTATAACGTTAGACATGTCTGCTGCAACCTGGTTTACTTCAGTTAAACAACCAAACAGAACAACAGTAAAGTAAAAAGACAAACATCACACCTTATTAGCCAACATTAAGGAAGGTGTTCTTGTTTTATCCCCTTTAATCTTTCGGAAATAACGTTAATGAATGAAGCTGATCTGTCCTGCAGGTTATTATTGACACGTTTAGTCACTCCATTCAGTTTAGACCTCAAACTGAGAGAGAAACTACAAAGGAGAGGCTCGGGTTGTGCTACTGGAGCCACCAGCTTGATGAATAGCGTGTTTAATGAGTTAAAAATGCCTTAAATTGCTGTCGTTTCTATACAGATTAACGTTAATAAATCCCGTTATTTATCAATTCTGTTTACAAGCGCGATTCCAAGGGAGGCTAATGCTAACACAACCCGCTAAACACAGCTGGCTTTAATGAACCCTGACTGCGTTTCTAACATTGACAGCAGCTTAAATCAGTGAGGTTTGAAGACTAAGGTTATATGAACATTTAGTCACGACTGAAGTTGGTTATATTAGTTTATAACGTTTATTCTTCATGTTAACAGCGGCTGTGCTAAGCGGCTATGCTAACGTTAGCTACTGCTGGGGAGGTGGCGTCAAACGAGCCGGCTATGCTTGGATTTCAGGATTTATTCCCAATGGACGTTGTTTTTGCCGCCTGCCGAGGATAACGCGATGTTTAATCACACTCTTACCTGTAAATGATGTTGTTAATTTGCTTTCTGTGTGAAGTTTTCGTCCCGCTTTCAGTAGAAGACAGCTAACGGCAGCAAGGCAGGACAGCAACGCAGCATCATCCGGATCAACGCTGCGCCAAACTGCGCAGAATGACACGGTTTCGGACTTTAGAGAGTGGAAAAAACCGAGTTGGCAGTTAATTTAATTAGTTTTATTCATTTTCATGGCAAATAATATATTTCTCAAACACGATGGTTAATATTTTGTAAAATGCGTTTACCAGTGAACGTACTTTGTATGCAAAGTATAGTATTGCTTACTACAATTAAATATTTTTTATAAGTCGTAAAGAGTGTTTAATGTCATATAGACCGAAGTGGTATATTTATTTCTCTACGCACGCTTATATAGAAAGTTAAAATGTAATTTGTGGTGTTTAGTCGTTCATTCAGTTCAGTCGTTGAGACATCACAGTGCCAGAGTTTTACTTATCAGTAATACGTTCTGCCTCTGTGGCATTATAGGCAGCTGGTCTCTCCAGAGCCATCTGTCAGCACCCTCTCCACCAGTATCACTGCCTGAGCCTCAGCTTGAGCCAGAGTGCTCTCACCCAAGTTCTCCCCAGGTAAGGCTATACAGATTACTCTTATCAATTCAAATGCATTTTCAAAGTTTTACTTATCAGTAATATGTTCTGCATGTTTGGTATTATAGGCAGCTGGAGAGGATGCATCTCTCCAGAGCCATTCATCGGCACCCTCTCCACCAGGGTCACTGCATGGGCCTCAGCCTGAGCCAGAGAGCTCTAGCCAGAGTGATGCTGAGCTAAACATATACAGACTCTCATCAATTCTAGCTACCTTGTCAGCAGTTTTATTTTTCAGTAAGTAGTACTGTATATTTGACATTACAGGCCACTGGAGATTTGGCATCACCTCTCCAGTCTCCACCACTGACACCCTCTCCTCTCCCGAGCCTCAAGTACACCCACCTTCCTCCACCCAGAGTGCTCCTGAGGTAATTAAATGTTGAAACTGAGAGATTTTGTTGTTTCTGAAAAATATTTGCCCATTTTGATTTTGATTCGTGTTGTTTAGTCGTTCATTCACACGTTACAGGGCACTGATGCCGCTGAAATGACCGAAGCGCTGCTGGAAGGTTGTGTTATTTTGTTTGAAATGCTGCCATCTAGTGTTCATCTATAGATTGTGTAGTGATTCATATAAAATGTTCTTATTCCAGGTTTAATTCTAAATGCCATACACAGTAAACAGACAGGACAGTGCAGCACCGACACAGCACTCATTTCTGGATATAAGGTAGTGGAATAAGGTGCTGGTTGTAGCAGTCGTGATTTTTGAGTTTTGGTCGGGTTACACAACAGATAGTAAAACAAAAAGAGCAAAAAAAAGCACCGTTTTGTTGTTCCCAGCGCTGCGCCGCCAGAACCGGAATGGCTCTGCTGGTTATGTTTATTTCTAAAGATATTCTTTATATCCCAAAGATATCCCAGATGTCCTCACGCATGAATTTGTTTTGTTCCCACAGTAACTACTTTGCATTGCGCCAGGCTTTCACTGTAAGTCTAACAGATGAAACTCCATTCTCAGTTCTCAGTAACCCTGTATTTACACACCAGTGCCTGTCCAGTTGTTCTTTTCTGACAACCATTTTCTTGGTTTCATTCTGTAGATTGTTCTGAGCAACAGCCATCACGCGAAATATGCCGTCATAGCAGGCAGGGCCCTCCTTGGTGGACTGGCTGACCAAAATGCTAGGGTAACACAGCATGTTTGTCTAATCTGAGCTGTGTAATCTTAATGATCTCATGAATAAACAACAAATGTACTTCTTCCTTCTGCAGGATCTTGAGGTGTTCCATGAGGCATATGGTCACCTGGTAGTCTTTGCTGTGGATGTTTCACATCGTGAAGCTATTTGCTCTGAGCTGGCGCAGATTGGGGTGAGTTCATGCTCTCTTGGCCTTAGTCCACAACATGGACACTGTTTTACTACAGTGAGTCAGGCTGTGACACTAACGTTTCTTATCCTCTTAGATCCAGCACTTCATCTTCATGGACGTTGTCTATGAGTTGGTGCTGATGGGAGTGCTGCAGGGAGCGAGGCCTCTGATCTGTCCAGTAAGAGACTCCACTCTTTCTTAGAATCGAGTGTGACTTTGTTTCCTGTATTAGATGTGATGAAGCATCTCAGAGCTGTAATGACTGGCTCTCTATATACAACCCTATTTCCAAAAAAGTTGGGACGCTGTGAGAAATGTAAGTAAAAACAAAATGCAAAGATGTGCAAATCATTTAAACCCTATACATCATTGAACATGCTTCAAAGACAACATATCAAATGTTGAAACTGAGAAATGTTACCGTTTTTGTTAATAATATATGGCCATTTTGATTTTGATGCCAGCAACACATTCCAAAAAAAGTTGGGACAGGGGCAACAAAAGGCTGGTAAAGTTGTGTAATGCTAAAAATAACACCTGGTGGTTAATTGGTAACAGGTCAGTAACATGATTGGGTATAAAAGAGCATCTCAGAGAGGCTGAGTCTTTCAGAAGTAAAGATGAGGAGGGGTTCACCACTCTGTGAAAGGCTGCACAATCAAATAGTGCAACGATTCAAGAATAACGTTTCTCAACATAAAATAGCAGCAAACTTTTGCTTTTCATCATCTACGGTACATATCATTACAAGATTCAGAGAATCTGGAGAAATCTCTGTATGCAAGAGACAAGGCTGAAAACCAGTATATGCTGGCCGTGATCTATGGGCCCTCAGGCAGCACTGCATTAAAAACAGACATGATTCTCTAGTGGAAAACACTGCATGGGCTCAGAAACACTTCTGTAAAACAACTATGAAAACAACTTAAACACAAATAAGAAAGCATACGTAAACAGGATTAGTGCGCATGGCATGGGTGACTGGCACATCTGTGAAGGCGCCATTAATGCTGAACAATATATAAATGCTTTGGCAACATATGCTGCCATCTAGACGACACCTTTTTCAGTAAAGGACTTGCTTATTTCAGCAAGACAATGTCAAACCACATTCTGCATGTATTACAGCAGCATTGCTCCATATTAAAAGAGTTTGGGTGCTAAACTGGCCTGCCTGCAGTCCAGACGTGTCACCACTGATAACATTTGGCACATTATAAAATGAAAAATACAACAGAGGAGACCCCGAACTGTTGAGCAGCTAAAATTCTATGTTAAGCAAGAACGGGAAAACATTTCCCTTTCCAAACTACAGGAATTGGTCTCCTCAGTTCCCAAACACTTATAGAGTGTTGTTAAAAGAAGAGGTGATGAAACACAGTGGTAAACATGTCCCCTTCCTAATTTTATTGGAAGATGTAGTTTCAAATTCAAAATGGGCATGTATTTTTCAAAAAACAATACAATTTCTCAGTTTCAAAATTTGATTTGTTGTCTTTGTACTATTTTCAATTAAATATAGAGTTTAAATGATTTGCACATCATCGAATTTTGTTTTTATTTACATTTTGCACAGCTTTTTCCTAACTTTTTTTGGGGAAGGGGTTGTAGAGATAGTCATGTTCAGTAGAATGTGAAATGTAGCACTTGATCCTGGATAAAGACTCTTTTTTCTGACTCTTTTATTATACACTTATGAACCCAAAATGACTACAAATTACCTACTCATATTTTCGTTCCCTGTTCTAGACACCAGGGGGTTCCTTGGGTACCTGATGGAGATGATTTTTGTCTTTCAGTCCTGTCAGACCCAGGGCTGAACAGTACTTGTTCCTGCTCCAGGTAAGTAGCACATCAACAGCATTAATAGCACAAGTAAACATGAGTAGAATTATTTTCTGACTGTTTTAATGGACACTATGGGAATTAACATAACATAATAACATAACACTTGTTGTCTCTCTCAGGATGAGGCAATGCTCCCGTTGAAGGACATCTTTCGTGAGAAGGAACATGTTTATATGGACTCTGGATCCCTGGCCCTCGCTCTGTGGGACTGTCTGGAGAAACGTGTCCATTGGCTGTCGGCATTTAACATCTATGCCTTCCTTCACAAACACCATTTTTAGTTTAAATTTTATATTTTCATCAGTGTAATATTTGTAAATTTCTGTGTAATATTAAGTACACTATATACTGAGTTGCCAGCTACTCGGTTCATCTACCTTAATAATTATCTGTAGCCAATCAGATGAGGGTAGAATTAAGGGGAGATGTCAGCAGCACAAGGGAAAGAAGAAAAAGATACAGAAAACAGCTTCAGCTGACTATGAGGAAGAAGATTTCCAACCATGTAAGAGAATCCATATGACACCTTCTAGTTCTCTGGCTGCAAATGACATCGGAGAATGCTCTTCATCTGATAAGCGTCATGACTGTCAGATCAGAACTAAGGAAAAAAGAAAATGCAGCAGGCCGTACAACAAAAACCTCTACTGTGGGAAAGCCTTTCAGCAAAATGGCACACCAATAGGAATCAAAACACAAAGATAAACCAGAGGTGGAAAGAGCAATTACATTTCCAAAGGGGTCTAAAGAGCAAAGAATACAGTTCAGTTTATAGAGAAATAGAGGAAACAGAGTCCATAATAATCAGGTGTTTAAAGAAAGAAAAAGAACGGTGATACTCTGTTAACAGTCCAGTGTAACTGTAAAATTACAAGCACTATGTTAACTGTGAGGTTTACCTCAAAAGGAGATCACTACGGAGGCACATAGTGAAAAGCCAGGAAAAGCTAGAGTCCAGGCCCTTTGTGCATATGCTCAGCCAGTTCCAGACAATGCAAATGCACAATTTTGGAAACCCTTGCTTGATATGCATGAAAATGAGGTAACAAATGTTGTCAGCAAAGAGAAAAGCATACTGAAATGAGGGGAACACCTCTACAATAAGCATAGGCCTGACAGAAGACGAGTCACATAGGGTGACTGGTTCTCCAAGGAAAGAAAAATGGCAAGTTGGAGATGGTCTCAGATTTCTGTGTACCCTTTAACTTCCCTCATGGTATAGAAGCAGTTAAGAATGTGGCTGGACTGAATGAGGAAAGAAACGCATACAAAACACCATCTTTGGCATTGAAGTTGGGCCACCACCTCAAGAAAAATACAAATGTGTGAGTGACTTCCTGATTCACAGAGCAGAAGTATCCAAGATGTCCCTTAATATGGTCACATTAGGAGATACCTTGATGACTCATCCAGTATACCAGCAAGCTTTATTTGACTTTAAGAAGAAGCTTTGTGAAAGGCAAATGTGGACGAAAGGTCCCCGTTGTCTTCACATATGCTGGCATTGATGGAGTTATTTGTCAAGACTCACTGGAATGATATGCCTGATGAGAATCAGGAAATGTCTGGGAGACCACAAGCTCTCAGTCACTCCAGAAGATCAGATGTTATTCGTCAGATTCCTCGAAGCTGTGGGGCAAACCACTTAGAACTTTATCCTCCACTAAACTGAGACAGCACATGACCACTATGTCCAACTTAAAGGACAATGAAATGGATGACCTTGCTGACTTCCTTGGCCATGACATCAGAGTGCATCGCTAGTATTATAGGCTGCCTGAAGGCGGATAGGTAAGTAAAGATAAGTAAAGTTCTTATGGCCCTGGAACAAGGACAGCTGTCTGAATGTAAGGAAGGAATCCTGAGATCAACGCATGGTAAAATAGACCTCTGTAAATAACTAAATTTATTAACACACAGGCATTTCCCTCCATAGTGTTGTGACTTCATAAGACTTAGAGTTTAAAAAGAAGTTGTACATAAAAAAGGCCAATGCCAACCCAATCCCCAGACCAAAATACCATGAACCCAATTAAGATGGTGAAATAACATCATTTCTTTTTGTTAGTCAGACTTGAACTGCCTTTCTTTAAATGCAACATAGTAAGATACAGCAGGAAAGAGGAAAAGTTGTTAGCCGACTACGGTTAAGCTGCAATATAGTAAGATATAATAAGAGGAGAAAAAAAATAGCTTCAGATAAGAGCTACTGCCCAAAACCAACCAGAAACAAAATCAAGCTAACTTACCTACGATAAAAGGAAAATACAATCACTACCGTCTCCCTGAACCAAACCAGGAGAAAACAGCAGCAAACAAAACAGGGCACTGGCCCCCTACTTTCAAGTACGAGAGAGACGATACGTAAGACATGCTAGACCAAAGTTCCCAGTTTGATCTGAAATAAATGTTTTCCTTAAACCTATATGTGCCACAATTATTGTCACCCCTATGAATTTTTAAGAGTGAAATCTTACTGAAGTATATTACATTCCCATTCATATTATATGTTCACCTGAGAAATTAGAGACACTTAAATGCTCAGCCATGATTTCCTGTTTCACTGGGGAATATATATGAGATGAAACACAGGCCAAATTCCCTCAGCCATCCATCGTCCATAAAGCATTGATGTGCAACAAAAGGATGTTGAGCTGCACAAATCAGGAAATGGCTACAAGAAAACAACTAAACAGTTGAAAGTGCCCATTTCCACTATCAGAGCAATAATTAAGAAGTTTAAAACACCTGGAGATATTAAGAATCTGCAGGAAAGAGGATGTAATACTACACAGTGTGGAGGATGTTTTGAGTGGACAAAGAATCTTGAAAGATCACAAATGGGGAATTGCAGGTATTAGTTAGGTCTTATACACTACATATATAACCACAAGTTGTTTAAGGGGGTTGCCAGAACAAACTCAAGCTCCTATAGTTCACCAAACGTTACTGGAACTTTCAGTGGGACCATGTTCTGTGGTCAAATAAGACCAAAATAGAGGTTTTTGACAACAAAAAGTTTGGTGTGCACATAATGACAGTCATGCAGAAGAATACTCCATCCCCACTGTGAAGATGGTTCACTGACCGCAGAATTAATGTTTTAATTAATGGTTTTTTTTTTTAATAAGGTACACTTGGTATATATTTAAGTCAGGTTTATATGTCATTTTAACCGCTCTTCTGTGCTGCCAAATTGAACTCTAAAAATACATTTACACTGTGCTTAAAGTATGTTTGTAATACAAACTGTGAGCAGAATTAGTATATCAAAATATATAGTCTCAATATATAATCAGTAAATTTACAAATGCAATCATGTATATTTGCAGTCCTTCAAAAATAAAGAATCCTTCTTGTGCTCTTGCAATGGTGGATCAGTATTGCATGTACTAATGCATGTACTTTTTTCTAAAGTGTACTCAGATACATGCTTAGCATTCTGTGTCATATACCTCTACCTGCAATGTAGATGGTTCTGCCACTTGGGAGCACAAAACCGGGTTGAAAAATATGCATCCAGGGGTCCCATTGATTAACATCAGATGCCATTGTTTGCAAAAATATGTGAACCTCTGCTTTCAGCAACTGGTGTGACCTCCTTGATCAGCAATGACTTTGACCAAACAGTTCCATTAACTGTTGATCAGCCCTGCATATTGACTTGGAGATATTTTGGCCCTTTTTCTCCAAACAGAACTACTTCAGCTGTGTTATGTTGGTGGGCTTCCTTGCATGACCACCACCCAACATTTGGATGAAGTCCGGGCTTTGACTAAGATATTCATTTCCTCCGCTTTAACCTTTCTTTGTAGACTAACTGGTGTTTTTAGGGTTGTTGTTTTTCTGCAGAACACATGTTGTGCTGAGGTTCAGTTCACGGATGGGTGCCTTAACATTCTCTTTTGTAGAATTTCTTGATACGATCCAGAATTCATAGCTCCATCGAATGATGGCAAGCTGTTCTGGTCCAATAGCATCAAAAACAGCCCTATATTGTGATACTGCCACCACCGTGTTTCAAAGTTAACATGAGGTTCTTATGCATTTCAGCCATAATAATCCATTTTGCCTTCTATGTCAACTCTACATTATTACAGTAGTCTTCTGACTCATCCAGGTGGTCTTCAGGAAACTTTTAACAGGCAGAAATTCACAAAATGGTAGGGTTCACCAACCTTTATGCAGCACTGTGCAAATAAAAATGATTAGTAAAAGAAGAGACTGCCAAACACAAAGTAGAACAGCAAACATGAGCATGGTAAAAGTTAAATAGATTTTATTTACATCACATTTGTAGTACAAGTAATTTACAACTTGTAAATTAAAAAAATGCTCATTTACATAGGACCTCATTCACTATTCTTAAAACCCACGCATGTAATTTTCATTAAGAATCAGAATCTAAAGGTGCAAAGAATTCTGTGGTTTAAGAACACATCATGAATCTGACAGACTTTAGGACCTTTCTCAAGAACAAATTTATAAAAGAAAAATTAGGCCCCACTGGGCCTAATTCACTGACTGCTCTTAAGAAGAAACTTCATCTTAATGTCTTCTTATTTGGGATATTAGAGATATTGGAGAATGCAGCCCAGTTTGGTACAACTAAGCCCAGACTGGTTTCCCAAAAGCATCTTAGCATAAAGACTTAGAGTGAGCTTCACACTAAACATTATACCAGTTATGAGGATCGTAACTTGCTTTTTGGAAACTGGGTGCCAGTCATGTGGAGGCTGTACTTTTGCTTGATCAGCTCTCACTGTGAGTAGTTTATATGCTTCAAAATGGTGCTGTATTACAGCTGCTAAGGGAGTGATTCAAATAATACTGTACTTCACCCATCCAGCCAACATGTTAATATTTTACAGCTAATAATACTATTACAAATAAAATCAACTTACAGTATAAGAGTACTTCAATAATAACACCAAAACAGTCATTGTTCATGACACCAAATTGTCACTGTCAGATTTATCCAATCCAAAACATGTTTGGGAGGGTTTTATCATGCTTAAAATTAGGGATGCATCAATACCATTTTTTTCAGACTGAAGAGGAGTACATATTTTTAGTACTTGCCCATACCGAGCCGATACCATACTGAATAGCCTACTTAGAAATAAGTAGCGGTTACTGTGGATGACTGCAATGTACTTCAACAGTTTAGTTATTAAAATCCAGCTCATTTTAAATGAAATGCAGACATTTTCAAATAAAGCCTTTTCATTTACAACAACGTACCACGCACCAAGTCTGAGTCAGTAAGACCTATCTGCGTGAACAGAGCCCCCTTCACCACGTTTGTTCATTAGCGCAGCACTGCATACTCGGCTTCCGTCAGACGATATCAGCAGGTATCGGAAAGTTGCTACCAGTGAACGTTTGAGTGAGTGAGCACGATATTGGCCCAATACCAGTATTGATGCATCCCTACTTAAAATTATTGATGGCCCACACTTGGTGAGTATTTTCCACCTTGCTGGCTGATCTGCTACTGTGGGGTTTAGGAGGTTGAAGTACGGTCTAGATGTTTGACTCCTTCTATCCTTGTCCAGCTTTCCTTCTTGTATGAAAACACTGGTGTCTTTTTTGAACAAACCACTGTGTGGAAAAACACACTCTTCCCACATTCTGATCACTGATGCGGTTTCTTTCCTACGTGAATGTGCTGGTGTTTCTGGAGGCTACTCAGCTGAATGAAACCCATTCCACACTCTGAACAGTAATAAGGCTTTAACCCTGTGTGAATGCGCTGGTGTCCTTGGAGAACTGTCTTTTGATTGAAGCTCTTTCCACACTCTGAGCACTGGTAGGGTTTCTCTCCTGTGTGAATACGCTGGTGTCTTTTGAGGTCACCATTTGTGTTGAAACTCTTTCCACACTCTGAGCACTGATAGGGCTTCTCTCCCGTGTGAACACGCTGGTGTCTTCTGAGATCACTTTTCACAGTAAAACTCTTTCCACACTCTGGACACTGATGAGGTCTCTCTCCTGTGTGGATGCGCTGGTGTGCCTGGAAACTACTCTGCGCAGTAAAGCATTTCCCACACTCTAAGCACCGGTACGGCTTCTCTGCTGTGTGAATGCGCTGGTGCACCTGGAGATGACCCCTTCGATTGAAATTCATTCCACAAACTGTACAGTGATACGGTTTCTCTCCCGAGTGGATGCGCTGGTGAACCTGCAGATGACTCTTTTGATTAAAATTTATTCCACACTCTGAACAGTGATACGGTTTCACTCCCGTGTGAATGCGCTGGTGCACTCTGAGATTACTCTGTAGAGTAAAACATTTTCCACACTCTGAGCAGTGATACGGTTTCTCTCCTGTGTGAATGCGCTGGTGTCTTTGGAGATGACATCTGTCAGTAAAACTCTTTCCACACTCTGAGCAGTGGTGAGTTCTTTTTTTGCTGGAATTTTTCGGCATTTTTCTGTATGTGTTGGTGTGGAGAGAGTCAGATGGCGCTTGCTGAGTAGGAGGGCTGCTTCTGGATACCATAGGCTCACATAAAATCTCCCTCAATTTTAGAAGTGTTTCTCTAGCATCTCCTGAAAAAAAACAGAAAAAAAGAAGGAACATTTAATATTAATGGAACAAAACTTCGACAAACACAAGTTGGTCAGGGATTAAAGTAGTCAAGTGGGGAAAAGTCTGTATCAGATGCAGGCAGTTTTATAAAAGATGACTTCTAATCATTGAAAGTACACAATATGGACAAAAGTGTTGGGACACCTACACATTACACCTACAGGAGCTTTATGAAATCCCATTCTAAATCTATAGGCATTAATATGGAGTTGGTCCCCCTTCTGCACCTTTAACAGCTTCCACTCTTCTGTCATGCTTCCTACAAGATGTTGGAGTGTGTCTGTGGGAAATTTTGCCCATTCATCCAGAAGAGCATTTGTGAGGTCAGACACTGATGTTGGACAAGAGGGCCTGGCTCACAGTCTCTGTTCTAGATCATACCAAAGGCGTGATGGCTATATTTATGTTGCAGACATTCATCTACAATGAACCATTTCACATCAAACCACCCTGAATGACTCTTTCTACATCTCAAAGAGTGGTGTTTAAATTTTGAAAATTGGTGGAATTACCCTTTAATGTAAAGGGGAAAGAAAACAGTAGCGATTTACCACTACAGGCACAAGTGTACCTGCACTATATACAAACAATTAATCAAAAATAATTAATGAAGCACTTCAAAATAAACCCAAAGCTCTTGTAGCTGTGCAGTAACAGCTGCAGTGTTAGGCGGCTCAACACTGGCGTCCCAAACTCACTCAACAGGACCAGATCATCACTATAAACACAGCTCAGTCTGTAATATGTACACAGTCATTTAAACCCAGTTCAGCCTCGACTTGGTAACAGACTTTAAAAGAACATCACTGAGCTCAGACCTGCCTGGTAGCTGACACACCTTATACAGCTCAGTTTAAACAGCCCTGCAGTTACGTTCGCTCCAGCGGCTCAGCTCTCCTCTCCGACAGTCACACTATCCTCCTTTTAGAGCTCAGCTTGAGAAAAAAGAGAAAACTGTCAAATACAACTTCTACAGTGAGACACCAACGAGACCAACCGACACTTCAACAACATATCATAGACTATGCGTCTCCATAATGGCTGCGTAGAGCCGCTGCGTTCAAATTAAAAGTCCCCACCTAAGCTCTTCATCCCTGCCGGCTACAACACGGAAAAAAAATAAATAAATAAATATATATATATATATATATATATATATATTATACACACACACACTTATACTATATATGTATATATATATATATATATATATATATATATATATATATATATATATATTATTTCTTAGTACGTGCATGCACCATTTCCTAACTAGATGTGACAACTTGCATTTATCTTCAACACCTAAATGCAGCCACAGCATCATGTACACACACACACACACACACACACACACACACACAAATTCTGTCCCTTTTTCTTTCTATTTCATGCTAATTTCTGAATCAGTAATACACGTTAAAGAATAGGATATTTAGAATTTGTGTGTGTATACAGGCCACAATAACATACTGATTACAGTTTCTTTGTGTGTGTTTCTATACATAACAGCAAATTCATCCAATTTCTTAACAAAAATTGAAGAGAACGGAATGAGCCCAAATCCAGTGGACATCCACCCAAATTACCCACACAAACAGCAAGACTCTTGCAACTTTCAGGTCTTTGTGATAGAGGTGATCTAATAACGTATGTAGTCAATAATATATACGCTGTAAAAATGGCTCATCATTTTAACGTAAAAAAAGTCAATTATCCCAGCGGTCGCTATTTTTTTCAGTGTATGTTAAATTATTGTCCATTTATCGTTGCAAAGACAAAATCACTTGCTAACCCAAAAAGTCTCTCCTCAGAAGGCAAAACAACTGATGAGCAGTTTTCCTAGAGCACCTAGTTACATCACTTTCAGGGAAGCAGAAAGACCACAGCAGCAGAAACTCTTTGGTTCAGGTAATTCAGGTAAAACTTCCTTTCATAATAATGGGTACATGCGCATCTGTGACCCATTGCTTAAGCCTTATATTCACTCCATTTTATGACCTTAAATGCAGCATTTTTCAGAGATGTCCATAACTCTGTCAACGATTTTATGTAAGCATTTTACAGTTCACCTTTAAAGACACAGTGCTCAAAACTAATTAACTGCACTACACTGTACAGACAAAGCTACATCAGTTCATTCTAAAAGTGACATTGATTTATGAAGTAAGAAGTACAATTAACCCACATAAATATTGTAAATGGTACCTATTTGTATTTTTTTTATCACATTATTGTTATTATAACTAACATTTGTACATATGTTTTATAGTCATGTTCGATATTCGACCACTCAAAGCCATAAATCTCTGGATCTTACATACTTCACATGAATAATGCTAAATAAAAGCTTACAACAGGGCAGCACTGGTATGTGGTGGCTTTTAGTGTTTAACGTTACACAGGACTCCATGTGGGACCATTTGCTTGCTTCTATACTACACTGTAATGGCAGTCGTTGTGGAAAAATAGTGACATTTAAAAGGAAGAAGTTAATACAGAAAAAGATTAGAAACAAAAGACAAACCAAAACAATGTATTACATGAAAGAATGTTAAAAATGCATTCAAGGAAAATATTATCCACATTAAAATGACAGCACACATATATGAATGGTCTGCAATAATCCATGATGCGTGCAAGAATGACTGCTATAACTTCCAGTATTGGTAACACATATGTATTTATTTATTTAAACACCTAGAAGTTGGAGTCCGTCTCACGGATGCTTGCATTTTTTCTGGGCATGCTATGTTGGCCTGACTTCTGGCACGATGACACTTTTACTACATTATCACTTTGAGATTTGGCCCTTGTAAACATAGCCTGCTATGCTTCAAGGCCCTTCTTCATGCATATTTGTCACGGTGTTTTGTCTCATAATGGCACCTAATGTTGTGTCCTTTCATTACGGCCACATTATCTCCACAAACAGGGCAGACAGGTTTATCATTATTGGAAGTAGAAAAGTATTCAAGCTCCCACCTGTCTTGAAACGCAGTGTCCTGTGTTCACTGTCTACCTTTTTTTTGGTCATTTTTTAGCTAGCCAAGTATTTTTTAGCACATTACTTTGCAGTGTGTGCTGGGGATTGTAGTGCAGCGCATTGGCAAATAGGCTTATATTGTTCGAAAACTAATATAATTTGTGGGCCTTGTGTTTGCCTTATGGGGCCTAGAAGGTAACTGGCACATGTGCAGCCCACTCAAAAACTAGCCTGAAAGTGGGGCTAACCAAAGGCTCGAGAAAGGCTCTTTTTTTCTTTAAATACTTTAAATACACTGTTGTCACAAGTGACTCGGGAGCAAGACTTAAAAGGATCAGGATCAAACTCTGAGAGACTTGAGAGCAACTACCCAAATACCAGCTTCACCCAGCGGTGCACGGACATGGCATGCAAACTCATGTCCGAGCACAGAACAAAGAGCCACTCTTAAGTAGAGCCAAACACAGGTGTGACTGGTTGTGTCTAATTACCTAGAGGTGCCTCTCTGCTGTCATCTAGTCGTGGCATTGGGTCTGACCCCAGGATGGGTGATGGGGCCCCTGCCAGTGGCAGACTGAGACTGTCACAATTATTACTTTCAAATAGTAAGATGCAATGTTTAGTGTTTAGATGAGAAGAAAGACTCATTTATATAGAGTCTATCTCCCTATAGAACTAATGAGCAGTATTAGTACATCTTTACAGATCGTGATAAAATGTCTAAATTCTATTATGTGCCTCAGGTTGTTTCTTTAAATGGGATGTTTACACAGATGAAGAGTGCATTTTAACACATTCTCTGGGGATAACTGTTTTTTAATAGTGTATTTAAATCCTTACATTTTATGTAATTAACCCTAGTTTTTTGGTTGAAATAATTTGTAATTTTTTTGAATAAGCTACTCAAGTGGTTGATCTAGGACCTTAGTTGAACTCAGCTAGCACTAACCAAAAGATTTGATCTGTATATTATGATAGTTTAACCTTAAAATTTGTTGCACATTATCAGAATTTTCACAGATTAATATCACGAAGCTAATTAGCTAACTGAACCACAATACTAGCGCTGTTCACTGCATACTGTATTATTTGGGTTCTTGGGCAGCTTCTATGAGCAGAATTAGTCCTCATATAAAGTAACACAGAACACAGCCCATTCAAATCATCACAAAGATCTTACAAAACGTAGTTGCTGACCAATTTACGTTTTTTCGTGTTGTAGCCGGCAGGGTTGAAGAGCTTAGGTGGGGACTTTTAATTTGAACGCAGCGGCTCTACGCAGCCATTATGGAGACGCATAGTCCATGATATGTTGTTGAAGTGTCGGTTGGTCTCGTTGGTGTCTCACTGTAGAAGTTGTATTTTACAGTTTTCTCTTTTTTCTCAAGCTGAGCTCTAAAAGGAGGATAGTGTGACTGTCGGAGAGGAGAGCTGAGCCGCTGGAGCGAACGTAACTGCAGGGCTGTTTAAACTGAGCTGTATAAGGTGTGTCAGCTACCAGGCAGGTCTGAGCTCAGTGATGTTATTTTAAAGTCTGTTACCAAGTCGAGGCTGAACTGGGTTTAAATGACTGTGTACATATTACAGACTGAGCTGTGTTTATAGTGATGATCTGGTCCTGTTGAGTGAGTTTGGGATGCCAGTGTTGAGCCGCCTAACACTGCAGCTGTTACTGCACAGCTACAAGAGCTTTGGGTTTATTTTGAAGTGCTTCATTAATTATTTTTGATTAATTGTACATACATACATAATTATATATACATAATTCATACATACATACGTACACGTGTACGTTCAACATATAAACTGTACTGATAAGCTAGCCTTATTTAACATTCTGTTTTCTCTTTTACAGGTACCTGCGGCCTGGATCCCAACTCACCTGGATACCCCCTGGACCTCTGGTAAATAGTAAATAGTAAAAAGTTCAGATTTATTCCATTAAATGTCCGCCATAATAAAAGTCACCTTAATGTCCATGGAGACAAGAGCTGGACTACAGTTCTGGTGATGTGTTAGTATACCCTAACATCATAACATGTTAATAATGGTAAAATAGTGATGAATCTGAAAAAGTAAGTTTTCTTTGTGGACTGTTTTACTTTATAACACCCTGCATGTGCCCCTCCACGTTGGTTAGACTAAAATAAATGGATAAAAGTACATTTTAAGCCAAAAGTTATCAGGCAGCCTATATCTAACCATATCATGTAATAACTATATACTAACTAATACGGTACCGGCAGGTTTGGCTGCTTCAGCATAAGCTTTTCTAGTACATCTTATATATTAGAAGTCATCATTTGCAAAATTGTCAGCATCTGATACAGATGTTTTCCACTTTTCCGACCAACCTGCGTTTGTGAAACTTTTGTTGAATTTAACATTTAAAAGCTCTTTTTCTTTCCTTTTTTTTAGGGATAGAGAAGTACTTCTAAAATTGGGAGAGATTTAATGTGAAAATAGTATCGAGAAGAAGCTCTGGTGCTCAGCAAACGCCATCTGATCCTCTCCAGACTAACATCTCACAGGAAAAATGCAGAAAAATTCCAGCAAAGAGAGGAATCACCACTGCTCGGAGTGTGGAAAGAGTTTTATCGACAGAAGTCATCTCCAAAGACACCAGCGCGTTCACACAGGAGAGAAGCCGTATCACTGCTTAGAGTGTGGGAGGAGTTTTACTGCGCAGAGTAATCTCCAAAGACACCAGCGCATTCACACGGGGGAGAAACCGTATCAGTGTTTAGAGTGCGGGAAGTTTTTTACTCTACAGAGTCATCTCCAAAGACACTTGCACATCCATACAGGAGAGAAGCCGTTTCAATGCTTAGAATGTGGGAAATGCTTTACTATACAGAGTCATCTTCAAAGACACCAACACATTCATACAGGAGAGAAACCGTATCAGTGTTTGGTGTGTGGCAAAAGTTTTACTGTGCCGAGTCATCTCAAAAGACACCAGCACGTTCACACAGGAGAGAAGCCGTATCAGTGCTTAGAGTGTGGGAAATGCTTTACTGTACAAAGTAATCTCCAAACACACCAGCGCATCCACACGGGAGTGAAACCATATAACTGTTCAGAGTGCGGAAGAAATTTTAATCAGAAGTGTCATCTCCAAGTGCACCAGCGCATCCACACGGGACAGAAGCCGTATCAGTGCTTAGTGTGTGGGAAATGTTTTACTGCACAGAGTAGTTTCCAAGTGCACCAGCGCATTCACACAGGAGAGAGACCCTACCAATGTTCAGAGTGTGGAAAGAGCTTCACTGCACAGACTTATCTCCAAACACACCAGCGCATTCACACAGGAGAGAAGCCGTATTACTGTTCAGAGTGTGGGAGGAGTTTTAATCAGAAAAGTGTTCTCCAAGGGCACCAGCGCATTCACACAGGGGAAAAACCTTATTACTGTTCAGACTGTGGAACGAGTTTCACTCTGCAGAGCAGTCTCCAAAAACACGAGCGCGTTCACACAGGAGAGAAACCGTATCAGTGCTCTGAGTGTGGGAAGAGCTTTTCACACAGTGGTTCCCTCAAAAAACACCAGCGTGTTCACACAGGTAAAAAAACTGAAGAGGCATAGACAGAGTCAAACAGCAGTAGAGGTTAATGGCATTGTTTTCGTGTGGACCATCAATAATTTGAAAGATTTTAAAACCCTGCCAACCATGTTCTGTTTTGGATACATCTGACAATGACAATTCAGTGTCAGGGACTGAAATATTCTTATATTCCAAGTTGTTGATTGATTTGTAAGAGTATTACTTGATGTAAAATATTAAAATGATGTTGGCTGGGTGGGTAAAATATGGTATTATTATAATCACCCTCTTAGCAGCTGTAATACAGCACTGTTTAGAAGCATATAAACTGCTCACAGGGAGAGCAGGTCAAGCAAAAATACAGTGTCCACAACAGGGGCCCAGTTTCCCAAAAACATCTTTTTATCATTTAAGAAACATCTTTGTGTTTAGATGCTTTTGGGAAACCAAGCTGGGCTTGGTTTCAACATATTGTTACTGAGCCACCCAACGTAAACAAGACTTTTTATTCACAAGCTCAGCAAAAACTATACAAAAGATGTCATGTTAATAAAATCTGTTTGAATTTTATCACGTTATGTTTGCTTTTCTACCTGGTGTTTGACAATTTTTTACTACGCATATTTATTTAATGCATGTATTTTATTTATTTATTTTTTTTACTTATTCTTTTGGTTTGGGGATGAATTTAGTGATTCTGGGGCTCTAGGGAAAATACAGGTATGAAAACCCCTGGATGCACATTTTTGAATTAGGTTCTGGACTCCCAAGTGGCTTACCCATTTACACTGCGGGGAAACTTGGCTAGAGAAATCGTCTTAAATCGAGTTGATGTTAATCACTAATATTTCTCATTTTGGGATTGTTGTAAGAATATTATGTGATTATTTGAAGGGCCCTTATTCTTCACTCTTAGATACATAAATAGACAGTTGGGTCATTCTACAAAAACATCCGCTTTATTCATCCATACGAGTCAGTGGTGTTACTGGTCGTCACTGATGTTACACATAAGAAAGGTAACACCAGTAAAAGTAACACCAGTGACATTTTTATTGAAAAATGTATTTTACAAAATGGCTGCTACAGAGTATCAAACCACATGTTGTCAGTCATGGAATATCCACTAAAATATGTATTTGTATTCTGTTTTTTCACAATTACCTAAGAATAAAGTTGGTCACACCTGTGACTTCAGCTAAAAGCTTGATATGAAATCTTGAGCTAAATGAGAAAATCTCTGATAACTGAAAAGACACAATGGACTAACCATGTGCTGTTCTACATAGATCCTCAGAAAATAGATAAAAGGAAGTCAGATGATGTCATCAGTGTTATTTTTATTTCAAAATAAAAGATTCTTTTGTTACACAGTAATACCAGTGACACGACTCCTGGGGACCACAGCTTTCATTATATATAATATATATTTTCCATTTGTTTTCTTTGTACATCATATTTTGCAGACAAAACATTTTTTACCTCAAAATATGGCCTCATCCTTTACACATGACTGTGAGGATTAGCTGTTCTGTGGTGCTTGGAATTCTATATAATTGATTTAAAAGCTAATATTGCTAAATTTATGGCTCAAGAAAGTGTAATTGGTAAAATAACTGTTTTATTTTAAAATATAAATAATTGCAACCCTAACATGCTTTTCAGTGTAATATATCTGTAAACGCTAGGGACACAAAAATGGATGTTTCCATAGAGTGACTCAGGTACCAAAACTTATTTCATTATTTACATGACAGTTTTCTACTCTCTCTTTAATTCTAAAGGTTAAATAGGTTGTATTTGTTAATGTCTTTAAGAGAGATATGTGTACATGAGCTCTGTTCTGTTCTGGTTGCCTTGTTTTGTGTTTTAGTCCAGGCTGAAACATTCTTTGTAACTCCAGTGTGGATGGGTGGGGCTAAATGGCTTTAGAATAGAATCTATATATATATATATATATAGATAGATACACACACACACACACACACATAGTAACGGTTTTGGTTTTTCATGCTATCACGGAAGCAAAAAATTCAAAACAGGCTGTTTTTTTTTTTTTAAGTTTCCATATATGGCCTGGGGATAACAAAATGAGTAGTTTAATGCTGCCCGAGGTGCCGGGCAGAAACCTTAATTAAAACTACTCCAAAAAGGAGAAACAAAGAAACACCCCATGCTGGGATTAAACCATGACCTAGAGTTTAACTGGCACGTGCACAACCAACTCAACTACCCAACCACTCAAAAACTAGCCTGAATGTGGGGCTAGCCAAAGGCACAATAGAGGGAGGGAAAAAGGAAGAATAAGTTGTTTTTTTTTTTTACTTTATTCCCTCTGTCTTCTTTTATTTGTGTTTTTTTTATACTTACACTTTTGTCACAAGTGACTCAGGAGCAAGACTTAAAAGGATCAGGATCAAACTCTGAGAGACTTGAGAGCAACTACCCAAATACCAGCTTCATCAAGAGGTGCATGGACATGGCATGCAAACTCATGTCCAAGCACAGAACAAGCAAAGAGCCACTCTTTAGTAGAGCCGAGCACAGGTGTGACCGGTTGTCTCTAATTACCTAAAGGTGGCTGTCTGCTACCATCTAGTGGTGGCATTGGGTCTGACCCCAGGATGGGTGACAGGGCCTCTGCCAGTGGCAGACTGAGACTGACACAACTGTAACTTTCAGGGTTTCTGTATGCAGCCAGAGAAATAAAAAAGCCAGACTACAATTTGCAAAAAGTAACCTTAGATGGCTAAAATCCTGGGAATCTGGGAGAATGTTTTGCAGACAGTTAAGACCAAAAAGCAAAACGAGACCTTTAAATGAAAGGACACAGGCCCTGTGGTCAAACACGAAGGAGGTTCACAGATGTTTTGGGGCTCCTTTGCTACTTCTGGCACCAGTTGCCGTCAATATGTTAATTGCATCTTGAAATCCAAACACTACCATATGGTTTTGAAGTGCAACGTAGGGCCCAGTAAGTTTGGTCTCCATCAGAGGTCATGGTTCTTTCACCAGACGGTGACCCAAAGCATACACCAAAAAGCAACCAAAAATGGTTTAAGACAAAGCGCTGGACTGATCTGAAGTGGCCATCAATTATCATCTATCATCTATGACAGATTTAAACATCTATGGTCCCCTTAGTAGCAATGAGAGGCACAGACCAGCTGCCTATCAGGATTTGAAAGCTTATAACCTTAGTGTACCAATGGACTCTGAGCTCAATTTTGGCAGTCATGTCAAAGCAGTCACTAAGGCTGGGCCTACATGATTATTTGCCCGATTTTAAATAATTTCTTACAATCTGAATTGGTTTTCCAGGTCAGGAGCTCAATCGGAGCATCTTATCACATTGATAACCTCGGGTTGCAGCAGTCATTTCACTTTATTTTTACTCCAGACATACAAAACAACTCAAAACCAATCCTGACCACTTTTCAGTGGCTTCAAAGCTAGGCTAAACTTTTTTCCACACTAAGCTTTTCAGCTCTGAAGTCTGCTGCAGCTACTCGTCCCTCTCTCTCTCTGTCGCTCTGGGGGATTGTGGGTGGATGGAGGGAATGGTGTGAGAGTGAGTACTCTTTGAGTTCCTTATTCTTCTTTCTTTTGGGTTTCGGGGCTTTTTTAATGTACAGTACTCAAAACTTTTACTTTTCAGCATCTTGGATACCAATTCGTGCTTGCTGGTTTGATGGCAGGCCATGTGGCAGGGTGCGGGAATGGCCTGAGCGGTGGCGCCCAGCCCCTCTCACTCTGTCACAGGGTGCACAGTGAATCAAGGCCCAGTGTAGTGGTGTGGGACGTGTTGCTGGCAGTAGGATATTTAGTATAATGCGAGAACGTTATCTCAGCATCGAGGATGAATAAGGCTGTGGTGGCATTTATGAAGAAGACACTGGCCGACCGACTAATCGAGCACGGAATTAGGTTAAGTGGAGAGTTTTACACAGTAGTTCTGCTGGTCTTGTCGACAGTTAAAGTAACAATTTCAAATGTGACCCTGTGTATGGGCAGACGCTGTAGATCAAGATGGTTCTCAGGCTTCTTTAGAGGAACACGTAGGAGAGGGTGACAGTGATAATGCTTTATCTGCACATGTGGAAGCTGTAAGAAGTGGTGAAGCAGCTGTTGATGAGTGTGGCCATTGAATATACCCGTGAAGGGAAGATTTCTGACTTAGTGTCTCGGGTTGGAGAGGATCAGCAGCTTTATTCAGTACAAGACTAACACGTTCTTTTGGAAAGGTAGCGAAGGCTGCTGATTTCTTTCTTGATGTAGGTTTGTAGCTTCCGTGGCGAAAATTTGCTAATTTTGATGAATTGAGCAAGCAAAAGAGATTCCGTCTGAAGAAAATCCTGACGAAGTTGCGGAGGGAAAAAGCCCCTGTTAAGCAAAAGTGCAGTGACTAAGCCACTGAGGGTGCTTTCCTTCTGTTGCATTTCTGTCCTTTTCTGTCTTTGAATATGTTAAGAATTGCCTCCTTAAATACTAGCGGGGCAGAGAGGGGAGCAGAAGGGCTGTATTAGCTGAGTTTGTTAAATATAAAAATGTTGATGTCTTGTTTCTGCAAGAAACTCACAGCGATAGGGATAATGAGGTGGAGCGTGCTCTCAGCCACGGATCCAATCTTAATGCAGAGGTGGCAGTGTTCTTTTCCAGGAGGATAGGAATAGCCCATCTGCATGTCACTGAGTTAGAGCAGGGTCGTCTGTTCAGGTTGACATTAGGGAAACAGGGTTTCGGTTTGTTAACGTTCATGCCTCTAATCGTGGTGGCGAGCGGATGATGTTGTTTCATTAGTTAAAGAGTGCATTGCAGTGATATAGTAATACTTTATCTGTAGTGATAGAGGGGACTGGAATTGTACTACAGATTATACACTAGATAGGAATGGGGAAGAACCACATCCAGAGTCTGAAACGGCCCTGGGAGGGTTACTTAAGAGTTTGTAGATCCATGGAGAGAACTTAACACAGGCACCAGACAATACACATGGGTTAAAGTTTCTGAGAGGAGGGTGAGTGCAGCTAGGCTAGATCAATTTTATATAATTAAAATAGTCAGACATAGGGTTTTAAAAGCATTTTGGCTCCCAGTGGCTTTTCTAATCACCATGCAGTTGTACTTGGTCTACTCTTGGCTAGAACGACTGAATCTAGATCTGTCATTTTAATGTGAAGTTGATTTGTGATGAGTAGTTTTTTAGGAATTTGTCAGTATTTTGCAAGGGATGGAGGATGAGGAAAGCAGGCTTTGACAATGTGGCTTTTTGGTGGGAGGTGGTTAAAACGCAAATAACGTTTTTCTGTCAGCTGTACGCTGTACATACAGCAGCTGAAGAGTACTGTCTGGGAGCTTGAGAAGAAGAAAAGTTTGATTGAAGATGAGTTGATCAAAAAGTATGATGTAGGACTAAGTCATAAATTAGAAGGGAAAAGGAAGGCTTTGGGCTCATAGCAGGTGAAAGGGGCTCTGATTAGCGCTCGTGTTTCCATTATCAAAGATATGGATGCCCCAACTGTCTTCTTCTTCAACTTGGAGTGGAAGGTGGCACGCCAAAATCTCATGCT